GACTCAGAGCTCCAGAGCCACGATGCCACTCTGCCATGCGTCTCTCTCCGCCATCGTAGTGACGATTTTTTTCTCTCTCTCCTTCCCTCTCCCTGTTTCTCTCTCTCTCCCTGTCTCTCTCTCTCTCCCTGTTTCTCTCTCTCTCTCTGTCTCTCTCTCTCTCTCTGTCTCTGTCTCTCTCCTTGTCTCGCTCTTTCTCCCTGTTTCTCTCTCTCTCCCTGTCTCGCTCTCTCTCTCTGTCTCGCTCTCTCTCTCTGTCTCTCTCTCTCTCTGCACTCCTGTTTCTCTCCCTCTCTCCACTCCTGTCTCGCTCTCTCTGTCGGTAACCAGACAGCCCGTCCCTTGAGTCTCTTCGTCTGGTTCTCTGATCTCGCTGCCGATCATCCCTCTCATTCGACACGTCTGCACCTCCTATGTGTCGTGAGTCTCTCTGACTTCCGTCCGTGTGCCTCTCGGTGGTCTTGTGGTTGCTAACACTGAGTCTCCTGTCGTTTCCCTCTTCGCGCTCCCTCTGCGCTTCTCGTTTGCCTTTTTCTGGCCTTCTCGTTGCTTCCTCGTCATACTCTCTGCGGGGGGAGAAAGACGTGCTGGCATCTCGGCCTTTCCTGAAGCCTCCGTCTTCAGTCTGAACGTATGCCTCCTCCTCCCGCTCTCTCGCCTTGTCCTTTGGCGGCAGTTCCTTTTCTCTGCGTGATGATGCACCATCGGTAGAGTCTCTTGAAACCTTCTCGTCGGAAAGGGCTTCCAAGACTTGGTCTTGAGAAGCCTGGCGATTTCTCCGAGGCTCCTCCTCGAGGGCACTCTTGTGCTTGCTCGTACTGCCGCTCTGGCGCTTCCCCCCTACGCCACCTTCGTCCTCCTTCCTGCGATCATCTGCACGGTATTCTCGGGATGCTGCTGCAACACCAGAGCTTCTGTCATTGCGACGAGGAGGCAGGGAGCCTGTTGCCATCTTTGGCTCCGCAGCTGACGCTGCCGCTACTCTGTACGGTGCTGCCGCTGTTTTCGTAGCTCCTGCTAATTCTGTAGGCTGAAAGCTGCCTGATGAATAGTCCAGGGAACGTGCTCTTCTCGCGGCCTATAAGCATCATCCAGGAGGACGACGGTTCCCCAAAGAGAGCAGCACACACTTCAACATGCATGCGGCGTCGTTCTGGTTTCTGGCATGTTCTCGGAACGCAACGAGCTGAGGGCTTGCCTACCGCCGTAAGAAAGTCAAATCCGGCAAAACACGGTCTAAAACCAGAGAGTTCAGCGAATTCGCCGGGCAAACGCAACGCAATCGCTATTCTTGCAGCGGCAGCCGCGCCGGCAGAAGATACCGCTTGACGATATGCCAACGCGGAAAAGATCTCTGAGAGGCAGAGAGCGCCGCCGAACAAATTCACCATGAAGAAATTACGCTGAAATTAAGGCGGCGAGGGGTTTGGTATGTGGCCGCATTAACGCCGCAGCCCCGGATACAAAACTCGTGGCTGGCATGCATTTTTTCGCAGCTACTGATTTGTACAGTGGAAACAATCACTCCTTCCAAGTCACTTCGCGTAACTCCCTGTTTATTTTCATGAGCGGCGTAAGGAGAGTGTAGAAGTCATGGGGGTCTCAGTGCTCACAGGCCCATCCTCCCTCACTGCATAGTCGTACATTCTTTCCAGGGTTTCCCGGTCGAGGAAAATTAGCAGCTTCGTCGACAAGTGCTTCGCATCGAACATCCGTGGAGCACGAGTAGTAGGTCCCACATGCATTCCTGTTCCGCTCTTCCTCGGAGGGATCGAAGCGGCACCCCAATAATACGTCGGTATGCAGCGCAGTGCCAACGTTACGCACCACTGCGCCCAACTTAGAGCATCTGGCGGCCTGTTGGCCACCGCTTTCTCCTTAGGATCCGATTTTCTGACGGGTGCGTAAATTAGTGGAAGAGGTCATGAGTTCTCTTTCGGAGAACTGCTTTCTACCTTCCGGATAGCCATAGGACACCTTCTACGGGGGGGTGGTGCGGGCACCAGGCTTATAGCTCTGTCTCCTTCTTATTCGAGAGTGCATCGACTTAAGAATGCAAAGATTTGCATGCTAGCTATTACTATTCTTTTCGGCGCTTATTGAGGAGGCCGGCATGCAGACAACTATTCAAACGACCAAAAGTGAATCCCTTTATGCTGTCAGAAACAAACTCTCCCCAGCCTCCACGCATGTCACTTAATGCAGGGCATCGGGGGAAAGGAAATTGTTCAGCTTAGCGGTACTCACAAGTCTCTAAATTGAGTAAGATCAGCAATTTCTTTCGCTGCCAAAAGACACCACACACTGTGGCCACGAAGAGGGCGTCGCACAGCTGATGGTTGAATATGTAACGTCAGATCAGTAGAAGGAAGCGCGTTTCGTTTAAGGTCTTCCTAGGAGGACACTTAACCCCAGGTTTAATACAGGCTTCTAGAAAGCTGTTGAGTGTTTTCCCGAAGATCTGTACCCGTCCGACACCCTGAGAATATCCGACGCGAGCACGGAGGGCCAGCTAGAATGGGCGTTGCTGGACCTTTGGAGCGTAAACAGCGTTGCGTCTTCTTGTATCGACCTAATAGTACTTGGCAATAAATAAGATATACGAGCAGACCAGTATTTTTGTCAATTTCCTATTAATCATTGGTTAAATAGAACTGGTGTAGTCGAATTTGTTGGTTTTTGGGATAGTCTGCCACAAATATGCGCATCACGGCACCTAGCAAAGAAATGTGTAGGCTGCGCAATGGCTACGAAACCTGTGGGCGCCCAAGCCACAGAGTCAAAGTCCCCGGATTTCCATGTCAGCAGCTACACTTCTATGGAAGCACTCAAACAGCCGCTTGGCTACTTCTCATTCTGTGGGCACTTTCAAAATTAGCACAGCTGCATAGAGTAGTGCAGCCGTCGGAGCCTGATCACGAAAGCACAAAAGCCTTGTGTCCCATGAGGAACAATGAAAAAGAATTCGTTTCAACAAACTCGATAATGCCCGTCATAATCGATTTAACATATCCAACCGGCCCGAAAAACTTTTCACGCGCCACTTGTTCGAGTAAAGCATTAGGAGACTGCTGCTGCTGTGCAACAATACTGCTATGCACCCATCGCAGGACAAGTTTCAACGCCCAATAGAAAGGGGCCACATGTTGAAATTATTGTCAGCTCATGGGCGCAACATCTTGGAAGCTGGGCCTTTATCACTTTAGCGACTGTAGCGGCTCATTGGTAGGCCTACAGTTGCCAAAAAGGAAGCATTGTGTACAAGAAACGAAAAACATCATGGCATGATGCATCGTGTGGTGGCGTCATGACTCCTGGCCTTACAAAGCATCCTCCTACCCCACTGCTTCGGCAAGATAGCCATCAACCTTTAACGATTTGTATCATCTTTTGCAGCTCATCTAACACTGAGCACAACATGGCAAAGGCAAAAACGACGGATTAGCGCAGCACCGCTGCTCTGGGAATAATATAAGCTCGTTCGCGGAGCAACATAATGGAGCTATCAGACCGAAGTCCTTCTAGTTTAGTAATGAAGTGGTGATGCGTTGCCCCACGCTGCAGTTCGGTGTCCCCGAGAGTTTGTGGTAGAGGTGCTATGTCTGCATGAACACGCAGCACAGGACACAGAAAGCCACCCCGGCAATTCGAAACGTGAACTGTGCAAGAATATTGCAGTTTGAAAGCGTTGCAAATATTTTTCAGTCTTGCTTGCCACGCTGATTATATAGTGTGCTGTCCCCAGGAGTCAATCATCTAAAGGGAATACAATCTAGAACATATTCGGACCCTCCCCTAGCTGTGCGTGGGCATTTGCTTTTCTCTCCACACCGGTTTCCAGTTGTAATTGCTCGCAATTGCGTGCAGCTTGTTCGAGTGTTGATTTTGGCTTTGAGGATCCTGTTTTGAGGCTGCTCAGAGCTTTGTTGAATAGGGTCACGAATGAGAGAGCACCCTTCAACTGAGTCTTTGGCGGAATAGCAAGAAGAGCCAGCATGAACCGTTGCTCTCCCTTGGTTTGCAGGAGACACTCAACAGCATCCGAATACCAGGTTATGAGGGCAAGAAGTACAACCGGCGCCAGGCTCCACATATTTGCCTTTTTTGCTGATTTCTCGCGGCTGCAGCGAGCCAAGGAAAACTTCGTTGTAAGCTCAGCGAAAATATCGTCATCGTCAAACGACAAATTTAATGCTGTAGCCAGCACGCTCCCCGGTCCCACGATGGGCGCATCAGGATTATCTTGCCTCCTCTGACTCATGATAATCCCGATAATCCGAACTGCGAATGGACAGAGCTAGTCAGGGAAAACAAACGAGATGGCGAGCCTACAGCCTGCAGTTTGGTCTTGAGGCCGCACCGCTTGAAGATAGATCAAGATGTTAAAGGTCTGTAGACCCTACGAAATTCGAGGTTTTACAGATGCATAGTACGTTACTTTAGCCGGGGATCACCTGCATCAATGCACATGCGCGTGTTATGTTTAACTGCCTTATGCGCGCCTTCTCCTCCACGAATAACGTTTGTATCCAAGGAAGTCTGCAGCTTTACGCCGAGCCAATCAGCTGCAGTTGGTGCTCCATCAATCACTTTCACAGGTCCCCAGTCTTGCTTCATGGTCATATGCAACCGTTCATAAATATCCACGTTGGCAGCCCACGTCAAACATGCAGCCCCAATACGGACATCCTCCGACTCCTGGGAACTCGCATTCAGCAGCACCACAATTTGTTGCAGCGTCTTCTCCCTCACTTCAGATGGGGAGAGATCCAGACTTAAGGGGTATTTTTCGCAGTCTGCGGCAACCACAAGGAAAGCCACCAAGATTATTCCCCGTAGAATTACACAGAAACATGCCCCCCGTTGCAAACAACGGAGGCCTCGGCTTTATCATGACGAGTTCGCGTCACTTTAAGATAGTTTTTTAGTGTGACTGCCACTTTTCCTAAGGGTCTCCACCAGTTTGGCACTATCATTTAATTGAAATACACAAAAACTTCATGTATACATAATGTTTAGCATCAAAGAGCGCACCTTTCTCATGCACAGACTGGAGTTGTTGCCTTTGACGAGGGGCTGCGACAGGAACTTTCCTTTGAGTCCTCTCCCGTGGAGTTGGCCTTTCTGTAAAACTCACGAAAGCAGGGAATTGAGCTCATGAGTTGGCCCCTGGTTCCCATGCAGCATCGAGTAAAAACGCCAACAACATCAAGGACCCTACCGCTGTTGCGGTTCACTTTGCTATGTGCACGGGGTGTCGGTTGCATATAGTGTCATGCAGCAGCTCCTTTCCTTGTTCATTACCATCCCCCCGATTCTTCACTTTTGCTCCTACGATCCACCCCGAATATCGACATATTTGTGTCTCCCATGTAACGTGCTCATTCACCTTCAGGCTGGACCTCTGGCTGTGGGGTCTCTCCATTCTGTTTCCCAGATGTGGCTTCTGTTTCATCTCGCTGGGCAGCTTTTGAACACAAGAACGGAATCATAGCCAAGACAATGATTTAGCACAAAACTTTGCCTCATAGCTGCAAAGTTGTATTACTGAGCACTACAACAGGCTCGAGCGAAAGGTCAGCAGATATACGCGTTTCCTTGGCTGTTACTTACCTTCCTTCGCCGGCAGTCCAACAGGCACTGGTACAAAAGGAGCTTTATCTACACGCAACAAAAAAATACACAACGTACGTTAAAGCAGCTGTACTGCTGCACAGGGATGCGGTCTTTTATACTCGGCCGAAGGTGAAGCAGCACCTTTGCTCCTTACAGGCCCCTTTATCAGCATTAGAAAAAGAAATACCTTTGCGTGAAGCAACTGCTGAACGCAAAATGCAGATCAAAAGCAGACATGCTGGATAGACCACTGAAAACTAAACGACGCGAGCCCTGTGGATCATTTCTGAGGGAAATGTAGCTGAGTGCATGTGAATTAGCGTTGCGCTTGCCTGTCACTTCAAAGGGAACAACGCCGCCTTCCTTTGCTGCGTTTATAATAGAGTCCAAATTTGTACCCAAAACGATTTCTGGGACTTCCCATATCTGTGAGGCTCTTGCTTCTTCTGACGTGGATTCTTTTGTGGCCTTCATGAGGAGAGACTGAATGTTACCCCGCTGTTTCTCCAGCTGTGTCCTTATATCTTCTAGCGTACACTTTTCCACTGGCGTGTCCAATTCGAGCGTAAAGGAATGCGCCTCGGGCTTGAGCTCCAATTCGACCATCTTTCCAGAAAGAAGTTTGAGATGGGCTTTCGTCAAACCCACTTTTACTGCAGTGAAGGCATCAACGACAGCACAATGTAACGAAAAAGTACACAGCTGTTAGAAACTCAAGCTGATTCCGGCTAAAGTATCAACTTTGTTTGTGATGATTGGAGAGATTGAGATGTGGCAGCTCTAGATAACGGACGTTTTCTTGGTGGGCGGGATGGTGGCGCTGCCGAACCTGTGGCGGCAGGAGTAGGCTCCTTTGCTGAATACGAGTAGAAGCAAATATACAGGCTTAAAGTCTGTGCGCACCTGTCTTAGCGTAACATTAGCTACTTTAGCAAAATCGATATGCTGGGGAGAGTACTGGAAGTATTTGATGCTTTTGTCCTTTCCTTTTGGTGGCTTTCCCTTACCTTCGGAATGTGAAGGCTCAGCTGAAGGTCGAATAGGAGGAATGAGCGTCGACATGCAGAGACACGGACAGCTGGAGAGCCCCCCGATCAGATGTCCTCCCTTTCTATGCATTACGCACAATGACTGTTACATGTGTGCTCTCTGTCGTACTTCGTGTTTGTTCGAATGTTTACCTTCAACGCCGAAGGGAATAGTAGAGCCTGCTTCTGCCGCGTGGATGATATTTTTCATATCTGCAGGAATATTGACGGCTTTTGTGTGCCAATGTGGTACGCTTTTTGCTTCTTCTGACTCTGATTTCGGTAAGTTCTTCAAGATCTCCCTCTCAATGGCCTCTTGCTGTTCAAGAAGGCGCTCCCTCACCTCAACTCTGGTACACTGATCCACTGGTTTCCCTAAATCAACCTCTAGATGCTCCTTTTCCGGATCAAGGGCCAGATGAATCTTTGAACCAGAAGCAAGAACAAGAAGCGCATCAGCAATCCCGAAACGCACTGCAGGCACATCCACCATATGCCAACAAGAGCGACAAGATACAGAACATTAGTATTGTACTAACTTGCTTCAAATGTTGGAGGGACTTTTTTTCCTTTGAAATTGTGTTGTTGTAAAAGGCTGCGTAGAACTTTGCGAAAAGCTATGGTTACCTTCAGACGGTAGGGTGTTTTCTGGAGCTGGAGCAGCCACAGGTACAGTCGGAGCTACAGTTTTTGTCTCCGCTTTTTCTGTGCCACAATAAAACGAGGAGTAATTAAGCAGAACTACGCCATATTGCTACAGTACCCCTCCACCGTTGCATCAGTAAGTCTAGGCTAGAAAAGCAGGTGTATGCCGGCTTCGATTGGCCAGTGTTGCACCCACCTTTAGGCCCCAGAGCACGAGGTGAAGAGCATATGGAGAACAGATGGGAAAAAGTGCAGACCGTCACAAACAAGGTTTCTTGTGCATGAAGGAGTTTGATTGGCGTAGATTTGAACTATTAATTTCATGCGAAAGGGAGAAGGAACCGAAAGCTTACTAGCAGGGAGAGCTTCAGGCGACTTGAATTCCTCTGCATGGATACAGACAGAGCTTATACTCGCCTTTTGGACAATCGTACGATAGTGTTTTGACAGAAAACCACTCGCGCAACGTCTCCTTTGTTTTGTCGTTGGCGTTTCCTATTATTGCTGCTTCTTTCTATTTTATCACTTGAGTTCATTTGCTGTCGCACCCCTACAAGGCATACCGATGGTTGGAGGGAATGGGAGGCTAGGGTCATTACAGCAAGATAGGAGTCAGATTGAATGAGACTGGGGAAAGATATATCCAAAGCTGAGTATGTGAGTAGGTATGCTTGTAGAATTTGTTCCTCACTTTTCAAGAGCTCCGCCTCCACGTCCAGCCCCATATCGTTCCACTTTTTCTTTTGTTTTTCGGACCAGTGAAGGTTTACTTGACGGGTGACGCAGCATAGGAAGGCAACCAAATCTGAAAAGCCCTCTATAAACTCTTTCGGGATCGAGCTGTCCTCAAATGCACTCTCGATTATTGCCGCTTTGTAGCGATTCAGCTGTAAGCTTTCTGGTGCATGGAGCATGAGCATTTCAAGTATTTCCTTCCTCCGACCCCTAAATTGGAAACCTCGAGACACGATTTCTTCTTGAAATTTATGGTACCGATCAACGGATTCATCATCACGGGAGAAGCTCCAGCATGCTGGACTTTTCTTATCGCCGGATGCCTGTAAAAGTTCCCAAGATGAGCGACACGGACAGCAAATGAGGCCGTAGGAGAGAAGGGGAAGAAAAGACACATCCTAAAAGTAAGATTGGACAGGATTGCTTGTTGAAAGCGGAGTATGTAGATTGCTCGTTTTCTGGCGAAAAGGGTTGGCTTCAGCATTTTTGGCCGCCAAGCATTCTCTGAACTAGAGGGAAACTGCTGCATACGTCACTTACAGCAATATTCAAGTACTTCCCTTTGCAGACTTCATACTTGTACTGGGTGTTAAGGTTTTCACGCATATCCGCATTCGTCCTTAAGATGGAAAGTGAGGCGACGAACAGGCCTAGGAAGACCCTCATCTTTACTGGGGGCCGTGAACAATGGCACTGAAACAATGCTTTAGCGCCTCTAAACTGACGGCAAACCGGTTGTAGGACTTCAGCCAAGCACTGTGCCTTAAAATTACCAAAATTTCAATAAACGAATGCTGAAGCACCCGGGGCAGCCCGCAGCGTTTGCGGAGGCCATGGACAGCACTGAGAAACGTGAGCACAGAGACAGGGATGGTATCCTAGATGCCCCATAAAATGTAAACCAAATATTTATAGCGTGGAAAAGTGCTTAACATACCCAACTTTCAAGGCAAAAGCGGAGCGACAGGGCCATTAGTCAGTAGGTGCACTACGGTCAGACCGATGGACTGTCGCCGTCCCTACAGCCTCGTGACGAGCCACAAAGTTTTCTATTACACGTTTCAAATGCTTCGAACCTTTGAGCTGATTTTACAACTGTAATGCTAATTGTGTTTAGCTATTTATTTCCTCTGTGACGCAAAAGTCCTGTGGTTGTGATCCCTTTGTTGCTGTCCGAATCCGAAGTCGATTGATTGGCTTCAGGGCCTCCAGATGTGCAGAAGTAGTCCCTCATTGTTTTCTTCCATTCCTTGTATTCTCGACTCTTCCAGTTTCTCTCAATATCAAAATAGCGACCTTATGGAACATTAGTTGATATGTGTATCTAATACGCAACGGCAAAAGGCCAACATTTCAATATGTAAATTCCAGAGCCAGAGACTACTCTCTTCTGCTCAGCACACTGCAATTCTAACACTGAGTCTCTCTCTGTCTCTCTTTCCTTCTCACAGAAATCTCCTTGTCATTAAATTAAGCAAAGCTTTCTTCCTCTAAGGGGATTCAGCACGAGCATTTTCTTGTTGCTGCTGCTAAAATTCCAGCAGCAGTCTGCCTCCAAAGGGCGCTGTGTGTGGCGGGGCCAAGCTAGACTCAAACACTCTATACTAAACTGATTATATTTAACTCGAGAGAATTAGTAAAGAACTAAGACCTTGGTTTGTGTGTTCTTATTTCTTATTCATAGTACAGTACTCTTTGCTGCATGCAAGAGGATGCAATTTTGTGCATGTGGGGGGTAGATGGCACATGCACTAGTTGTGAATGCTCAGGATTTTAAGAGGGTGCAGCAGGGATCATCTTGACTGCCCCTTTCCGCTCATGCCCAAAATTGTGGGGGCCGTGGTTAGGGGAGGGAGGAACTCTTGTTAAAAGGTGCACAACTTTCCAGCAAATTTGTATTGAGTCTAGAATCATGTGACTCCTCAAAGACGATTTACGCAAGACCGCTCATATATGCAGCTGTATAAGAGCTGCTGCCGTTTAGCATTAGGTGGCCGTATGCTCTTCCTTTTCGCGCGGTAAGCGGAGTCTGACCTCCTTTATGTAGTTCATGGATACTTCACATTTTGCTTGGTGAAAAAAAGACTCTTACTTTCGATAGAGTAGCTTATTCCCCACACTTAACATACACAACTAGCTCTTACACGCGTCCAATATGGTCTTACATCTCAGGGCGATCTAGCGTTCTCACAAAGACGTGGCAAAGCACATTGTATAAGAAAAGGAACAGCACTAGTACGGTTTCCTATTATCCGTGCTCATCTTCCATATCTATAGCATCGAGGTCCTGGAGCTTGGTTCATCGCTAATGCATGGCCACTGGTTGGCTCCACGTAATACCACCTACCGTCCTAATTGATTTCTTTCTCTTCTTTGAACGAGACTGGCATCAGTGTATACGTAAGACGGATCATCTCGCCTGCCCGCAATATTGACCTATTCGAATACAACCTTTTGTGGCTGTGAAGAGGGGAACAACCAGGCCTCCGAGGTAGGTTTTCTTCCCCTATCCATCGATTTTGTGGCCCCTATCAGGCGAATTAAGGCTAAATTGTGGCTTTCTCAATAAACCTGCAAAGCTTCTTATGCATTCATGCTCTGCAGATGCAAAGATTGGGATTCAACTAATTGTTGCACGCAGAATTGTGTTGCTGCTAATGCCCGAGAGAAATGCAAAGGCCAGGAAGCAAGGCAGATGCTTGCTGAGCATGCAATTGAACTGCCTCATGTTTATCTCCATGCGTCTGCTTATTGCTAGGAAAAGTGAGTGGTTCTGTTCGAAGGATGAGCGTAGCAACCCGCTCAACCTAGATGTACAAGTAAAAACAAACCTGTAACTTCCCACATTCTAGATAATAAAAAGCTTCTCTGCTTCTCTTGTTAATTTATTCTGTTGAAACTATGCTTTAGCGTAGATTTTAATCACGGAAAACATGAGGAGAGCTCGTTTAAGAGGCAGAAAAGAGAAGTGCCAACGGAGTGCGCTATATGCGTGCAGGGGAGTGTTCGCAAATTGAAGTAGGACACAGGACACAGGTCTAAGCGGTATGGCATCATTAGGATACTTGAAGCCGAAATATATAGTGAAACTCGGCAATTTTGATTGTGAGTCATTGTTGGGACTAGGGCACTCTAAGGTCCGCATGCACAAAGGCAGCGAAGTTGAGGTGCAATTGTTCTGTAAAAGAAGGCACCACGTGTAGGGTCGCAAAAGGTCTGGACCTGCTACGATAGGTTCTTTACTGCTAGAAATATGTACCGAATATTGGATGTCACTGGTAATGCTGCATTTCTTTGTATTCACATCGAAAAAGGTTTGAGTACACACACGGTGACTGCAAGAAAACAGCTCAAGTTATTTTGCCTCTTTTTTTCACTGAAGTCTTCATTCTTGTGGAAACAAAGGAGGGAAAATTGAGCATACCCTTGAACTCATCGGCCCAACTTTTGTGCACCAGTGCAAGGACAGAGGAGGGCGCAACAGCATATTTGCGAAATGCAGGCACCTGCATCCAGCAAAACGAGAGAATATCCAGAGCCATACAAAGCAGCCATATTCGTAACACGTGCCCAAAATCATTGGGGGACTTCGGTCGGATCGACAAAAAAAGAGTAGAGGGCCTAGATATTGTACATGAGACTATGGCTGTATTAGCACGCCAGGAGGGCATCTTCATGTACCCATACTATTTACGACAAAGTAACTAGTCTCTATTTCAACACCCTTCAGCTAATGCGCAATCAAAGGAACGCAGTGGTCCTCAGCCCCACAAAGCCTGGCCTGCCGACAGATGCAAGGCCGCCGAGCCTCCACTAATGCCTAGGTAGCATACAACCCATTCCTCGACGCCCCTTGTATTTCAACAAGGCCTTTAAAATCTTATTCAGGGCAAGTTGCACGCTCCAACGGGATTATTGTATTCCTTCTATTCAGGTCCTCTCATTCTGTGCATCGGCCTCTCCCTTCCTGCTCCGGCGCGTGGACTTCTTGCTTTTCCGCAGCAGAAGCACGCCAAAGAGAAGTACAGGCGCCCACAGTTTAGTGAGCCTTTGTCAACAGTGAGATGAGCATAATAGGCCGCGCAGAGCCGGGGGCCTCCCCCGATTCCCCATGTAGGGGGCCCCCCACAGGGGTCCATCGGGGGCAGGCGTTCGGCGAGCCAGGGGCGGCCCATGGGCGGGGATACAGATGTAGAGGGAATGGAAATAACACCCGTACAGCATGGTTTAACAGTGGAGGGCCTTACCTGAGGCTTTGTGGAGCCTCCCAGTATCCTAGAGGAGCTTCCGTACAGCGAGGTTCTCAGCGGATGCCAAGGGGAGCTCCTGTAGGAACCGTGTTTCGAGGAGCTTTTCCTAGTCGGCGCGGCCCCAGTCAGAAACTTGTCTGTGGGATATGTGGGGAGGGGGAGGGAGTGTATCGGTTTCGGTGCTGCCGAGTTTCTTTCTGCAGCTGTGCATGCTACAAAGAGCATACGAGCCGGCCTTGTCAGTACAAGGGAGAGCAGCAGCCCCAGCAGAAAGTAGAAACAGCAACTTATTGTGAGGCAAGTGAACAGAAAGGGGCATGTGAAGCTCCGCAGACGGTGGAGGTCGAGTCGCCAGCATCAGCGGCGACAACAGGTGCAGTATCTCAAGCCGCAGTAGCCCAAGCAGATCCATCAGGAGATGGACGGATTTCACTGTCCTCCCCTGATAGTGCTCCCTTGCCTCCTTTTCCATGCCAGAATAAAATACCAGCTGTGACAGCAGCAGTAACCGCAGCAGACGCAGCAGGGTTACGAGCAAATGCAGCAGAGGAACTTTCCGGGGAGTCAGACGTAGACTCCTGTGGTGAATTTTCCGACGATTCAGATTCTTCTGTTGCTGAAAAAAGTCCATCAAAGCGGAGGGCAGTTCAACATACAAGGGGAGCAGTGCACCATTTCCCCGAACTATCAGCTGCCGAAGAAGCCGCTGTTCGTGAGTTGCGGCCTGCCTTTTCACAGGGGAAATCCCTTTCTGTGTGGTTTTGCCCCCTCTTCTTCTCTTCTGAACCTTGCTTCGTTTCATAGGTCCCTCCCGTTTTGTGACCCCAACTTGTCGACTGCTCTCTCTTCTGGCATTGACTTGGCTGTGTTCTAGCTGGCTGAGGAGCACTGCTTCATGAGTTCTTGGGGCGTAGCTGAACACTTTGCAGTCCGTGCTCATCATTGTGTCATCCACGTCTCAGGTTAGGGGGGTATTTCATAGCTTGAACTTCTTGCATTTCAATTGATGTGCTGCGTTGTGCCTGGCTGGGTGCAGGGTCCGTGTCATCGTGCCCTGAGCTTCAAAGTGCGTCTGTGCGGGATGCAGTGTCATCCGTCGTCACTGCTCTTTCTCGGGGGCCTTTCGCTGCACTTTCTGTGTTTGAGGAACTGCTGCAAGACCCGTCATTTGCTGCCTTTGTTCATGTTTTAAGCGAAGCTCTGCACCCCGATAGCGTGGATGCAGAAAAATGTGCAAGCGGGGCATCAAGAGAAGAGCGAATAGTGGCCAGCAACCGAAATACGCAGAGGTGCACGGGGGAACAGGGGCCTGGTCGAACTGACTAGGGTTTTTTTGTACAAAACATCAACATTTTTTTCGTACGTGGCCTAAAAGAACGCGTCGTTCGTTCCTGCCTCTCCATTCAACTCTGTTCTCTGGTGACCGTGGTGGCTGGTTGGTTTTCGATCATCAGGGAAGGCCCCTTTCTCTGATAGGCTTTGCCCGAAAAGGTAAACACCACGCGGCTTGATGGATGTTTTGCAACGTGCGTGCATCTCGACACGCATAGGGGAGCTCTGCTGTGACTTGGGTAGCAGAACCACAAAAGCCACGGTGTACAGTGTACCAGTATTACAACTAGCCGTAGCAGAAATATCACAGTAAGGAAGGCGGGGTTATGTCGTTTCTAGTAGCGGCCTCTCCGCATGCTGTTGTGGGAATGTTCATGGAATAAAGGCGCTTTGAACTACTCGCTGCTCGCGTCCAAACCAATTTGCGAGCCATATTAAAGCACGAAGAAGCAAAGTGCAGGAGAGAGGGGGAGGGGAGGCGAGAGAAGGGGCTCTACAGCGACCCTTTAGAGAGAGGGTCGTCGGATGGCAAAGATATGTGATGAAGGCAAACCATGTCCTTGTCCGTTTCTTGTATGGCTTCTGCTGGATCGAGTTTGCTTGCCCATCCAACAGGCCTTTTTGCATTTTTAGGAGCCTTGCCAGTTTTTTCCCACAGTTCTTCCGAGGGCGACCTCTTCTTCACCTTGACCCCCTTTTCCTCTGCAAACTCGTAGTAGTGCCTTCGTAAACTCTTCTATTATGTTGGTAAATACAGATAAAATTAGCAGAGTCACGGCTCATATAATCTTCAATTCAAGGTATACAACGGTCGGCCTCCTGAGTTTAATAGTCCCAACTCAAGTGACAGCGCCTGGCGGGTGCCTTGAGGTGGTTCCCAAGAATGCCGGATACAAGGGTCCAAATGAAGCCGCCATTGCCCGAGGGGCAGATGAAATAGTCTGTTGATACGCCGTAGCCAACGGCGGAGGGTTGCAGAAGAAGACAAAACGCTTCACATTCAAGGCACATAATGACATCTTCACGGTGGGACGTGGGGTGTGCTAGACAGGAGGCGCGAAAGCTGCTGCCAACTGCTCCTTCTTCTCTGGAAGGCAAGGCATGAAACATTAGACTGTTCGATGCGTGTAGGGGCCCTTGTCATGATCTAAAGTCTTGCTCCCATGGCTGCGAATCCGCGGCTTACCAGAACGTCGGTAAAAGGAGAGTCACGAGAGTGCGCTTCAAATGAAAGTCTTAGTTACGACAGCTGCAGCTGCTAGTGCTTTACGAGACTGCCACTGTTTTCGACTCCTTTCTTTGCTTTTTGAAGCGCCCCTCTCTCTCCCTTTCCCACGAAAGAAGCTCATACGCGGGGAGAGCGGCCCCTCCGTCCGAGGGAATAAGCAGAGGGTTCGGCCGCGTGTTTTCCATGCTGCGGATAAAATAAAAAACAGAATGTTCAAGAAAAGCACCCATAGTTTCACTGGATAATGGGTACTTACGCCAACACAAATGAGCATCTCGAGAACGGAGCGATACCCCGAGTTCTGGTGTACACGCCCATGTACCCATTTTAAATGTACAAGAAGCTCCTTTTCAAACACACACAAATCTTAAGTTTCGCCGCCTGGCGGGTGGGTGCAAAGCGTGTTGCTTACGTTCCAATGCTTGAGTAGCCTTGATCGTAGAGGCAGCAGTAGGGGAGTTTAAAGTACCTCAGGAAGTCCCACACATGTCCGTATCCAAATTTCAGGAGCGGTTGAACTCGCAAGAAGGGAGGAAGCCAGCGACTTGACGGCTGCAGAAACTGCAGAGATTCTGTGAGCCCTTGGGGATCCGTATTCCGAGTGCCTGCACGAGCGAGAGACAGCGTAGATCCAGACAACCGCAAGCATGCTCCGCGATTCAAGAATATTGAACCTCGTTTCCCCCGTGCATACACCCCTGCTGCGGCCTCCTATACTGGCGTACGATTCTCTCGCACGCAAGCGTGCAGAAGGGCGAGACCACAGCAGGAGAACTGCCAACTATTCGACTGCACTCGGGCAAAGAATGCATGAAGGTACCACTGTTCAAGAGGGGACAAGCGAAGATTGCGCGGGAAGCAGAGTTACCAAGCACGAAAGCAAAAGGCGTGTGCGGCCGCTGTGAAAGGAAGCTCCTCAGTCCGCTTGCCCAGTCCGAGTAATAGACTCTGCGACAGCCTCACAGGCAGAGCGTCAACTGCGTATATAGGCTATGTTTGACCATGGCGAAGGCAAGCAGAAGACAAGCACAGCCGTACTAATGCACACACACAGGCCTCGCTTACCCAGGCTCGCATATACTACATGCACGTGCAGCGAAACATGAAACTCGGGCAGGCTGAGAGAGAAAGAGAAGGTAATGAAAGGAGAGGAACTAGAACAAGAAAGCTGATGAAGGGAACGAGGGGCCGTAGGGTGTCTCCTTTCTGCATACTCCACATTGACAAAGAACTCTTCAGCTGTTCGGCGTACGAACGCGGCAACTTCTGGAAATTCCTGCGGTCCAGAATGAAAATAAATTGCTCGGGGTCGTGGCAGAAAGCACCCGCAGGTTCGCACTAAGGCTGGGTGCTCTGACAAGCCTCCGTTGCACAGATGTTGATGCTGCAGGTGCTCCTGCTTAGTATCCTTGTGCTGCTGCTGGGACTGTTTCTGCTGCTGCTGGTGCTGTTGCGGTTGCTCCTTATGCTGCTCCTGCTGCAGGAGGAGGGTGTATTTCACGAGAGCGGCTCTGAAGAGATGGAGGATTGCGACGGCGTCCTTCCCGCCATTAAAGCTCAGGAGAATCCTCTCAGGACCAAAAATGCTGCATGCGAAGCGGGAAGCGTTCAATACGAGGCGATTCGAGTCGGCAGGAGTGCGCGCTTCACCAGGCACCCCCCAAGAAGAAGAACGCAGGGGCAGCAGTAGCAGAGAGAGACGAAAGAGAGAGAGAGACTCACCGAAGAATATCAACCAACAGCTCGAGCGCCTCCAGCGCAAGCCCTGCGCAGGCGCGTGGACAAACAGAAGCTTTGTCCTCCTCCTTCGGCTGTTGCTGTCTTGAGTCTTTTGATTGGCTTGCCGATTTACACACGTCCACCCCGTCGGAGCCGTTGAGTTCTTCTATGCCTCTTAGCAGAGAAGCAGCAGAATCGAACGCCACGCGTGGCCAGCAATTGCTGCAGTGAGAGGCTCCAGAGCACCCGGCAAGGCCGCTCTGGGGAAGCCGTGTGGCAGGGGCCTGCGCTTCTCCCCGCATCTCTGCGAGAGGGGGGTTGAGAGTCTGCATTGTGGAAAACGAGACTCAGGAGAAGCCACCCCGCATGCTAAGGGAGCTGTCGCTACACCAAAAAGGCAATGAGGAAAAGTGGCATGCGCGCAAGGGGGTGAGTACGAGGAAGTGAACAGAGTGTTTCTACCCGAAACAGGAGCTGCACACGGGGGGATGCACACATACATACACCCAGCCATACACCTCGGAAGGATGCGGACAGCGCATTCAGGCCGCGACAGTTCAGAAAAAGAACATGCAATGGAGAAAGTCGGACATGAGGCGATGGACGCCTTTTCTTCTTCCTCTGTTTTCCTTGCCACTTTATGAATGTTGGAGCCGAGGGGCTGAGAGACTAGGAAAGAGAAACAGCAGGACCCCGTGATGCTCCAAAGCGGGAGCTGCAGTAGATTTGGACAAAGTAGTGGCGTTTACAGTTGAGGCTGAGCGCGCCACGTGTACGATTCAAGACAAAGTGTGTTGGGTAGCATTATGATGGGGTAGTGCTCAAGGGTGTCTATCCTTTGATGCGACGATCAAGGTCTACTGAACAGCAGCATTGCAAGCCTCAAAGGTTCAGCGCAGTGAACTAAAATCAGAAAAGAGGTCAATGTGTACTGGAGAAACGGCAAAACTCGAACGACAGAGGGGCGAGTTCTGGAGCACAGAGCGCACTGCGAGCAGGCATACCGATGCCTACAAAGACACGAAGCAACAAAAAGCAACAATATCTGTAGGATTAAGCAAAAATGGCTAGGGGCGTGAACAAACCCTTCCAAACACAGGATACGCCCGCTCCCACGCTTGCCATTCAATCGGCCGAGCCAATGAGCTCTTGCAGGAGATGGCACTTCGGCGCCGTATGCACGCCGAATATTACCTTTCTATGCTTCTGCGAAGCCCTGTACATGCTTTTATTTAGTATCTGCACTTATCTTCTGCTTCGCATCTCCTAGGCTTCCCTCCCCCATCGTCCCGAATTAAATTGCAACTTCCTCTCAGTTTGTGGGCCCCGCGCTGCTTTACAAGCAAGACTGCGGGACGGCCTCCCCAAGAGTGTTGACGAGGTTTTTTGGCATATCTGCGGCTCGTTATGCTTCTCTTGGTCTATTTAAGAGGTCATAATAGCATGTACATTCCGCGCTTTCCTTCCTGGACCCTCGGCAGAGAGGCGGAGGCACCCGAGCATCGACAGCAAGCGGAGTAGCCGCACTGTAGGAGGCCCACCGCAGTGCATGTACTGCTGGCCTTGGTCCGCGCAGAATGCAGTGACTCATTCTCGGCTCCTTGTACTTGCGCGCCGACGAACCGTGTATCATAGCAGCTGGGTAGAGCCCGCCAAAGGCTCTTGCATCATCAGCAGGGGCAGTTTCGTGCGCCTCTAGGGGGGGAGGTGGCAGCACCACTAGGGTAACGAACTGAGAGCCCGAGAGGGAAAGACAGCGAGAGACGCTGCGCAGAGCGGCAAACCACTCAGGTGTACGTACACCTGAGCGGCAGCTCCGGTTGCTGGCTTCTTGGTGTAGAATTCTTTTTGATACACAGCAAGGAGCTGCAAGTCAGCCTTTTCACTTCCATCCCTCCTAATGCAGGAAATCAGCAGAGGCCTCAAGGGGCCCCCCTTCTTTTTTGCATTTTGCTGTGCCTTGCTAATGGTTCTGTGTCTTCACCCGTGTACCGTCTCCCCCGAATCACCCTTCCCAGAAGCTCTTGAAGCTCGTGCAGAGTCTTCCGCTACGTCACCTACAGGACCCTTCACACCAGTTGATGAGTGAGGGCATATTAATAGTGCTATCTACTCGTAAACTTTAGTCCCGCGTTGTTGATCCTGCTGGTCAGGGTACTTCTATCCTTCTCACCAAGTGTGCGTAAAGGCATAACTCTCTGTCCAGCGTGCTGACACGTTCAAGACAGCTTTAGTCTTTATGTGGTTGGCGGTCCCGTTATAACGGGTGCTCTGGTCCGGGGGGGAGGGGGAGGGGGTGGGCTGTTTTCGAAGTCTACCATTTGTTGCTTGTGATGTCTCAGAGCCGATGCTGAGGTGCTTGCTTGTTCGGTTCACAGGCTTTTAACACCCTTTCGTCCGACGAGGGGGAGTGGGGGTCTTGATGGAACCTTCATTCGTCCAGGAGCTACTTTATCGCGAGCTCAGATCTTTGCGATGTTCTTATATGATATATCTTCTGTCACAAGGAAAGCCTGGGCCACTTTATGGCTGCCGCAGGCACGGCAAGCGCTCGAGGCCGTTGAAGAAAAGCGGGGTCACATTGTTGATATCAGGGAAGCAGAGCGACTCGCTCTACAGGAAAAAGCGAGAACGTATAAAAGGCTTATTCAAACATCTGAAGACCTCTTGGGTGAAATAGTGCAACAGTACCTGCCACTGCAAAAGAAGAATTTTTTCAAATACTTCTTGAACCATGTGAGTGCCGCCATCGACTTCTCCCTCATCTACTCTCTCAAGCTGCTCCCACGGCCAGTTTCCCCAGTTGGCCCTCTGGCGCATTTAGCAGCGGAAGAAGGAAAACTCGAAACATCGGAATTCGATGATTCACTGCATATTCTTATGCCTGACGGGGAGCTAGTGCCCGCATCCGAACTTCCTTTCATTCAAAAACCGCCACCATCCCAGAAGTCCAGTATCACTATTCCCCAAGGCGCTGAAAATCCTTAATCTTGCAGGTACATCAATTGCCTAGTATGAAAACTGGAGAAAACTCGAAACGCAACCCCAGAGACCTCTAAACCTGCGGGCAACAACAACTTTAGGAAAACTGGCCGCGACAACAGTCGTTTCAACAACACTCGCTGCTGCAACATGTTTCAGAATTGCGGCAATTTCTAACGCAGAAGGCTCGGTTCAGAATTCTTTCTCAGACGAGCGGAACGGGCAAGCGCAGGAAGGAGGGTGCGCAAGAGCAGCTGGTTGCTTTTCTTATAGACGATGGACGAAGCTAAAATTCTTACTCTTTGTTTGTGAAAAAGAGGAAGTCGTATGCAGTAATAAGGGGCAGGCGGCCCTTCGAAACCGCGAGGAATACCATTCCTGTTTGGAAGGATTAGGTGGCGTTGGCGCTTTTGTTGTTGTTGCCCATGCTTCCGCTGCTGGCGTTTTGCATAAGGGAGTGCTTGGCTGTTGCTCTTTACAGGATATATCGGCAAGGCTCACAAGTTGGAAGGGTTGGGTGCCAGGTTTTCCTACTGACAAACAATATAAAGTTTACGAATCCTCTCCTGTAAGAATTGCCGCCTCGCCAGGTTGTCATTCTTCCATCCCAGTGTTTCTTTTTCTGGCCCACTCCTGCTTAATGTGGCTCTCCGTATTTGTGCCATGTTCCGATTGAGCCCACTTGCTGGCAATGAGCCATGATGGCGGCTGTTTCTTTTAAGTGACAATTTGAGCAACGGGCCATGATGAACTTCGTGGCTTTTTACACAAGCAAAGCCTTTCTGTAGGGGTTGGTACCTCTGTTGGCGCTGCGGATGTTGAGTTTTCCTCCCTTCCACGTTTTCCAATGGAGAAGGAAGGATACTGTAGGTGGTGCGATTGCGTAGGTAGACGATATGAACCAGGAGAGCGAAGTTTTAGAGAACACATAGACAATGATGCCTCTCAACTTAATCTAATGTTATCTTCATTAAGCTGCCCACAAAACTAGAATGAAGTGGTCTTGAAGATATGCGCTTCTCTTTCCGGTGCGGGGTTTTGTTAATGTCAATGAGTAGAGATCGTCAATGGCCGAAACGTGGTGATTGCCTTTGGTCAGTGAAGTAGTGGGCCTAGGGCCACCCATGTCTAAAATATAGCTACCTTTGCCTCAACTTTTTATTTATTATTGGCTACACCGCAGAGAAGTATGCTGATTCATGGATTCTTGTACACGCAAACCATTGAATCAATTTTAAAGTATGGAGCAGAAATAGTGTATTGAGTACTGCGGAGGGTCATGTGTACGAGTGCATTCGATTACATGCATAAGTATACGTGCACACATACGCGTGTGCTTCCACATGGGCACGTGTCTGAATTGATATAATGCGTTGGAATTCTGAAATTCATATCGTTGGGGACTTGCACTTCAGCCCTTGCACAAAGCGTTTCTATTCTCCCTTGCGACCTATTTTCGGCTGTACCCCAGCGGGTCGCACTTCCAGGCGGCGAGTTGCTGCAGGTCACCGCAAATTAACTCCTTTAGATGCGCAAGACCCACTAAACCCTTGGCAAGGCCTAAAGAGGCACGCGCTGCTTCTATGGTCTCCGGCACCCCGCTCTTGCTGTACCACCAGCAAACCACAACGACGAAAAGAGACTCAATAAGGATTGATCAGCATCAGGGGAGTTGTCAGTGAGTGATCATAAAACGTATGAAAGCGAAGGACGCTTCCGTTTTTCACTCGTGGTAGCGTGAAGCCTGGCCTAAGCGTATGCCTGAACACTTTCCTGGCAAAATCGAAGTGCTTTTGGCAGAGCTCCACTGCCTTCTCAGCTCTTCCTTGCTGTTGGTACAGAACACTAAGCTCAGCACAAGTCTGAGACTGTACTGTGGAATCACCCTGAGGAAATGGAAAACAAGTAGTGCGGCCTGCAGAGAACGAATTTACACTAATAAGACTTTAGCCGGGGCTTTTTGCGCTGGACAGAAAGAGAATACTATAAATGAAAGGTGAATCTCAGAACAGAAGAAGATAGCTCATTGCAGTCCATCATGTAGCCTCAGATGCAACAGGGAACCGAAGCAACATGGCGGTGATATTATGGAGCGGGTGTTTTATTGACTCCACAGTGCATTAAACATTTGGCGGGGTTGCTGGTACTTTTGCATTTGGGCACCTAACGACCATGCATATGTATGTAACAAGAAAAGAAGCAATGGTGATGCTGAGGAGGTAAACAAAACGGTAGCAAGGAGACCAGGTTAAGAAATAGAGGCAAATCAACAGAAGGCATTTTAGCTCGAACGCGACAATCGATCTCGAAGGGGCACACTATGCCGACCAACTTCCCAGCCTACAGAGCACTGATGCCTATTCTGTAAATCGAAAATGCCTTCTGTTTCTCTTCGCATGACTCATCGAATCATAGAATACCCTCACAATGCCAGTCTGAGCTAAAATTACTTCATCTGTTGAAGATCAAGCAGAAGCACTCAGTCTTTGGTATTTAAAAGGAAATATCACGCAGTAACGGTGTAGAGACCATGTATACGTATACGTCGGTAAACAAGCTGCAATCTTTGCTATCTGCAATAACGAGGTGCTTGCCGCTTGTGTTGCGACGTCCAGTACAATTTCGAGTTCCTTTACAGCTTCCTATGGATAAGCATGACCCCACACACAGGACTATTTTCTGTTTGAATAAGGATTTCATGCAAGATTCCTTCCGCTAGGGTAAGCACACGAATCATTGCAGTGATGTTCGTAAACCTTGGCAGCATGTTATTTCGAATGCATGTACACTTTTCCGTGTAATGGCAGTACCTGATTGCGGTTTAAGGAACGATAAGCAGAAGCAAGAGCAGCGCGCGCCATGCATTCTCTCTCCCTACTATTTGCCTCTCTGCCAACACAATAAGCTGTAAAGAAAATTCAAAATAAAAAGGATTTTCGGTAGACGCGGAAGGTTTTATTGTGCTGGCAGATGGAGCATTTGTTCTCCCGAATTCCAAGCAAAAACGAGGAAAGGTAGAAATACATGCAACGGAAAAATATAGTAAGCACTACTACTGCTACGGGGCTTAGTATTCCCGCCAGGAGCCTAAGATGAATATAATGCCATTGCCGTGTTGTCTTCTTCGGACTTGGCAATTTGGAGACACTGGTTGTGAAGCTCTGCTGCCTCCAATGCCATTCCTGCAAGCAGTAATCAAAACCAGGTCATTCGATAGATCCTTTTAAAATCATTCTCCGCAACAAAACACCTAATCCTCCTGGGATCCCCTTTCAAATTCATGCTTGCTGTTACTTGCAGATGGGCACTTACACTTCGGCACCATATTCATTGGCACAACTAGCTAGGCAGCAACTTGAAAACACTATATAGCCAGAAAAGCTGACTTGATAGTGAAGGCAATAGTTACTTGGGTGATCGAGGCTGAACCTGAGTGGTGGAATGGTTAAATAATAAAGTGGGTAGCTGACCGTGTTTCATAAGGGTCAGCCCAAGTGCGTGGCGCGCTTTCCACTGCATTGATTCATCTCCACTAAGCATTGCAAACTCTAGAAAGGCTCTCTGCTTTGCCAAGGCGTCAGATAGGTGCCCTTCCTGTTGTTCACGGGAATAAAAGAATACAGAAACCGATTGGGATAACTCGTCACAAAGGGCAAAGAGAAATAACAGAGTTGGGAAAGTTTGGAAACTTTTAAAAAATTTGTGGAGAGAGAAAGCTAGCTGGCTGTACCAAAGTAGATTAAGAAAGGGGGCAGAGCAGCTAGTGTCTGAGCGGTTTTAGCAAACAGGACACGTCGAAAATAGGGCTGCGGAAAAGGTATGAAATATGCGCAAGAGAGCGATTTTACCTTCGCTAAAGTTTTCGCCTGGTTGTGCTTGATCTCAGCCAGACGCTTTGCCGACTCTTTGGATTCGTTTTCGTCGTTGCAACGACGGGCAGCCTGCGGGTTTTGGGTTACAAGAATGGTAGACACAGAGGCAGAAAGTTCACTTTTCGCGAAGGGCATAACAAAAGAAACGAATACAAAACATATGAGGCACAATTATTCACACAAGATCTCGTGGCATTTGGGTGAATAAGCGCACCAAATGCGATGAACAGTAGACAGCAGCTGGACTGCTAAAAGCGTGTTCTTGAAAGAGCAACACGACACTTGTGATAGGCAGTAGGAAGAAAGCGACACGAAATCTATTGCAGTGGATGCATCAGTAAAGTAGTTCGAAAGCAATAGTAAGTCTTTTTGGTGGCTTTGATAAAGGTGCGTTTGTGCTTCCTTTTTTTAGGCGCAAGCCTGCATTCATAGCTCTGTCTTTCTTGGCGTTTGCTTATCTCATTGTTCCCTGTGCATCGTGTGTGCTTATCTCCTTCGATGCCGTCGCCTATTTTCTGGTTTGTGTATCTTTCATATTGCACTGATCTTGTGTATCGTGGATTGACTCTGATAGTCTCGTTCCTGCTACTGTATTCTTGCCTGCAGGCTTTCACTGAAGAAGAGTTCCGCTGCTTCCCACCGCCCAGCTGCACTCTCGCTGTCTCCTGCGAGTATAAGATTACGGAGCAAGACCGAATGTGTCAAATGCTTTCCGACTTTAGTGCTAATGGGCACCAGATAACGGCTCTTCTGTCAACTAGCAAATATGAGGGCATTCACTGGAGCTGCAAGCAACAGGAAAGCCATGTTTCTAACTGAATGCATAATAAACCCTTGTTCAGTTCAAGATATATTGTACACATTTGTAAACTCTTTTACTGTGTTGTAAGCTTTTCAAGCTGTTTTCAGTTACTACAGCCGTCACAATTTTGAGTTTCCCAAAGTCCGTTTTGATCTCCCACCTCACCAATGTCTCTCAGTAACGCAGAAACAATGGGCGAAGCCGCTGTGTGCCTGGCTAGCGTTAAAGAGGTTTGCCGTATGAGAGCAGCGCTCGTTGGGGCTTTATGGGATGCGAGAAAGTTTGCAAGTTCCTGTCTGATCTCCAATGCTTTCTCTATCTTCCCACAGGCAACAAGCGACTCCGAATTCACGCAAGCAGCAGCCACGCGACGCATTGTTGCACTCTGAGCTGGAGGCAAACAAAGACCCGAGTTCGAGAGTTTACAGCGGACGGCTGAAGCTTCCACTTCGAAATATCATGACCTAGGATCTGTGCTTCAAATGGCAAAACATTATTCAGACGGCGACAGAGTGCTGCAAAGGCTCTATGCAAGAAGAAGGGCAACAATGCCGAAAAGAGTAAAATAGGACGAACGTAAGAAGAATGAGGGCGGATCGTTTTACTAAACTGTAGGAAGTGAGCTGGTTTTGAAACTCTGAACAACCAAGTTGCATTTAGAAAGCTAACAGTGTATTTGAGCTTCGGAATTTTTCCCGTACTACGCTGCTCAATGGCTAATTGCGGAATGTTCTCATCGTGCCTTCTCGTTACTCAATTATTCATGTGCAAGTATCCCCATTAATTTGCTGGCTCGCACGCATTAAATACTATTTGTTTGTTTTAATTGTTGTGGATGCAATCTGATTGGACACCATGGGATGTGTTTGCCTGCCTTCGCCCTCCACTTCTAGGGTGTCTAGTTCATCTGCGTTCAGGGAAAAGAAATCGATGAAAGCTCCAGGTCGTCCGCTCATCAGCAGTGAAACGCAAATGCTTTTCTGCAGAGAATCAAAGCTAGACGAATCCGAACCCAAGAAAGCTGAGAAAATCGCGAAAGACAAATGGGCAATTTTCGGTGACGAGTATGAGAAATTCGTTGAAGCGCACCGGAGGTGGGGTCGGAAGAGGCAAAATTTGCTAGTTGCTTGTTGTATATCTATAAGTTACAATACACAAAGTCTCTCCATTTGTTTCTACATTTGAATTTATCCATCTTTTCCGGATTCTTTACTTTCGTTGAATTATTATAGCCAGAGCTGCTTCCACACACATCTGTATACTGTGCTGACTTTTGCCATCATCATGCTGATTCTCGTTTTCCCAAGTCTCGGCTTTACTGTTTTTCAAGGAAACTGCTGTGGTCGATTGTGTAGGGCGATTAGTCAAAGCATATCCCAACGGCGAAAAGGATTCGGTATTTTCCATTTCTCGTTACTTGTTATGCCTTCTGTTCGAATATCTCGAAAGTGCTAGGTTTTCTGTCTTGCCTTCTCCCAATCGCTGTCGTTGTGACTGTCTTGAGCTAGTACAGGCTACTTTGTGAGCTTGAGATCTGTTGGAGACCTCAACACTGGCCTTTTACTTTGGAAGCTCATTGAAAGTGGTATTGGGAGCAGTAGAGATGCTTGGGCCTGGATTCTTTATTGGGCAAGAGGAAAGTGGCATTACAACCGGAGTCACTCCTCGGCGCTATGATGCAGCAAAAGATCATAGGAGCGTTCTAACCAGGAATTACCGAGCTGGTTAAGAGAGAATAGTCCGAGCACCGCGAGTGACCGCAGTAAGGACAAGCACATTCCTCGGATTTTAGGTGGATTTCCGTATCAAGTAGTGGATTTCTGGGCATATATAGGCGGTAAATTGATAATGTAATGATCAAAAACGGCATTTTCACCACAGTGAGGTGAAAATGCTCAGCCCCAATGGCCCGCGCATTGAAGCACAGCCCTGGTGACCGCAGAGGCTCAAAAGAGATTAGCGCTCCCAAGCACTTCCAACTTCATCAAATTCACTAAAATAATATCTATTTTTAAAAATATGTTTAACTGATATTCGATATGTTTCTTGATGTCTGAAACTTAAAAGGCAGCGAAACAAAACTGAAACGCGGGGCGCTCGTTCGTTTTACACTGTTCCGAAAATACGATCGATCGACTTCAAATCTATTAATTCCTAACATCCAAGCTGCTCTAGGCCTCCCTCGGGTTCACAGCTCTCCGCAGCTGATAGTTTCAATACCTAGTCAGGGAAGAGCAAGCTGTGTGTTACTACTTGGAGCACCCACAAAGGGCATCATAATCTATCCCAACAAACTACACTAGTTTCAGCAGTATATATTCTGTCGTTATGCCAATACCGTTATCTGGGCATTTTTCATAAGGATGAAGAAGAGGGGTCGGGCTGTGCAGAACCCCTGGCACACGACATACTGGTATATCCATGATAAAGCACCACATAAAAGCAGGAAACCCTTCTTAAAAGTAAACATATGCTAGGCCCATACCAAGCCAATTATATTAATCTTTTCTCTCACATCCCTGGCGGGCTCCCCTGAATAAACCTCCAATGGTTTGATCTACTGATATGTGAATAAAGATGCACGCTTTATAGCTTTAATACACGAGTGCGTCCGTGGGTCAAATAGACGGCACTTCATTCCTAATTAAGTACTATACGAAACAAAAGACGAGAAAGCAGAGTGTCAGACGATCACAAAGCACACAGTACTAGATGCCGCTGGGTAACCAGGGCAGACCAACTATGGAGCAGTTTGTGCTTCTCTTATTCCATATATGGATGAATGACGAAATTCCTGAGCACCAGTGCAATCACCTGAGCAAACAGTAATGCAGCACAAGGATTTGAGGTCTGGTGAGAGGTGCAAATGAAGCAAGTGAACAGAATAGTTCTAAAATAAATCTAAATCATAGTATAATCATGTTTTTTTCTCGTCTCATTTTACAGGCAACGGAATAACTACAACTACAAACGCGTGCAGCCTGAGATAATCTTGTTTTGTGCGTTCAATGTAGTATGCTGTACGTCTATTGTAACGGGGTGACACAAAATAACTCAGTGACTTTATGAAGAATATGGACCTCTTTTTTGTGCAGTAGCAATCCACGGCAAGTATGAAAATACAAAACTGGTAAATAGGAGATGCCTATGACTTAGGTTTACACCCAGTTAGAACATCCAGAATTACCTGGAAGAAAAGGAGGAACACAATAATCCAAGTCATGCGGAATTCCTGCCCTGAAACGCAGTATCATTGCTCACACACTGGTCTATCTTATCTCAAGAGCTAACTAGAAATATAGGTAACGTTCTCCTGTGATATTGGAATGTTTTGCAATTGAATGAGTGGCAACTGAAGAAGTAAACTGCTCACCGGAGGGCATGCCGAGATTAAACAAGAACTTAATCTAGCTTTGATAGTGCAAAGTAAAGAAAAAGAAGGGTCTTAAGCTAAGGCGATGCGTGAATAGCCGCTCAAGATGGAATATACGTTCGAAAGAAGACTTTCAAAGTAAGCATCACATAGAGCAGCAACTGAACACAAACTCATAAACTAAATATCCATATAATTACGCAGCAAGACTAAAATAAACAGATGCGGTGTAGGACGAAGGCATAATAGAACGGAGATTCAAATCAATCAAATACGCTAGCTTCGAAGTATCATGCAAACAAAGCTTGTCTGATAGGGAACAAACAAAAGTATGGTAGATCAAAAGGGGAATAGCCAAAGATATCTGCACGTACTCGTTCTTCGCTCCTCTCTGACCACTTTCAGAAGTTCGTGGATGCAGAAATAGCGATTGTTAAGGAGGTTTATCCGCTTTTGGATTTCAAGGTGACTGTATAACTGAAGGACGTAAAGTCACAGAAGACTGCGTCCACAGAATACAGGGAAAATCAGCGCTATCGCGCTTGAATGCAGTTAGCAGTTAATACTGCTGTCGAACAAACACACCAGAAATTTTCTTAGGGGCCTCCGTCTCGCTATATATTGGCCATGGCATATGTGCCACACTCGTGTTGCTAGCAAGATAAACTTCACACAGCAGGTGAGAAGCAAGTCACCGCACATCATCAGCTCTTAACACTCTGTACATACGCCTCAAGCACAGAAACGCCTGCATCTACATGTTTAAGGGCATTACACATTAACAGGTGCCTAAGGAATATTGAAACGTGCCCCCTAACATAGAGAGAAGGCTCACTCTTGCCCAGAAGTGCTGCCACGTGTCGTCGTTCCAGAAGTATTCGGGGACATCTCGGAAGTCTTGAAAAAAAAGCCAGACCAAACGTTGAAGGGAGTGCAGTGCTGAGTCATGTACAGCTGAATACCGGGGACGGTAGACACGATCTCGAATTCATTGCTTAAATCTTTCACGCAGTTTTTTGATCTAAAGCAAGCCCGTTTAGGAAAGCCAACCAACACAGTACACGAGCGCTCTAGCGTATTTTGTACACTCCAGAAAACGCGAAAATCAACACACGAAAGGGACGGTAGCTGCACAACGGTCCAATGATTCAATTGTATATGGGAAGCAGGCAAAACCATAAGGACAATTGAAACCAGCCAAGCAAAGGCACGAAAACATGTACCTTGTACGATATTGACGTCGACGACTTTACCCAGAAGATCCCCGCAGAGACAGCTCCAAGCCAAGGGTTGCATAAGTGCAGGAGAAGGAAGTGTTCTGGAAGACGTCATCCGGAAACACCTCCGTACTAGAGTCCACACCGCTAAGGCTGTCGCAGGTTGTTCTTCCTCTTCTGCAGACCCGAAGCGAGCCATGCGTTCTGGGATGGCACGGACTCGAGCAATGGTGAAGTTTATTAATGACTCTGAAAAAACAAAGGGGGAAAGAGGGGAACAAATGCCAAAGTACAACAGCGGGTACAGGCAAAGGCACAAAAGTCAATATCACATTCAGAGAAAATACTTCAACAGCAAATGCCAAGCACATTTGTTGAATGGTGCAAAAGGAGTGTGTTCTGCCCGTGTTTGCTGCACCGTAGACGCTAAGACGGATGGACTGCGAAAGCGCGAAAGACGCCGCCAACTTCTCGGCCACAGATTCGGTCTGAAAGGAAACAAGAACAGCAATTGTGGAAACTGAGGATATTAAAGCCAACATCTTTGAAAGAAAGCAGCGTAAGAGTTTTCGTGCTGACCAGACTACAACAAGCAAAATGCAAAAGGAGAAAGTGTTTTAAGAAGCTTGGTGCATGGACCAAGCTGCGGGCGTCATTCAGCATAGCGTTTGAATCACAAGAATTTACAAGGGGTACCAGACTAAGTACACGAAGCATCCATAGCTAAGAGTAGGGAGAAAGGCCAATTACTTTCAGATAAATACAGTCTTGAAGAATTCTCGTTTTGGGAACCTAAACGGAAAAAGATCGACACAACAAAAAAAGCGATTTCCAAAAGCAACGGGCTCGGCCGTCGCACCGTGAATCACAAGTATATATCTGCACTGAGGCTAACGCATCCAATATTACTTCATTTGCTTGATGTTCTTCACCTAGACCCTAAAATCATCCCAACTATGATCGCAAAGGCGGTCAGGCCCAGTTGAGCGCACTTGACATAGTGTGTACCTGCACAGGTGATTTGCGTGTCCATCAGATACAATGGAACATTACACAAGAAGCTCAATAAACTTCAGACTCCCTTTATTATGGAGAGGAAAAAGCTTAATTCTGTTCCCAGCACTAAGGAGCCAAATTACCTCAAAGGCAGGGCATTGCTTTCGGACTTGACGGATATATGTATAACGCATCACGTCCTCCTGCACCATATCTGCTCTAATGAACCTCGCTGCAAGAAAAATTGGAAATAAGAAGAAGCACACACTGCTTAGCCTTCACCAATGACAAATGCTTCTCGGGCGACGATACCAAGGAAATGAACCACACTTGCAGAGCAACATAGACAGTTGAATAGAAATAGACGATTGCGAAGGTAGTGCGCTCTGGAAACGCAAGAAAACAAAAGGCGAGTAAGTATGGGAGATGAAAAGCTTTAATAATTTCCATCTGGCTGTTAGGGGTCACCTCGAGCATGATAATTGTACAATTCGGCATTGCACCCCACATGCTGAGATCATAAACTGCAAATGAAGCCATTGGGCAAAAGCGCGTGAGGCTACCTTTCTGGGAATCCGTTCCAACCAACGGATATATGAAGAAACTGATGATGGTATCCTCGGTCATGCGTGCCATTTTGGCGGAAAGGAGCTTAAGACTATTTAACACTTGAGCCTATATTCTTACTGCTACGAATTTAGCATTCAGCCCTCAAAGAGGGGTTTACTGCTTTTGCTAGGGTCATTGTTTGGGAGAAGCGAGGACTCAAAAGCTTCAATTTCGAGCTTTTCACTAGGGTATTCAGTGCTCACTTGCAAACTGGCTGAGGAAGAATAGGAGGCTAGACAGTAATTCTCGTCGTCCCCTCGACTCCTGAGCCCGTCTGTCCGATGCGGCTACCCACATGATGACGGGACCTTTTTCAAATATAAAGGCAACCGTAACATTCGTCGCATCGTAGCGTTGCCTATTTATGGACAGAGAGCGCATTCCTCTTCTCAGCAAGCGAGCACCTCCAGCTGCTGCGGCTTCAATCTCAGAGGAACTATAGTGAAAGGCAGTGCAGCCGTTGGAGGCTACAGACACGCGGGAAGGATTACCAGCAAGCGGACTATTTGGCCCCCAATTTGACTCATCACCATCCCCCACAGCCAGCACTGCACTGGTACACGAATGAACACCAACCTCCAGATCAGAGAAACCGCTCATTGGGCCGTGAAAGCCACAGGTCGCTTCAAACGCTTCCTGGCTCCGGGCCTGGAAACGAAACACACACACATACACACACACACAGTAGAGCACGCATAAGCTTGCAAGCACCGAAAGATACAGAATCTAATGCCCTGCATCTCAACCTTCGCATCAAAGTTCTTGTATTGATGCAGAGTACGTGGGAAACTGTATCCAGTGCACATTTTGGCATATTGTTTTTTGCCTCTTTGAAACAGCCGGGTATTGCGCAAATGCATGTTGTGACAGATGCGGAGTGTTAAGAAGCCAACAATAATGCATGGAGGAATAGCAGCATGAGCGTAACGGAGTAGGGGGGAAAAGTATTGCAAATGAGCGATTCCTTCGTTTCACCTTGGGGTCAGCGAGGTGCAAGCTGTCGTCAACTTCGAGCATCAAAACACTGTCCGCGTCGCCCAGAAAACGGCACTGCACGCGCTTCCTGAGTTGAATATAGTTAACGCAGGGAGAGGCGCACAAAATTCAAAACACAGCAGTGATAGGGATGTCACTGACGGCTGGCCCTTTGAGAGAAACGACAAGAGCCTCCGCAGTAGGCTCTCGAACAAATTCAAAACAAATAGAAACACAACAGGTCAAGCCACAAGTTGGCTCTTTCAGCATGGATGGCTCTTGGAGAGGGCGAGCGGAGCAATCGAGGCGCCAATACACCATTATACCCTCGACTCACTGCAAGGCGTCCTGATGGACTGCACGGATGTTGTATCCTTCGACGTGACAAAAGGAATAGACGAAACTCGCACAAACTGGCTGAACGAACCGCAGGATGCCAAGACCACAAAAAAGCAGCTACACATGCGCACTCCGAACTTTTGTCTAATGCCGAGAAACCCAAAATCCGGAACCGTTTGGCCAACAAGGCAAGCGTCTTTCAAGTGCAGAATACGGTGCTTCACCACATTCTTTACTCAGACAAGCGAGGGTTGGTGAGTAACTCCAGGAAGCTTTGGTGCCTACTACATGGGCTGTTAAACTGTTTGCCCCTATCCTCTACAGTTACAGTGGCAGTCTGCGCGTTCACAGTAGTGTCCTGTGAGGGCGTCTGATCCACGCGCTCAACCAGTGTGCTTACAAGTTGAGGTGCTCTCTGATCGTCGCTAGCGAGCTCTCTCATGAATTTCTCGTTTACCCAGGCAACACGAGGGGGAGCCTTTGAACGAAGCCGCCGAGGTGCAAGGCAGGCAGTACCCGATCCAGTTGCCTTTGACACTGACGACGCGCGAACAGCACCAGCTGAAGGCCATGCGCCAGCTCCTGGCTGTCGCTGCTGGTGCCGCCTCCTTCCTGCAGGCGCGTCCTTGCTCTGATGCATCTCGTGAAGATTGCGCTTGGTGTCTACTTGAGTTTTCCCGTCGTGCTTGTGTGCGTCTGCTGCAAGGGTCGAACCAAGGGGAACTTTGGAATCGCGGGTAGTAACCCGCTTATCCAGAGGGGCAGAACGCGGCGGCACCTCGATGCTGCCGCTTTCACATCCTGAATTACTTGCCGAGTCGGATGCTAAGGATTCCTCGCTCTTTCCTACGCGCTCTGCCGCATAAGAGACGCCAATGGGAAGATCCATGCTGCAGCTTGAGCCGGGGATGCGACGTTCTGACATTCGTGCAGCAAATGATTTGCGTTGTTATATCTGGGATACTACCTTCCTCTTGCGTTGCCGGGAATGTCGTCTCGTCCAGTTTTCTCCTTCTTTAAAGCAGTCATGCACACATTCATTCGTGTTGTAGACCCTCTTTCGTCTAGATTAGAGAGCTCCTCTGTACTCACGTTCTTAAACATTCAGTAATAAACAAACATGAAGAGGAAACACGGAATGAGCCCCTAAAATTCGTGTCTATTGCTTGCCAGCTGTGGCCACTAGGCGCCGAAACAGCTGAGATTAAACTCTAGATTGGAAAACAAAGGCATTAGAAAAGCGGAGTACCTTCCTCTCTGGGAAGCATTGAGGCGCTGCAGCTACGAAGAATAAGGAAGAAAGAACATCACACAAAAGCTATTCAGGGGTACGGGGAATTGAGAAAACCGGGTATCCACAAGGGCGTTTCCCCTCGACAGATCTGGTGGATCCGCCAAACTGCTTTAAAAAACGAAATAAAAACGAAAGGACGAATATCTAGCAGCCAAATATGATGGCAATCGATGGGCTGTACACACACCAGCTCAACATCAGCCCCATGGAGTGATCCAAAAGTACATATTTATGTGAAGAAGTCCGTATTGCAGAGCTGTATTAAACATTATCAAGCCTTCTTTTCGTGGAAGGTTTTAAAACTTCACGCTTCCTGACGAAGTTTGTGTAAGGGTGTGACTGCATCCTTCCAGAGGACATCCTTTACGCACCCGGCTAAAGCACATAGGGATGTTAGATGTGGTCTGTAGCTAGTGAATTACAAGCAATTCTTTCTCCGATTTTTTGACGGCATCGGCTCATAAGCAGCACTTCGACTACGAACATTACTGCAATGTTGGGAGTTTCAGTCGAAATATCCCACTCCACATCCATGTACACAAAACATTGCATGCCCTCCCTTGCTGTGTAATTTCAAGGGACCCCATGCATAGCTCGTTAAGCCATAAATATTCGATGCTAACAAACATACGGAGTCCTTGTCAAAGGGGAGGCATCAGCCTTTCCTAGCTACAGCAACTCGATACTTACCACACTTAAATAAAAGGTGCATAGATATGTCCATCTAAGGACTCCATAGGGATATCCTTGGTTCCATATTCAATGCGAACCTAATAGAGCCTCATTAAGTGTTTTATCCAAAGCCTTGGTCTTGCCTTGGCCTCCCCACTCAAAGTTCCATACACAGGGGGAGGCTGGCTGCTAGGGTAGATGTTGCACCTCCTGAGCCCTCCGAGCATTCACAACTACTTGCACGTAACACCCAGAGCACATGCATAGAATATACTGTCTTGCTGCATCGAAGTCACAGTAATCTATAATTTGAAAATATATGAGCAAGCCAAAAGGCTAATTTTTCACAAGCCTTGATAAAACAACTAGTGTAGAAAACAGGTGCTGGGAACACCCTACCCTACTACGACAGTTGTAAAGCAGTTGTCCTTATTTCAACTCTGCTTCATGCTTAAAATCGAGCAGAGGAATCAAGAAAACGCTTTTTCTAAATTGTAACATGTTAATCTAATAGCCATTCACTATCTGTTCCTTAAAAGTAACCTGGTGCTGCTTCATGGTGTTACGAATTACACGGAATGGCATTAAGGGCAGTCATGAGCCTAGCACCGAGCTTTACCACTGACGCACTTGCTCTAACTCGTTCTTTCCCTTGCGATCACCTTCATTCTCTTAAAGGGGACAAAATGGAAAAACTGTACTCCAGTCTGCCCCAAGGCAGTACTAAGTCCGTTCGGTCTGCTGTATATTGATGTAGGGCACTGCTTGTGCAACACAAGAAGCCCTGAGAACTCTTACTAGCCTGTCAAAAGCGCTGTGCTACATATTACCAGCTTACGAAAAATCAAGGAGAAGCCGCCTCTACCTCTAGAGACCTCCCTCACCATCCTACCCACTGGGATGCGGCCGGGATCACCTGGAAAGGAAAAGGGGGGTTCGTTCAAGAATTACAGTTGGTGACAGTAATGGAGGGCAGACGAGAGACTGCGAGAGTCTGCTGCTGCTGCTTTATGTGACATTCTTTCATTTGCTCCAGTTGCCGCATCATATCAACTGGTATCACACTTTGCTGCAGAAGAACACGAACTCCGCGGGATCGAAGGCGATGCACAATTGGGGAGCCCTCGCCAAGTTCCTTAGCTACTGGGCAGCCGTACAGCTCGAGGTGCTTCAACTCTGCTAGCTGTTCCTGTTGAGGCAATAGTAGGAAACAAAAAAAAACTTAATAGGAACATCGCCAAACAGGACAAAGCCAGATGCAGCCCAAGAATGCACTATCGCCAGTAGCCCGCCGACTTTACTTAGCACATAGGCAATGGCATGGGCAAGGAGAAGCGGGGGCAGGCAAGGGTCGAAACAGGCGAGCAAAGAGAAACAATGGGAGGCAGTGCCGACAGGTTCCTTCCAAAAAACCAGATAGAAGAGTGATGATTTGCTCAGGTCAGTGTCCTGTAGACTCTGGTAAAAGTGGCGTATTCGCATGCTGAACCCTCTTTTATGTGTCCTCCTTACCAGTGGCGCCAACTCAGCTTCGCTAGCAATCGGGTTCAGTGCCAATTTGACGACCTGTAGCTTGGGAGCTCTTGCGACAAGCCTAGCTAGCTGCCCAGTTATGCGATTGCAGCTGCAGTTTAGTTCGCGAAGGTGAGGAAGGCAAGGGAAATACTTGAATCCTTTCAGAACATTGCCCCACATGTTCAGTTCCTAGGGCACAGCAGAGGCAAAGCCCATTCAAATCAAGTCATAGTGTCCTAGAGAACGCTCGGACCGAGATCGGGGACTACCAAACAGTGGAAATGTGGTGCAAATTCGCTTGCTAGTTGCAAGGCGCCTTAGTGCTCGTTGATTACCGTAAGCGATGGCTGATGAAGTAGGCCTTTGAAGCTGTCTATTTGGTTGCCCTGCATGTGCAGCGAGCGCAGCAGCGGGAGTCTGGGAAGTCCAGAGAAACTATCAAGCTGCACATACAGCAAAGAGAGCTCCCTGAGTCCAGTACATCGTTCCAATAGATCTGTGGCTGCAGCATCAATTGTTGAGAAGCGGTGTGCTCTGTTCTTCAGACCGTCTACTGTCATTGACTCGATGGCCCCTACAAGCACCAAAGCAACACACAAAGAAAAATGAGGCAAAAATATTCAGCAAGCCGTAAGAAATCAATATGAACGATGGGGCAGATGCTAGCACTGTGCACGTGGGCTGCATGTTGTTGCTTCACTGATGACAGAGGGCACGCGACTAGGTCCCGCCCTTTAGCATATTCGATTCCTGCTATCAACAGCAGCACGAATAAACGAGCCGCAGCCAAGGATTCAAGTTCGCCCACTTTTACCTCGATGCAAAGCTAAGAAAGCAGCCGATACAGTCCTAGAGGCTAGAGGCCGAAGTCACAACTAATACTAGTGCTGGAGGTAATTCAGATCTCCAGCCAATGGATTTGTTAGAAAAACGATATACGGACCCGGCAAGATACTGAAGGAGCTTGAAAAGTGCAGTACAGGAGGATGCACATACGGCGCTTCGCCGTCGACCGTAGTGTCCTCGCGGCAGTTCCCATATCTCTTAGCTGCCTGTTCAGCTGCCTTGAGGGCCAGCACCTCAAAAAGGGATGCCATCAGTCCTTGAGTACACGAGATATTAGGGTCGGTGTAGGGAGAACCTATCGCGAGTGCGGTGTGTTCGCTGCAAGAAAGAATGGAAATTATAAAGGGCGGACAGAGTAGTTGTTACACGAAAATTGTGGAGGATCAGGGGGCATGCTCAAGCTTTTTGCAGAAACTGAGAGCTTACCTTAAAATTCACATGCGATTTCAATATGATGGAAAGCGTAATCTGCACAGCAGCGGAAATCGAAAGTCGAGTATTAGCTGCGAAAAGGAAAAGTACATTAGGAAGCTCTCTGTCTCTCAACTGGCCTCTTTCTTTGCGTTTTGTTGCTATATTCCATACCTGAAGGGACTCTTAGGTAGGTTGAATATTTTTAGTTCTCGGGAGGACCTGCGGGCGACTGGTCTTCCGTTGGAGCCGCCGTCGATATAAAGAGGCTAGTGGAGAAGGAAATCAAGCAGAAAACAAAACGAAAAGTGCGGACAATAACCTAACACATACAAAATGGAGTGGAAAGTGTATTTGAGTATTCCAGCAAATGGCTGCGCACTTATCAACCTGAAACCAGTGGCTGTCATACCGCTAGCTCAGTTACGGAATGTGGCCTTTAGGGTGCAAATTCACGTTAACTCCCTGAAAAGGTTGCTCAAAGCCTTATTTGTAGGCCTTTTACGGGCAGAAAGCAGCTAAGGAAAGCCAATATTCGCTAAAATTTTGTCATTTCCTCAGATATTTAAGAACATGCAGAAGCGTCCGTTCACCCCAGGGCCCTTGACGGCGGTAGTCTACGTGAGAAATGAACGACAGATAAGGAGTCACCCTCAGCATTTACTTAAAGAGATCCCGAAACCGTTTTATGCTAGAATTCATAATCATGCGTGCATATTTTCCATGCTATAGCGCAAATTCGTTGTGTGCCTCCATTTCTGTGTACGAGTGTCTAGCATTTCAGCAGAGCCTTGAAACTTAGTTGATTATGAGGGCAACACCGGGCATCCGAGAGTGATAATGCCAAAACCACTTGGCCAATTCACGTCTTGACTACATATTTTAAGTACAAGGAAAAAGAACATCTGGAAACACTGAAGCACAGCTAGCACTTCGCCTGGTGAATGCATGCCGCAGGTACTAGTAGATGACCTTATGTTGCGTGCTCGGAGGCGGCTTGTTACCCCGGAGACTGACTAGCATGTCAAAAGTCATTGAATTCCATTTGGTTGGATTGATAAACCTTCAATGAAACGCTGCACCATTTGTTGCCATTCCGCGCGGCTCTTCACCAACAAACGACCATTGCACTACTGGCTTCAAGCCAGATCTGTGAGCAAGAATGCACGTGTACCAGAATCGTCTGTCCGTTTCCTACTCATTGCGCCCTAAATACTTTCCCGTTACGCAGTAGTGTCTTTCGCATAGTAGTGTTGGCTTTTAAGTACCTTTTATGTCGCCCCAGTACACCGAGTTTAAGTCTTGAATGATTAATTGATTCACTTTTTTTCAAAAACCTTGTGAGAAGGACATACCGATGAAAACTAAGTCCTAGGAGATCGTGGTTCTTAAAAGTCTTGCCCCTTACCAGTCAGTGGCAAAATCTGGCTGAAACGCTCTTCCCATGGCCTCCACATGGAGATGCATCAGCTTACACTCACACAAAAACTTGAAAGAATGCTGTTTGGTGACGTGTCATCCCCCTTCTTCTTATCATTTCACATGGCTACTCAAAGTTGTACGAGATGTCAGAAATATGTGAGCCCCCTGATACGATCCGACAAAACAAATGAAGCGCGTAAAAAGCACACAAGCTCAGCAGTGACTTGGCGATTCATGGAGCAGTGTCGCAGCGGCCAGTGCGTGGATGATGATCGATTTTTGCGACCCACAGGAGCACATAACTGTGTGTGCCTACGCATGAATCTGAGTGAAGAGAACACACCAGCAAAAATAAGGAGAAATTTTCAAAACAATGTTTGTCATGAACGTAGACGTCAGGTGGAGCATGCGCTGGGGAGACAAAAATACCAAGGAATCCAAGGAGTTTGTCTCGTCCATCTACAAAACAACTGTGGTAAGCCAGTACTGATAGCTCTATGAATCCTCGAAGTCTAGGTAATTCGATCGAAAAAGAAGGGACGTCGACGTTTTACTGATATGCAAAGGGTCCTAGTCACCTTGCCGCAGACTCCGTCTGGTAACCTCCTACTGCACATCACAAAGCCTGTCGAATCACAAGGGCTATAACTGCAGGCTTGAAACAGACAGTCGGACGCAGCTTATCGTGGTTGCCTGCTGGCCTTTTGAACTTGGCGCATATACTTTGATGTACTCGCCAGCTGTTCTCTAGAGTCTCGCCTCTACTAGGGTCGGCTACATAGCGGCCTCGGAGAACCAGTTCCAGGCGCGAATTCGGAATGATAACTTCGGCATTAACCAACGATACGGGGGTTCAACAGTTAGAGGAGTCCACCATATTCCAAGTCTACTCGGCACAAAAAGTAGCACAAAAGATTTGAGTTTTTTTTAGCAGAGTTGCAAGTACTACAGAAAAGTGCTGCTGGTGCCCTCTGGCTGCCTATCTGCCTTAAGATAGTTCCTGGGTCCTGTATACATGTGTCGAAAAGGCGCTCCAGAACGTACTAAGGTAATATAAAATTCCCATCTATGATGTTCCTCTTGGTAACTCTTGAAGCGTCTAGACATGAGCTCAGGAGTGAGTGACTTTCCGAGCCATGACAGAGCTGGGGCAAGGGATTAATTGAAATTTTTATTTCTTTGGCCAGGACTTAGATGCTATTCTGGCCCTTGGCCTCGCGCAATGCCGCAATGTAGACTGTTGTCAGACTACTTACAATTCTTTCAGGAACCGGCAAGCTTTGCAAAAGGTCGGGCTTAAGAGAGCTTCTTGGCTTTTGCAGCTGAAGTGGGCATGACAGTGCATACTGCTCGGCCACGAGACATAACCCAGGCCATTAAAACGCTGGCCATGAGAACTTGTACACTATCCTGTGGATCCATCCATGACCTGAAAGAGCACCAACGTGTACTTTGGGCAAACCAGCACTACAGAGTGGTGGTATACACAAGCGACAGAGCCCCCGCTTTGTTGAGCCTCAGCGGGTTATCTTTTAAGTCGTAGTGATTCACCCTTTTGCCACTCTGGCTTTCGGCAATACTAGTGGGTGCATGGATGCCAAAAGCGTAAGGCTCATGCAAGTTCGACATCACCGTGACTCGTTACAGGCAATAGCGGTTGCGCTGCACAATAGTCAATAACTGGGTTGTCGCATGAGTGCCCCGCTGACCCTTTTGTCATGGCTTTAAATTGCTTCATTGTAAAGTCGAATTGCAGGAGACTCTCAAGACCGGAAGTAGCTTGAATTACCCAAGGCCCGACACCTTGTCATAAGATACATACAGACTGGTGGCCAGTCTGGACAGTAACGTAAACCCCCCATAAAGAATCTCGACATTTTCCACGCCGACTTCACCACACAGTGTTCCTCTTCCCTTGTTAAATACCACTGCTCGGTCTGGGTGAAGCGATGAAAATAAGAGAAGTACATGGGTAGATGGAGAGCCCGTAGCTAAAAAAGGAATAAAACCCATCACTCTGGCACTACTATAAGCTCCTACGAAAAATTGACGTTGATAAGTAGGCTGCGCGAGTATTGGAGGGGCTGAAAGGTGGTCAGTAAGCGTCTTTGCTGCGGCATCGGCCCATACGCAGGTAACGCACTGTGATTTTTGACAGTATCTCACTTAAACGAGCAGGTATATGAGAAAATATAGAAATGAAAGTTCCAAGTATACTCTAACCCATAGACGTTCGCAATGTCCTTGCTGGTGATGCCATATGTAGCTAAGTGCCGGGTACAGTGTAGATCCTTGTAGGTTATCAAGCGATGCGCCATATGAGGCGTCGGGAAATTCTGCTTCATAGTGTTCTTGTTCAGAGCTTTCGCTTCGAACCACATGAATAAGCCTTTAAAACCTTCATCTTTGGCTATTGCGGAGACGCTCACTGAAAAGCAGTAGGGCTTACCAAATGACCATGAAGATGCTTCCCTCCTCGATAGGGTAAGACATCTAGATTGCGCATAAGGGCGATGGCGTTAAACAGATGTACTCATGGACTGCTGCCTATCACATGCTCAGATCAGATAAGCGCAAGCAGTATTGTTATTGATTGAATGAGTTGAGAGGCAAACTCAACCGAAGGCCCATGTGGATGGCAAATGATACGGCTGAAATACATGGAAAAGCGAATGCCAGCAAGAAAATATTAGGGCTTTCACAAAAAGGAGAAAGGGGAGGAACAGTATACTCCGCTTGCACATTACGCTTTTGCCCTCCCATCGTGGGAAAGCGAAGACGGAATACAGGTACCTACCTCATTGTTGACTTCCAGAATCAGTGGATGCACAACAGACAGATGCAACACGCGCTGCCCCTAGTGGTGTGACCCAGCAGCGCTCTACAGGATTCACACCAGGACACTACCCAGCACGATAAGGAACACTCACCAGCCTTTTTTGTAGAGTGTACATACAAACTGGGCCGCAAGTGACTAATAGAATCTCGGTTCATATTTACTTTCAAGCCTACAAATGAGATTTCTGGCCTGGCCCTTATTAGCTTTACCACTGAGGCTCCAGCATTCTGCCTCTCAATTGTTGCTATCAGGTTTGAGCATCCACTGGCTCCATCTTCGTGAACTGTGTTTCCCAGCCAATGCGGCGAGCGTAAGTGTTCTTAGTGTGGCTGGTAAAGCTTTTGGAGAAGCGCGCAAGTCACTGATTCCATGGAAGAAGACAGTCTAAATGCAGCTAATATACAAAAAATTAAGGCTTCACCTGTCTGTCCTTGAATTCAAAATTGGATCCTAATTCTCTAAAATATTGATACAGTCCCAAAACCCGAATAAGGCCTCCATAAGCCAGCATTGCAATAGTATATCAGTATTCTGTAACACTTGTATACTGTGTGATTAACGCACATAAAATTAGTAAGAGCATGTCAAAAAACGTACTAATCTCATTTGAGTTCGTTGTGGCTGACGCCTGCTTCTTGCAGATGAAGGGCTTAAGCCAAACCCTACAGCGGAATATCCACCTTTGCTTGCATCGGCCACCCATGCAAGCCAATGTACTATTCTATAGCACGGTGGAGTTGTTTCATCAGCTGCACCGTCTGATTTAGATTACGGCCCTAAGGAAATAAACTGGAATATCGGTTTCTGTCTTCCTGCACACTGCGCAGGGGAATAGCCACACGCGTGTTAAGTGATTCCTAATTTCGAAGATATGGTTGGCAGGCTACAGTCGACTATTGCCTTGCAACGCCGTGGCTTAGATATAGTGTCTTGACAGCGCATGGACCTGTATTGCCACTGCAGTGGAATCGAGGTTGAATAAGCTTAAGTTATACCCGCTTCTAGTAATCGGCTTGTTTTCCCCTAAACCCTGCAGCCGCTCAGGCCACTAGATGGAGTGCCCGTGAAGTTGGCTGAGTCAGCAATGAACCTAGCTGCTGCAACTTTTATGAAAGGTCTTCTCTGCCACTTTGAGCACGAAAAGACGGCAATTCACCGGCCTCCTCACCTCCCGGAAGCCCTCATATACATCAAAGTGTGTGGTGTGAGCTGCGTGCTCTGCTGCTGTCACACGCCATGGCATCCTGCTCCTTGCTAAGATGGGCGAACAGCTTTAGTCGTCTTTCCGGGAGGCGCGCAAAAGTGGTTATCGCAATATCAGCCTGGGTTTTATTTAGGCAAAAAGGAACTTTGCAAAACAAAGCGTTGCAGTTGTGACTATGAGGCCTGCCTCTACACCTGTCGTATGTGTTTTATTCTTATCACCTTGCGTATCTCCACAATAAACTTGCAGAGCGTATCACGAATAGTAGCATAGAAGTGTGTGGTGCTGCGATTTTGTGAATCCTCCGCACTTTCCATGAGCTGCCGATAATAAGAGTCCAGTCGGCACTTGGCTGCTCCCACTTCTTCCGCCGTAGAGTTAAGTTCCGATTATTACATCAATAATTATCAGCATAACCCTTTGTTTTAGAGCCGGACCAAAAGCCACGCAGTAATGCACGGTAAGCCCGGAACGTAGGGCAGATTGTGGGACCAGCATCCAAGACATGGCTTTCACACCACCAACGTCTCTCGTCTGTGCTACCCATATATTCTTCCTGCAGTTCTCCGAGGGAACTCGGAACGGGTGAAGCCAGACACGCATCTGATTACGTGCATTGGATGCACCCTGTCATCCGCAATACCTGAGGCACTCAACCAGCACTCGGAAAAACGACGGGGCAGTGGAGAGCAGCACGTATCTAATTGGCATGGCCTAGCACTCTAGTGTTATCCAACAAAGAGTTCTGTTTTGTGTTATGTGGTGACAGAGCTTGTGAACGCATGAATTACTGGTGGCCCATGGAGCTCTCCTGGGGAGCACTTTCACAACAACCAGTGACTAATGCGAACATGGAGCGAATCAAGCACAAAATACGCCCAAAACGCTCAAAGCAAGCCGAATCTTACACTGATGGTTTTCCTGAAAAATGCACAATTAAGTCAATCGAAAAGGCCCTGCGCTATCGCGCGTTTCTTGATTCATCCTGCTGTATACCCTCATAAGGGGTCGTGATTCGTCTTGTCTTCTCACACACACACGTGAAGGTAGAATCAGAGCTTTTGAATGGCTTTTATGAACAACGATGTCCAATGTACAATCTGGCTCATGTCCTCTCTCTTTACCGTTCAAACAGTTTTGTGCTTCAGTTCACTGGTGTGCTCCAGTCGGATTCGTTTAACTCTGCTTGCGAAGTACTGACGCGTTTAAATAGAGGATTTACACCAGTACAACGAAGCTGATCACTCCGTTGAAACCACCCTGTATGCCTTTGCATTCTGGTGTGAATTGCCTTCTCCAGGGCTGTCGTGGCCGTACCTACAACCGACTTTCTTAATTGCGCTTTTGCTTTATTTGCTTGCGTGAAGGGATATTCATCAAAGAACGAAGGTTTCTGGGTATATGTGGTTCCGAGTTGTCTTTGAAGGATTCACGGAACTGCACGTAGCACACATGCGTCGCGTGTGTACCGGGGGTGTCTGCCGCTGAACGGAGAATTTTCGCTTACAAAGCAGCATATCAGTGAGCTCTGCTTTCAAGATATGAGCCGCTTCCTAGTCACGCCCGTGAAAATGTTCCAAGGCAGCGGGTTGCTTCTATTAGGAAGCACAATTGCCCTAGATGCCTTCTGATGTTTTCCAAGGATATTTTTTGTGCAGAGGAAAGGCACAACAGGTGACGCTAAATAGAGTGCTTCTGGAGCACCTTTCACCCCTGGCAAATCAGTCCAGCTTGGGGCCCCATGAGTGGAGAATTCAGGTAACGTTCATGGACGAGTCCAGGCAGAATGCTCAGCAGTTGATGACTATCATAATAAGCTTTAATGAGAGAGGCCCGTTTGCTCCCATTTGCAACAACTAATCTCAAGTTCCGTGTGAGATGCATCAGAAATGCGAATTGAGAATCGTAGCTTCCGATTGCGGGAAAAAACAACGCCGCAAGGTATCCACAAATAGAACGGGTATTTGTTTCAGTTGCAGTTCCAGCAAAAAGCGTCTACCCCTCGGCCATATGAATACATGGGGAGCCCTTTGCAGTGGCTTTGAGGTCCACTCTTTGCCAATATGTTGACTGAGTCCTGACCTGCAGTTACACGTGTAGAACTGCAGATGACAGCTTGCTGCGGCCATTACTGTCCTTTCTAACCTTGAGGTAAGTGTCGCAAAGGCCTTCGCGACCCAATTTGTAGACAAAAGACTCATCATGCGTGATGAGCAGCAACTGAAACGAACGGCTACCTTGCCGCGCCTTAACCAGCCGCGCCAACGCCTTCGCCAGGCTCTGAATGAAATCAAACGCAGAGGCGGGAGACCCCGAATTCGTGAACTGAAGCCAAAGTTGTGCGACTGTCTTTGCTGCGTGCTGCGGGGGGGACACCGGTAGAATTTCTTTTGCGATGAAGAGAAGAACGCGCCAGTTAGTGACACAGGGCGAGAGAACAGCCGATCAAGTCGAATCCCCTCATGCATGTTTCTAGCGTCGTTGGAGACTGACGACACCAGATGTCCAGGCTTTCGCATGCGGCTAATTTTTCTTTGCCTGCTGCTGGCAAAGTCCGACGCAATAAAGCCCTTACGGGTTTCTTTGCGTGATTTACTAGCAATTCATGCAGCATGAGTCACCCCTACCTCGCAATTGTACATATCAAGGTTCGTTGTCGGCTCGTCGAGAGCGAGCAGCTGACAAGAAGCGCAGAAACACTCGGCTAGGGCGAGACGGATCACCAACGAGGCCAAAACTTTCTGGCCTGGAAGCAATCGGAATAGAGACACACACCAGGAGCGCATGTTGCTGCACACCATACGAGGAAACCGCCACTGCGCTACAGGAATGCGTGCAACTCGAAGGGAAATCCGCATCCGCTTAGAAAGAAGGGCTTTGAAATGCTTCTTGGTCGCCATATACACAATATGCATCTAACGTCGTATTGGGCCATACAAATTAAATTCCCCCAACAACAGCATGCGCACATACTGCGCTGTTTATCGTGATGCATACAATGACTGCTCATGGTCAACAAACATCGGCTCTCCTTGAGAAAGACGCGTATCCACAGAATTTTTGCGAGCAACGGTGAGGGACTGCTGAATGTTTCCCCTTCGAATCAGCGATGCCCTGCAATTCTGCGCAGTTCGCTTGTAGGCTTTCCTTCTTGGGATCACGAATAAAAGGCCACTCACCTGCAGAGCACCTGCCACGCATGTCTATTTCCTTGCCATTAGGGCTGCGCATGACAACTCTATAATTGTAGGACCGCTCCCCCGCGGCTACGCCGCCGACGTTCATCAGCGCTGATTGCTGCGTAGTCTCTTCGCCAGTTGCAACAGCAGACCGAACTGAGACACAGCGTGGTGCACAAACGCAGCCACTCGGGAAGAGAAGCCTCACCAGCAGCAGCTCCATGGAAAGTCAGTCGCATGCGTTTTGGAAACAGACCTACGGGTGCAGTGCAGGATGACGCACTCGCAATCGTGTCAATATCAGCCCCGGAGTATACCGTTTGCCAGAGCTCCTTCAACGCCATGTTGATCGTCTCCATCTAAAAACACAATACCACGCCTATCAAGTTGCCCCCTTATGCGTCGTTTGTACGTGCGCTGGGGGCCTATCGAGCAAGCAGCAGCGCGCCAGCGAGCTGTGGCCTGGCTAGCTGAAACGCAGCTAGCCACGATGGCTGGCGCCGCCTTCAGACGCGCACCACACGGTTGCTCGAAATCACACCTTGGCACTATGATAACTCATGAGGGCTCTGTCCAGCGCCTTGTGGTATTTGTCGATGTCTTGAACGGCGAGCCGCTCAGCCTCGCAGTCTGCAAGGGCTGCGCAGGGAAATCAACGGAAACAAGAGGAGACACAAAGCCTCAAACCACTCTTCCCGCAGCTAGCTAGACTTCTACGTGCGCGAAACGAGGACTTATAGGCGCCGCACGCCGTCCAGCTAGCTTCCGCCTTCTACGCATCCCGCGCAAACGGCGAACAGCAGCCCTTCAACAAAAAGCCTCTATGAGCGTTCGAGTGTCTGTAATACACCGGGCATGGCGAGTCTGTGGCGCTCAGACCTTCGAGGTACCGCGCATCGATTCGCTTGTAAGTTGCACTATTCAGATCTTGCCGCAACTGCTGCCGCCTCTCTTCTCGAGCTGCAATCGCTCCCCGAAGTTCTGCAAGCGCCTGCCCTGTTTCTGTGGTTCGCTTTCTTAAGAGATTGACCACGCTCTCCAGTGCTTCTGCAGTGATTTGTTGGTGCTGCACATGCGTTGCTGCGGGTTCAAGGTGCCCCTTGAGCGCGTTCACTCCATGTTTAACGGCCTCTTGAAGTTCAACCCGCAGTTTTGCAGCAGCCTCCTCGGCCTGCTGCAGCTGCTGCTGCTGCCGTTTGACGTCTATGCTGTCGCGGACGTGCTGCAGCAGCTGCTGCCCCTTGTCAAACGCTGCGTTTAGCTGCTCTTGGTGCTGCTGCTCCTGCTGCAGTGCTGCTGTGAGTTCTTGCTGCCGCTGCCGCAGCTGCTGCAGCCTCACACCGGTTGTCGACTCCGTCGCAGCTGAGACTGCTGCCTCTGCCTCCTCCATCTTCTGCTGCTCTTGCTGTAAGGAAGCAGCGATTCTGAAGCAGCAGGGGCGCGAAGGGCAATCCATAGACGCACCAGAAAGCTTTACACAAAGCAGGAACGGCGTGCAAGCAGCACTCTCGCTGCGCTTCCCCCGTTGCACAAACCTCGTTGCCAAAAGAGATGCGCTAGGGAGGCGGATAGCGCTAGAAACGCTGTATCTATTTAGGCTTCTCCGCCTATCCGATAGACGGACCCGTCAAGCTCTGTAGCAGCAGCCTCCAGTTGCCTTTGGTGAGCTTCGGCCTGGTGTTCGAACTCGCGCTGCTCCTGCTGCTGCAGCTGCAGCTGCTGCCTAGTAGCATGCAGCAGCTCTTGCTCCTCGGGAAGCCTTGCCTCTCTGGAGCAAAAGCAAAAGCCACAGGCAAAACGAGCCACGCACAGGATCCCTCAGGCAGTCTTCTGGTGCTCATTTTCTAAGCGTTTGCAAGCAACAAGAGCGAGCCGGTCGCTTTCTCGGCAACAGCAGCAGCAGCAGTGATTGTAGCAGCAGTGATTGTAGCAGCAGCAGCAGCGATTGCTGCAGCTGCATGAGAAGGCATGCGTTGCACTGGTCGGGAGCAGCACACAGAAAGACGCAATAAAATCTCGACATACGCGTCTTCCAGTCGCCTCTGCAGCTGCTCCTGCTGCTGCTCCATCTCTGTAATTTGGAGCAGCATTCGTTGGCGTTCAGTCAAGTGTGCTTTCAGCTGAAGCTCCTGCTGCTGTCTCTCCAGTTGCCGGCGCTGCAGCTGCTGCAGCTGCTGCTGCGCGGCTTCTCTGTCCGCGAAGGCTTCCGCGATCTGAGCCTCCAGATGATTCAGCTGCTGCTGCAGCTCGCCGCTGCTGCTGCTGCTGCCAGTGTTGACATCCGCATGCAGGCCTGCTGCTGCACGCAGCTTGGCGTCTATGGCGTCCACCTCATGCCTGCGCGCACCAAAAAGGCAGCAGTTCCAGCGGGAGCAACATGGAGGAGCAGGAGGAGAAAAAGGAGGAGGCAAAAAGAGGAGGAGGACGAGCAGAATCCAGCAGCACACGACTGCTGGAATCTTCTAAGCCTCTGCTGAAATAATTTTGCATGCATCGCATGCCCTTAAAATATACCGTGAAGCTGCCACCGCTGACGAGGCCTCTACTGCACCAAGAGCCTCCGCATGGGCGGCTTCCAGATCATGCGCTTTTTCTGCTGCTGCAGCCGCGCATGCAGCAGCAGCCGCTGCAGCTGCATGCAGGTCTTCTTCCACCTGCACACATTCAAGCCGTCCAGACACCTGACTCCGACGCAGTGCGCGGCAACACCAGCGTACGGCTACACGCAGCAGCAGCAGTATCAGTATCAGCAGCAGTATCAGTATGAGCAGCATCAATATCAGTATCAGCATCAGGCTCAGTATCAGCATCAGTCTCAGTATGAGCAGCATCAGTCTCAGCAGTATCAGTATCAGTAGTATCAGTATCAGTAGTATCAGTATCATGAGTATCAGTATCACTATCAGTATCAGCAGTATCACTATCACTATCGGCAGTATCACTATTAGCAGTATCAGTATCAGCAGCAGTATCAGCAGCATGAGTATCAGTATCAGCATGAGTATCGGTATCAGCATCAGCAGCAGAATCACTATCAGCAGCATCAGCAGCAGTATCACCATCAGCATCAGCAGCAACAAAGGCAACCGGGGGGGAGGCCAATAGGGTAATAAAGCACGAAGGTGCACCTGTTGATGCAGATCAAGGGCTTCAGCGCTTGCCAGCAGCTCCTTGTGTTTAGCTGCTAGTTGCTGCACCGTTTGGCCGTCTTGCTGCAGCTGTTGCAGTTGTGTGTGGGCAGCATCGAGCTGCTTCTGAATCTGTTGTTGCGCCTCTGGAAGCAGCTGGCTCAGTCTCCGTTCCACATTTTGGTGAAGCACTTCGACACCCGCGGAGCCTCCAAGGCTTTGGCAGCAGAGAGGACATGAACCCTGCACCGCAGCCTCTGCAGCTAAGCCTCTAAACCATCGCTGTTTGTGACCTCCTTCGCAGACTTGCTCCCTCAACTGTGTTTCCTCGTGCTGACACCTTTGCAGCTGAGTGACTGCGGCGGTTGTTACCGGAGCGACATTCCAGCGCGCCACAGCCTTCCAGCATGGAATGCTGCTGCTGCTGCTACTGCTGCTGCTTTGCAGGAGGAGGCACTTTGCAATTTGTGCTTGCTCGGCTAGCCGCATGCAGGAAGCTGCCGCGGCAGCAAGTTGCTGGTGCAAGAGCTGCGTCTTTGCTGTGCTGCGGGATGCTGCGTCGTCTGCCGCTTGTTGCTGTTTCTGTTGTTGCTGCCACTCGTTAGCTGCGGCAGCGGCAGCAGCGGCAAGCTGCTGCTCTGAACACAGACAGTTTTACGCACAAGCGTTCTCTCTCTCTCTCTCTATATATATATATGTATCTCTCTCTCTTTCACAAAACTGTCTGTCTACAGACGAGAAACGCCTCTGAAGGCTTTCATCTCTTGGAAGTTTCCCTTCCTTCGCCGTGACGTACTCACCGACTCGGCGGAGATCTTGAGAGCTTTCACTCTTCCAATCGGGAAGCGCAGCAAGCTTCTGCTGCAGCAGCGCTTGCTTCTGCTGCAGCAAGTCTTGCTTCTGCTGCAACAACTGCTGAGCAACCTGGAGAGACACTCCGAGGGCTTCATGCTGCCGCAACGCGTGCTGCGACGCCTGCAACTCCTGCCGTCTTTGCTGCAGCTGCTGCAGCGACTCTCCGCAAGTGGCACTTAAGGCCTCTAGACCTACACCAAATAAACACCAACAGCGATAATTGCGGTGCGCGCAACACACCCTCGCAGCAGCATAGGCAGCTCTAGAGACTGCCTCAGAAACGAGGCTAGAACTTAAGAATGCCGCCACCGCAAGAAAGAGCAGCAGCAGGGGTCGCAGCAGTCAATATGGCTGCAAAGAAGCTGCTCCTGCAGATCTGAAGCAGCAGGAGGAGTAGCAGCTTTCTGGGGAAGGTAAATGACATACGCGTGATCTGAGCTTCATCGTGTGCCTCTGCATCCCGCTGAAGCTGCTGCAGCTGCACTTCGCTGGTACGAACCGCCTGAGAGCACTGCTGCGTGGAAGGCAGCTGCAGCAGCTTCTGCTGCAGCTGCTGCAGTTGCTGCTGCAGATGGCTTCGCAGGCTCAGAGAAGCACTCACGGCTGCCTGCTGCTGCTGCTCCTTCTGCTGCAGCTGCTGCAGTATGTGCTGCCTCTGCTGCAGGTGGACGTGCAGCTCCTTGGCAGCTGCTGCTTGCTGTCGCCTCAGCTTTTGCGACTCCGCAGCACACAGGGATATGGCCTCCTGAGGAGCCTAAGAACAAACCCCCAAAGCTGTTTCCCACCCTTAGAGTGCTGGGAGGCTACACATGTAAGTGTGTAGCCTCCGTTGCTGCCATCGGATGGCGATGACGCCACGAGCACTGACTTGCTCCACATACAAGTTGCCAATGTGTCTCTCCCTACCTGCTGCAAGTGCTGCTGACTGTACGGAAGGACTGCGGCCAGCTTATCCAGCAGCGTGCGCTGCTGCTGCCTGGCTGCGTCTCGCCGTTCCTCAGCCTTCAAGCCGTCTGCCGCCTTCGCAACCTCTTGCTGCAACTGCTGCTGTAGCTGCAGCTGCTGCTCCTGGAGGGCGTTCACCTTGTTGGACACGGCTTGCCGTCGCTCGCTCTTAGCCTGCATGCACCATAACGCTGCGAAGCAGCAGGCTATATATGCATGTACACACACACATACACAGCAGCCAGCTAGTCTCTCGTGGTGGTACAAGTCCATTCCATGAGGCTCCCACCAGAGCAGCTTTAGCCGTATCGAACAACGTGCGGCAGCAGCACCTCCAAAATGCGTTTTCTCAGCATCAAAACACACACGACCACTGCCGCGGGATGCAGCAATGGCCAGCCTCATACACACACATACACATATATATACACTTCAAACACATGTACACACACATATACATACACATATATATACACTTCAAACACATGCACATGCACATATATACACTTATACACATAGATATATGCACACTTCAAACACATGTACACACACATATACATACACATATACATATATTCACTTCAAACAGATGTACACACACACATACATACACATGTACACACACATGTACATACGCATATATATACACTTCAAACACATATATACACACTTCAAACACATACATGCACACATACATACACATGTACACACACATATACATACACATATATATACACTTCAAACACATATATACGCACACATACATACATATGTACACACACACTCACACATACACACATATTCACACTTGAAACACATGTACACACACATATACACACTTGAAACACATGTACACAAATATATATATATATATATATACATATGTGTACACTTCGAACATATGTACACACACACATACATACACATGTACACACACACACTCACACATACACATATATACACACTTTAAACACATATACATATATATATATATATGTACACTCATACCCACCCCTCATAGACACACAACGAAAGACACACACACATAGTCTCACATGCACAACACACACAAAATATCGGTGTCCAACCTTATACTCTTGGGAGATGGTGCCAAGCAGTTCTTCCAGTTCCTCTAGAGGCTCTTCGAAGACAACTGGTGCGTCGTCGATTTCTTCTTCTCCCTCCTCCTGTTGCTGGCGTCGCTGCTGCCGCTCTAGCTGTTTTTGCAGCTCCTGCAGCTTCTGCTGTTGCAGTGCCTCCATCTCCTCCGCTACCAGCAGCTGCTGCTGCAGCTGTTGCACGCGTTTCAGCACTTCGTCGCCAGCTGCAGTGGCGGCCTCTCGTCGAAGCAGCTCCTGCTGCTGCTGCCTGCAGTCAGCACCAGGGTAGGCACAAGCACACAAGACACGCAGAAGCCTCTCAGTGTCAGTACAAGGCATCGCCACAAGGGAGCCTTAAACCGTTGACAAGAAGAAAAAAGAGGTATGCTCTACGCCGAAAAGAGTGTTGGGGATTCGCTGATGGCTGCGGCTCACGCGATATCGTCAGCAGCTGCGTCTATCGCTTCCTGCTGCTGCTGCAGCTGCAGCTGCAGAGCCTTCGCTGCATCACGGTGCACTCCCAGGATACGGAGATCATTTTCGCGATCTTTGAGCTCCGTTGCATGCACTTTTCTGCGCACAAAAACGCTCGCTCGTACGGAGTCGGCAACGGGAAGACGCGAGGCCAAAGGAGGGGTAGCGAAAGCCGCCACTGCTGCACTTCTGCATGGAGAGTCTCAGAACCCTTCCTTCTATATAACAGAACAACCCTGCTCCTCCTACACACACTGCGTAAACTCTTTTTTTTAACCATGCCGGGGTGCAAAAAGAAGCCATAAATCCATGCTGCTGTTCGTCCGGTTGCGTTGTCTAGAGGAACGTGCAGGGGCCGAGAGACTCCAATAACACAACACGCGTTCGCGGAAGTGCAACAGAGAGAGAAAGAGATTCAAAATCCTCAAAAGTAGGGAGGGCTGGCACTGGAGCCGCTAGAAAAAAGGGGAAAGGTAAGTATACATTTATATATACACACCCGACCGCAGAAAGCCGCTTACTTCGCGGCTCGAATAGCTTGAAGCGCCTTCACATAACGCGTTGCGTCAAAGAGAGAATCAAACCGCTTCTTAAGGGATTGCATGTCACCCATTGGCCAGCAGCTTTCCTCTTGGTGGCACAGCACGACATGCTCCAGCACCGGCTTGGAAATGCCTGCGCGTAAAAACAGCCGAGAGGCAGTGAAGCTGAGAGGTGAGGAAGCTGCAGCAGTGAGAGGGCCAAACGACAGACAGACACACACAACCAAACAGACACAGACAAACAGACACACACAGACAAACAAACACACGCAGACAAACATACACAGACACACACAGACAAACAGACACACACAGACAGACAGACACACACACAGACATACACAGACACACACGGACAAACATACAGAAACAGACACACACAGACAACCAAACACACACAGACACATGCAGATACAGACACAAACCATACAGAGAGACCCTGCATGGTTTTTGTACGCTAAGAAAATGAGCGCTCCGGGCAGCTAGGGAGAGAGCTTCCCGGGAGGCTGATTGTGTGAAGAATACATGTTGCGTGTGGAAGGGTATTTCCTCGAGGCGGGAGCACAAGGACTGTGTCTCAAGAGTGCTTATATCGCCTGTGCATGCCCAAAAGAAGTTTTTCGCGGGGAGCAGAAGGGCAGGAGGGGAGAGACGATGGCGTTTAGGCAAGGGGATAAATGGGGTGACGGAACGTGCCGCGCGTGGCGCCTCCCCACACCAGCTGCGAGCGGCTGTCTTTTGTGCATACCCAGTAGACTGGAGAGCTGCTCATCGATGTTGACGCATTTGTGGCTAATGGATGCCGTCTGGCCGTCTTCGTCCTTCACCTGCAGGACAGCCTCTAAGGCCTTATACGCGAAGGAAGCAGCGCAGACTGCAAGAAAACATCTTCAACGATGCCTCTGGCGAGAGCAGAGCAGATCATCATGGCACCATGAGCGCGACTGGCCAATCAAGAAATGTCGTCTGCCGAAGCACCACCATAAAGACGTCCCCTGCGGCTATCAACACCCCCCCTCCCCTCCCCCGCTGTCCGTCTGATCATCTGCATGTTGCAGCTACATACCAAACACACGTACAACGAAGAATGCTGCACAAAAACGCGAAAGGGGGAGGAAGTGGAGAGCCTTCTCTTCAACCTACTTTGAACTGCGGCTTGAGTCTTCTCTGCTTGTCGAGTGTGTGTGAAAGTTGCATGGACCTGACGACCAGAATTCTCTTCTTCTGCCTCTCCTGTCTCAAGGAGACTCGGATTTGCGCCTTAACCTCTGGGCTGTCCGTCAGTCGAGGATCGAACAGCCAGCCCTTTCCCCTGTCAGCAGAGGGTGGCATTTCTCCAGTCAATGCGTATTTCAAGCACTCGACTAAGGTCTGGAGCAGTCAGACACAGCACAGGAAGGGAAAGGAAGAAATTAGGGAGAGAGTGAATGAGAGATATGGCGCATACAACACACAGAGACGTACAAGGAACAAAAACGATAAGAGAACGCGGTCCTCCCGTGTGGTAAGCGCCTCAAGCACACGCACAGCGACTTGGTGCTGCAGCGGTGCTGCAGCGTTTTTTGTCGGATGATAATACATGACGTGAAACGTAAGAATAAGGTGGTCACGCCCTCAAGCGTTCTCTAAGCCCCTCCTTTTCTACGATTTGCAGGGGATGGGTAGATGCGTGTCTTTCGGTGAGGCAAACTGAAGACTACACTGCAGGCGGCTTCCGTAGTGTGGAACCCTAAAAGACGTGTCGTCACGAGATCTGCAGTCCGCGTACCGTTTTGCCTGCCCCATTGTGACCAACTATGACGGTAAGAGGCGTCCCGAAGGAAATTGTCTCGAGCGACTCGGGGCCAAAGCTCCGCACGCCTTGAATACCAACGCGCTCAATTGTTGTCATTCTGAAAAGGCATGGATACAAAAAAAAGCTGCGGAGGCATCCACGGGACCCAATTCAGGGCAGTCACCGTTGTGGTGGAAGGCAGAAGGGCATGCAGAAGCGTGGTCTGCCTGCTGCCACTACGATTGCCGCTGCGCATGCCGCCTAAGCCACGCTCCGGCTTTGCGAGAAGCGACTCTGCAGACCAACGACGGCAGCTGCTGCTTCCAGGGGTCGTGGCTTAGCCGCCCTACAGCTGCCAAGGAAGACACACACTGGCCTTTCCCTGGAAATGAAGACGGCCCCCCTTGTGTGTTTGCTTCAGCGCACGTACACTACCCGTCTGCCTTTCTCCGATACACCCCGTCCATGCAATAGCCTTCAGAAGACTCAGAAAGAGCTATGGCGCAATGGAAGTCTCCGGCTCCTCTTCGCGGAATCTCTGCTGCCACGGGCCTTGAGGGCATCGGCGGCGCATCCTCTGCTCGTGCTAGCAGGCTAAATCATGTGCCACGCCTTTTTCCCATGAACAAAGTAGCGACTTTTCACTCTAATCGGCTAAAGACTTTCTAGTAATGGCGTCGATGACAATGCAGAGACAGGGGTGCAGAAGTCGCCCAGGGGCAGACTTTGGTGTGGTCGGTGGTGTCAAAAACACGAAGCCAGCCCCACAGAGATTCTTGTGCAAAAGGAAGAAATCTGTTCAAGCCTTCTTCGCAATTTAATTAAGTTACTGGAGGCAGAAACGTAACATAGCCGTGGAAGGCATCTCGTCACCTCGTGGGAAGACGAAGCAACCCGGGATGCTCAACGAGTCGGCAGTGGAGATGAATGGGAAGCGTAAAACTCCACCACTCTGCGGAGGAGAGATACAGCATCTGCACGACAGCACAGGTGACCCTTATCAGGGCATTGCCATGTCAGGTTATCCCCTGACTTCTCGAATGTGCGGAGAGCACAGGCTTGCTTGCTCGTTAACGCCCGACTTCCTGGTTGTTTGTATGCATTCATCGCAAAAAGGGAGTGATCTCTTCCTTATTCGATTGCTAACCAGTGATCTATGCTCTCCTGTAGCTGCAGCGACGTGAAACCAGCCACTAGACCGTCTTTCGGGGACGACGTAGCTGCCACGATAGAGACCGTCCCGCGCGAGCTTCTTAGTGCTCAGGGCGACGTGTTCGGGTACAGAGAGCCAGTTGTTAGCATAAGGTTAATCAGTGGATATAAGCTCGTACTTGCCCCTTCTGGACTAGTGCAACGTTTTTTTCTCTCGGGTCTCCACATGTGGAACGCAATGTACCGGGCCAAGAACAATTCGAACACTTTCCGTTGAATTAGTTGAGCACAGCTAAGAATTAGAATAAGATGACTTATTGGATGCCTCTTCTAATTTCAAATCTATTGCGCAGTAGGGGTATGTCGGTATAAGAAGACGCAATGCCGAGTGCCATTCCGCTAGAAGCCATGTGCACTCAGCTCTGAATGCTCGCAATGCTCAGAGAGCGCAGTTAAGCGCACCCCAGCTGTTTTTCTCTTCTCATATGAAGACCGTTAGGGGGACTGTCAGACAGAGAAAACATTTCTTTTGGAAGACAACCCGATCACTTGTTACAAAGTTCGGATTTTTCCATGGTGGACTGCCCACCCAAAAGGGACCTATAGACAAAGCACGTGAGCTTGCGCGTGTGTGGACTGCGCAGCGCACGGTCAGGAAGGATCCGACTCCTGTGGTGTTCGCGTTTCTGCATTAAAGTTTGTGCGATTTTAGTCTGCACCGCCAGTTGTTCTGTGCTCCCCTATACAGGAGCGTGCTTTTCTCTGGCAGCCCCCACAAACGCCTGCTCCTTTTGCATTACATGAGGACTGCACAATTTGCTTTTCCATCCTGTAGTGCTCTCGCCCACCCGCCTTTTTAGACATCTACCCTTATTGCGTTCGATGCGCTGCGTTAAAGCACATTTGTCAGTGGCTCAGCACAAATGGCAGCATTTGGAGCACAGCGCTTTGGCCTTTACTTCGGACACCTCACTCTGAGAGCAGGGTACATAGCCAGCAGGCATGTGTACCTTGATCGTTATGTCAAAAGGGGTGGACAGAATCCTCGTCAGAAGGCGGGATGTAGTAGGCTTTGAAGCATAAGGAGTTAACAGAGAAACGGCAGTGCTGTGCTGCAGGCTCCTGCATCCACAGCGGCTACATCGTTGCTTGTTCACATCTGTGCAAAAGGAGTTACTAGAGCTCAGAGGGCTAAGAATACTACTTCCAGTAGAGTTTCAGGTGCTGAAGGGCACTGAGCCAACTCGAGCGATGGCATCGTAGAGCTGCTGCTGGTAGAGTTTCACTTCGGGATTTTTCTTCGCCTTTTTACTGCCCGACAATATTTCAGCGCTCTGCTCCTGCGGAATGGGGAACAAGCAGACTGCACACTCCTTGCGGCATTCCCGCCTCTGCACAACCTCCGCTAAGCTGAGGCAGGATAGGGAGGCAACATCTCAGAAGCCTGCCTATTTTCCAGCCCGGTCAGTATCCTTACCAATTAAGGTGGAATTCGTGCCCTATAGGACACAAGGAGACTGAACGTGGCGGCACAGGTGTATGCAACAGGAGGCAGCAGGCCCACCACATTCCAGCCGGAACAAGGTCGGCTTGGCGAGATGCATCGAGTCGGATTTGTGCATCAGGCACTGAGAATTGGTGCAGACAATTGCAATGTGACGTGGTATGATTGAGTATACAAGTAATTGCGTACGATCGAGCATAAATCGTCATCGATTTCTGGCGGAGCTTTCGGCCCAAAGTTTACGTCTGCGCTTCTGCGAGTTGTTGACGCCCGTGCAACGCAACCACTAAGGCTGGCAGGCAGCGCAGCGGCCCTCGCCTTGGTGCAAGGGCGGCTTTCCAAGAAGTTGGAGCCGTAAACATCGCATAATGGCTTGTGCGGGCTAGCAGTGCAAGGGGACCAAGGAGAGGCCTCCAACTCTCGCAGCGAGCGCCGACGAATGAGGCGTGTTTCCTTCGGCGCCACCCACCGGCACGGTGGCGGAGAAATCGCCATTCGGCCCCCTAAGGCGCTATTTTTCAGAAACTATATTTCAAGAGTTCAGAGACATAAAAATTTGGGTCACTGACTCATGCGGTGCTCGAGAAATGAAGTCGGAAGAAGGCACTGTGACAACGCTTCCCTGTTCCTGAACATCCCGCTTGCAACTACTTGCAGGATCCTGTACACAGCCTGCCGTAGAATAGATTTATTGATTAGCGTGTGAATGTTTCACCGCGTAAAACGCTCGAATTACCGTGGGGTTCCGGCATACATTCATGCACTGCTGTGTTTTCTGGCAGCCTAACCACTCTACTTCGTTTGGACCGCAAGTGAGCTCCTAAAGATCCCTTTTCTAATTGAGCACTGCCACTATGGACATGCTCAAGTGCAGCTGTGTCATTGGTAATTCTGTTATGTAGCACTCTGGTTTGCGGGGCTGAATGTGGAATTTTCCCATTAGAACAGCCGACTCTGCTGTTCAGTGCCTTCAGCGCCGACACATGAGCATTCTCATTCTTGACTAAACCGGCGGGGCGCTCCTCTGGCTCGCCTGGTGATACGGCGCAGCATGGCGGTAGTCTTTGGAGTACTTCTTTGAGTAGTTTTGTGTGTGCTTCGGCGAACTGGGGTGTATTGAGAGGACACAATCCGAAACATGTATGCGGTAACTCTCACCTTTTCTAGAACAGCAAGCTTTGCTAGTACTGGCGCCAGCTGATCTAAACGCTGATCCGGAAATATGTGCAAATTTCTCTGTGGAGCTACAGAGAACTTTGTTGAGGGTTTACACATTTTCTTGCTATTCAGAATTCTGATTAAGCACCTTGGGACTTGCAATGCATAAATCTAAGGAGGCCATATGATAGGGATGACACAATGAATAAATGCTACATAACCGACCAAGTATGCGGTGTCGGCGTAACTCGATCTGCACAAATAGAATCGAGGCTGTTCAGACATCTGAAACTCCAAGGGCTCTTCCTGACTATATGCAATTACATTATATATGAAGCATATCCGCAGTAATGTCCGTTTCTGAATTGAAATTGACCATATTTTTTATTTTAGTCTTAGTCGAGTTTCTGTACCGTCCTGTGGGGCTGGTTCAAATCGGGAGCGGGCAAGGACCAGTTCAGATAGTAATCCGAAAGGTTCAGCCTCGTCACCTTCATAATTGTCATTTGGGGTAGGATTTTGTCGGAGGCGTTTCCTCTATTATTCGTCAGTGGCCTTCCTGTCTCACGATACGACCAAAGTCCTACTGAAAACTGGTAGTGAGGCACTAGGTCGCCATGAATGGCGATGTGCTTCCTGATTAGGGATCCATCAGCTTGCTTCACTTTCAGTATTCTCGATACTACACCAGCTCGGCGCCCTATTCTATTCAAGGTAAAGCCCCTGGGAAGCCGCCCTTTCATAACGCAGGCTTCCTTGCCGGTGCATCCGTGTGCCCCCGCGACATGCGCATAGGTAGTTGTAAGGGGTCTAGAGATCCTCGCTGTGCATACTTCAAGAGGACCTCCTGAATCTGACGCCTTTGCAGATGCATGCCGGCCACTAGGATGCACCCAGCCTGCGAACGCCGTAACAAGTAGATAAAATGGAGGATTTCCCCAAGAGGAAACAACGGATCCTTCGAGGCTTGATACCCGAGGGAGAGTCCCCTACTTCCCAGGAGCTCGCATGTGCGTGCGATGAGGGTATGGGCTACTTGGAGGGGAATACCCCGAAGCAAGACAAATCCCTCAAGGGCAGCGTGGATGCGTTACTCGTGCCTATTTGTGCGTATTTGAATGCCCATCCCGAATATGTCACCACGAGCTGCTGTAGCGGCCGTATCACTGCTTACCAGCAGGCCCACACGTCGGATGGCAAGCGCGTGAAAAGCGGCGGACGGCTCGTCTTTGTTAGCCATGAGGCCGTGGATTTGTCGGCTGCGGAACGGCTTCTAACTGAGATTTTGGAGGGCAGTCGCCACTATCCAGAGAAGAGGACGGGCAAAGCCGACACAGAGAGATCCGAGAAAGCACTTCCGGCCTTGAGTCACACAGACCTGAAGCTAGAACCAGTAATCTTGCACGTTGAATCGGCAACTGCGCCAGCAGCCCTTGCTTTACTAAGGGCTGCAATAGCTGCAGGCCTTAGGGAATCTGGCATTCTCTCTCTGGGAAAGAGGAACATTGTGGCAATCAGGGGCAGCCAGCGTTTGGAGGCGCCTCTAACTCTTGGGCTTCGTGGATCCTTGCAGCTGCCTGGCCTCCCACGGAGCGACGAGGGCGCAGATCCTGCAGACGCGGAAGGCGAACAGCTCCTGGTAACTTCCGCATACTTCTCTTCTCTTCTGTTGCTGTGCAACGAGAAGCTCAAGTGCAACGAAAGGCAAATCGGCAGACTCTACGAGGTCCTCAGGAAAAACTTGAGTCCAGAACAAATTCTTTCACCGGATGCACACGATTTCCAAGAGGTGAGGGGGCTGCAGGATTTCGCGTGGTGCGCGTGTCTAGTTTTGCGCGGGAGGCCTTCGAGTGGCCTCTTGCTGTGTCGCGTCGTGTCGCGCTCCAAGGCTTTCACGCTCATTTGTTCAGACACCACAACACACATTGCGAGGGTACAGCTTAGGTCTTTAGGTGCATCGAATTGGGGGTTTAAGGGGTAGCCTGTATCGGCAGGATGAGTATGCTTTTGTCTGTGTTTCCTGGTGCCTGCTTTCTGAACAGCCAGGCGGCCAGAGGACCCTTCAAGGGTCAGGAGAGTCCTGTGGCAGCAGTCGCAGAGCATCCGAATGCACGAAAGGCGAAACGGCCTTCGAGCTAGCTTCTGGTTCCCCCCATAATGTAGGCCATGCGGTTTCTTCAGATAGCAGAAGTGGTGGTGCGTCGCATGCATTCGTCGGGGTGCGCGAGCGCGAGCTCTTAAAAGCCGTCAAGTCGGCCTTGGAGGACTTGGGTGTCTATGACAAGACTCGCAAAGTTCAGCAGCTGCACTTCGAAGAGTTTGACTCGACGGAGCAGATTGAACTCACTCCGCCGCCCCCCCCTAACTGCCCGTGGCTGGGCTTGCTGCCCGTAAAGAGCGACCTATGCGACGGTTCTCTTTCGCAGGAACTGCGCGCAGCACTGGTGACGTCTGCAGGTGGGCTATGGCCTGTAGTAACGAGCAACGCTCATGGAGCGCTAGAGCTGGGGCAGCTTTGCCTTTCAGCGATGCTTGCGCGCACACGGGTCACTTGTAAGAACTCGAGGGAAGCCAGAGAGGGCTTCTCAAAGTCTATAATGCCGGGTTGCTGCTGTGTTGGCTCCTACAGCTGACGGGTCGGTATCCCTGTTTTCCTATGGCTCCGGCGTGCCCCCGCAGAGGCGCCGCAAGCAGAGCATTGCAGAATGCTTAGATGGGCTGCTTCGAGCGGCATGCACGGCTCTTCCAGGCGGAGATGCGTTGGTGCGTCGGGCCGAGCAGCTACGTAAAGAGAGGCTTTCAGGCGGCTCGCCTGCTCCGGCTGCCTGCCCCGCTGCACGCGGCGACCTCCTAATCAAATGGCCGGAAAAGTTTGAGAGGGTCGGAAATATAATCCTGCTGCCGAGGGACAGCCTCATTGAGCTGCATCAGCTTCTTCAGATGTACGGATACATAGGCCTATAAACAGACATATATACGTATATATATGTGTATCTAGATGTGTGCATCTAGATGGAGGGAACAGTGATGGTGTTTTGCCTCTTACAGGGCTTGATTTTCTCGATTTTGTGTAGCCGCCCACGGTTGAATGGCCGCCTTGTCCTGCCAGTTGTGCTCGCGCCTGCCTCGCCCTTTGCTCGAGTTGTGTTTCATTATTTGGCGGAGGCTGCTCCATGCTTGCGAGAGGCACCCCAAGTTAAGAGGGGCCGGAAGGTGCAGCCGTACAAGCGTCTGCTCGCCCGTGTACTGGGAGTTCCTGCTGCGTTATTTCTTTTGCGCGATCTTCCTGCAGCGGGTGGGAGACCGTGGGAGCGACGCAGGCTCGCCTCCTCGAGACTTCGTTGTGGCGGGCCTTTTGCAAAGAGCTCAGGGTTACCGCCGTGGGGTTGCAGGCTCCAGTCGAGGGGCGGATGCGGCAGAGCCAAGTATGGTATTTCGGCACGACAGGCGCGCTGCCAAGCGGCGTTTTGGTGCCGTGCGGGCAGAGAGAGTGAATTTTCGCACAGCACAATCGGCAGGTGTTGCAAGGGTCCTGTGCTCGGCGGGCGGCTGCTGGCAGTTCTGGCGAAAACGCCAGGTTCAGTGCTGCACGGGGAAGCACCGCTTCGCCAGCAGCAACGCCACGCTTAGAATCGCCAGGTTCTCGCCCCTGTCTGGCTGCTGGGCTAACTTTTGGGGTGTACACAGGAGTGCCTGTGGACGGCTGCGCAGGCGCGCCTTGTCTATGGAGACAGCGGCCTGACGGGCGTCAAAGAGAACGGCATAACGTACACGCTGGATGTAACGCAGTGTATGTTCGCCTCGGGCAATGGCACGGAACGGTAAGCTCTTTTTGAAACCGCGCGTTGCTTCCTGAGCACGTGCAATGACCGCTTACGAATTTCTGTAGTGGTTTTTTTTGGCTGGCACGAGTTCAAGGAAAAAGGTGCTTTGCTGCGCGCTCCATGGTCTTCAAAGCATGGCTCGCTGCCGCTTCAGGGAGCACGCGGAGGCTCTGGCCTGGCAGTCCCGCTCGAGCATCCGAGCAGTAATAACCCGCTGCCGTTGCCACCACCGTTCGGTGCGGCTGCTTCCGTGTTGCTGCTGCAGCCTGAGATTTCGAGAGAGCATACAGGCCAGCAAAGGACCCCCTGAAACGGTGGTGGATTTGTTTTGTGGCATTGGGTACTTCTCGCTCCTCGCTCTTGCCTCTGTTCCCCCTACGAGGCTGAAGAAACTCTACGCCTGCGACATCAACCCTACGGCGTTGAAGGTAAGCGGTTCATGAGCTTCGCCTGCCGGAACTACAGGAAGGGGCTGTAGACAATAAGGGCAGGCGCTGCAGCAGTGGCAGCAGCAGCACCACAGGCGGTAGCCTGCGTCTGCACACTTTGCGCTCTGCGACATCATTCATATGCACTGTCTGCATCCTGCGCGTGGTCCTATACGCATGGATGCCGCCTCTCTATTTGGCTCTTTCCCAATTGCTTTGTCCTGTGTCTGCGTGTTGGCCTCAGTTCTTCCACATGTCGTTGGCTCCAAACCGTGTAGACCCTTGCCGCGTGACGTTCCTTTTGTGTGATAGTTGCTCCCCGCTGTCAGGGTCTGTTGCAACGGCTCCCAGCGCCGTGGACGTCGCTGTTGAGTGCTCTCCTGCCGCTGCAGCGGCCCGCTTAGCCACTGCTACTGCAGTAGCCGACACGCCGGTGCAACATAAAGCTCTGTCGAGACACTCGCAGAATTCTACGGAAACAACAGCCACAGTACCTGCTGCGCTTATGGGCATCGCAGATAGGATCAGTCTGGGTCTCATTCCCTCAAGTGAAGAAGCGTGGCCAACGGCTGTCGCGCTGCTAAACGGCAAAAGGGGGGGAACCCTGCACGTCCATGGAGTGGCACCCCTCGAGGCTGCTGGATATAGTGGACAGCCGTTACCCTCAGCTTTATATGCGTACACCGATGCAGCTACGGGAGAACAACTCGTGACTGCAAGCGTTTTAGAAGCAACCGGAGCCTCAGGAGAATCGATAGATGGAGCGATGCCTCAACAGGACAAGAGCCGACCCACGGGAGTTGGGGGTAACTGCAAATTGGGGGCATCGTTGCAGTTTGCACAGCACGCGCTCAGAAGTATGGCAGAACTCGTGAAGACTAAGATAAAACAACCAGGGGAGGTATGGGCGGTGTATGTACACCATGTTGAGAAGGTAAAGTCCTATGCCCCGAAGCTCTTCCACTTTGTTGTGGACATTACTGCCTGTCCCCTCGTGTACAGCGCCAGCATCTGCAACCGCCTTTAGCCTACCAGGCGTCATGGCGTTCTTAGGAAGCTGCAGTGGGGGTTTTGCCCCCGAGAGCCGCGGTGCAGACTTCTGCAGTATCATGGTTGCCATTTCTCCGCTGGTCCTGCTGTTGCCTCTGCCTCGTGGAGGCCTGCAGTAGCCAGTCCTCTTGGTTAGTCGTATCACAAAATAATGGGCAGGAGTGGCAGATAAACTAAGGGCCACACACGGCACCGCTCGTGCTGTATTTCCTACACTCTTCTGACTAAATAGAGGCTGTCAAGTGTGCGCATGCCCGGCGACGTTTTAGCATCGACACGATGCTGGTTGCAGTGTACAGGCAAGGCGAGGCTCTAAACTGGCCGTCACGGCGGCCTGCCTGGTGCACAACAGACCGCTTAGCGGGGGAATGACTGACACCGAATTTCGCTAGAACGTTCTGGGGTCACGGAGGAAGATGGAGGGGGCAGTAAGAAGATGGATTCGGAAAGTGAAGAACACAGAAAGGCTGTAGAGAGGATTTGAAAGACACTGAACAAGGAGTGGGAGGCTGCTTGTAGTGTATCACGAGGCTCCGGAGATTTCGGTTCTGCATTCTGTAGCACATGCTGGGGCACGTCTTCCTTGTTGCTGCTGAGTCGGTAGTCAGTTGGAGAGGCGCGCCTCACTCGTTTACGATATCGTGGGCTTTGCTAGCGTCTGCAAACGCGCAGAGCAAGGGAGCAGCACTTTTCTTACTAATAAAAGCAAGATGCACCCTTGTGCACTCGCTGCTGTGTCTCCTGGTGTTGCCAGTGTTGCTGGCTTTTCGCCTGTGCGGCCGACCCACTGCCTGTGTGCGAAACGTGGGTAGCTCAACGGTCGGGCATCTTCCGCATGTGTCTCCTACTCGTCCCTCCCTTAGGTAGCGGAAGCGCCGGGTCTGATGCGCATGCGCAGGAACTTGGTACCGTTTTTGCTGCTTCGCCAGTCTGTGTATTGCCAGGGCAGCGGGGGCCACCCATCGTCCATGCCAATAGGGACTTGTTTGCACCGTCCAGAATCGTTAGCTTCATTTTTTAAAAATCGCTACAATAATCGCTACAATGGGTCCACACATTGCAAGCCTGCCTCGGTCATCGCTCTTCGCTACTGGCTCGGGCGGTACTTGGCAGCCTAACGGCTCTCGCCGCCTTCCGTATCCACTACACCCAGAAGCCCTCTAAGAAATTATAGAGGCCCGTCTAGTAAGAAATACGGAGGACTGAATTTCGGTAGATGTACAGCCATCCCTTTTACTAAGTTCTTTGTATACCCGTGGGGAGAAGCGTTAGTAAAAAGACGCGTCGGGCTGTTGGCAAATGGTGATTGCTTTCGCCCTAGAAGGACCCCCTCCAAACAGAAAAAGATCCCTCCAGGGTGCTTCCCTGAGAGTTCAAAACGCAACTTTCTCTTACATCTGCCACCTTAATTGAGGGTTCTACGCTCAAGGGGGGAGAACCATCGAAGGCCCTCAATGGGGCTTCTTCGCCCCACGCCATTTTTTGTACTTCCGCCAGCCAGAAACCGATTTCTTTACGTTGCTGAGCACTCGGTTCCCTGTCCTTCCCTTCTTTTACATGAACTCTGCAAAAAGTGTTCGTTGGTTTCCTGGGGGAGAACCCAGTGGTGGGCAGAGCATTGTGTTTGTAGTCGCGGCAGTTCATGAGCAAGCCTTCCACTTTGAATCATATTTCTCGGGAACCAGTGAAAGTGGCTTTCATTGTATTCTGTCCATGTTCACTGGTTTCCGACGGAGAGGACCAGAGGGAACACACAGCTTACCTGCCAATACACTCAATCGTTTTCCGCATGTGCCGCCGAATTGACCTTATATTGATGAATTTTAAATCGCGCCAGCAGTGGCCCAGGAAACCGGCGCGCCTGTCTGTAAACTAGGGAGCCTCAACAGTCGCAGATTCATCATACCCTCCCATTCCCCTTTACCCCGTTTCCCCGCGTCCCACGAAGATGTACTTTCCGTCTTTCGGCGGATCATCCGCCGTTCCATCGGCAGCTCTGCCAAATGCAATTCCAAAAAAAGGCGAAGAAGGCGAAAATATTACGGGGAAATGTGTGTTTATCGTAATTGCTTAATCCTTCAGCTGGACTCGCTCCCTGCTCAGTTTCATGAGACGTCACAGGACGCCCACCGGTTGCTGCTGTTAGCTTCCCCGCATACTTTACCTGCATGCCTGTTAGGGCGTTGTGAACTTTAAGCACTATTTGTTCTGCGTTCTCGCGCACATGCCCTACTGTTGCCCACTCGGTATCCTTTAACCCGCTTTTGCGTTATCTGTATCTCCGTCGAGTTCCTCCGCCTTCCACTCGAGAGTGATTTTCTTTTCTTTGGTACTTCTGACTTGCCATGCAGTTGATCCCACCGCACTGGAAAGGGGCGCGAAAGCCCTCAAAGAGTTGGATAGCAGTCCAAATGCCTCAAAGGCCTTCGAGGTTATCAAGCTGCAGGAGATGACGAAGCAGAAGGAGCTTCAGAAAGAAATGGAACAGGCAAGGGGCTGCATAGATTAGGAACCTGTTGTCACTGCTCATGCCATCGTTTCTTGGTCACTTGCCAACCCTTTGGCTGCCATTTCCACTACTATAACTGCCCGTCACGTTTGATGTGCGCTTGCGCTGCTATTCTGCCACGCCTTAGCATGCGCATGATGCTGCACACGAGGAAGGCTGTGCATGCGCCAGTAGGGGAATTTCCTGCGTTCATCTGCCTTGTTGCTGTTGTGCCATTCGTCCAGATTTCTGCTGCGAGAGCCCACGCACAAACAGAGCGAACCAAGGCTGAGGGTGAGGAGCGGCGCAAGACAATCGATCACCAGCAAGAACAAGAAAGGCGCACTGCCCAGTATAAGACCAGACTGGATGCGTAAGCCGTCTTTTCTTAGCACTTTGCGAAGCTGCACTGCACTACGCAGGCTTCAGCGCCTCGCATTCGTGATGAGCGCTTACGCGGGTGGGGGAGTTAGCAAATCGGCTTGCATGTGAAGCACCAGCCAAGTGCCTAGTGGCACGTGCATTTTGAAAGTCTGTAGTGGGCGTTTGTCCGCGTGAGACTAGGCAATACGTCTAGTTTCGCTTTGAGGTGCACCAGGACCAGGATTTATTTTCGAAGCAGTACGTGTCTGGCGATGCACTGCAGGTGCTTCACCCCCTGCAATCCTCTATTTGCTGTTGTTGGTGGGTTTTTCTGCAGTGAGTCCTACCAGAAGAAGCTACAAGATCAGCAGCGGCAGAATGAAGAATTCCTTCGCCAGCAGCACCAGCAGTTTTTGCGACAAGAGGAACAGAGGAAAAAGACCGAAGCTGTAGGCTCTCAAAAGCTTCATGAGCTGGGTGTAACTCTCAAGGGCAAACCTCTCTAGGCTTTAAAAAGCGCCGAGGCGAGACACGTGGGAGTGGTTTGCAGCCGCACAGTGGAGGCTCCCCGCTTGTTTAGTTGAGTGGTTCAGACAGGGATGGCGAGTTAGGGTCTCTTATGCACAAGGGGTCTCTGATGGAAGCCAACGAGGCAGCTGCCAGGTGACGGCATTCGGGGGTAGACGCGCATTTTTCAAGCTGAAAATGTGAAGGCGCTTCTACGTCGGTGAAACGCGGGGAGGGGAGGGGATGGGCTGTCGTCAGGAAAGGCGCACGGTACTCAATAGCATGTGCCCCCACAGACTCCTCCTGTAACGGTCGCTTGTGCGAGTTAGTTTTCATGGGTTTAGGGGAGAGTTGCTTGTATTTTTTTGGGTAGGAAGTGTTAGAGATGCGCCGTCAGCAGCTGCGTGAGGAGAAAGCCCTCGAACAGAAGCTCCAAGCAGAGCGCATCCGAGAGGAGGCAAAGGGCCGCATTTTGCAAGAACGGGAAAACATAGACGTCCATCTGAGGTAATGCACCTGGCACTCAGGAGAAGCCGTCTGACTCCTCGTGTTTCACGCTATGTTCGCTAGGCGGAGCCCCTTCTCCTTCATTTAAAGTGGCACCAGCGCTGTGCGCGCGGTGGGCGTTGTAATACTAAAGCCATTTGCCACAGCTTCTGCATGTGAGAGGCCCCGATGTGCGTATTTTCCGCAGGGCGATGCGTGCAAAAGCCGCGGAAGAGAGGAAGACGAAGCTAGAGAGTCTGCAGGCAACTTTCAGCTCTGTGGGAGCTGCGTTTTCGCATTTAATGACTGACAAAGCACAGCTCACCACTCTCGTGAGCAGCGCAATCTTAGTGTACATTTGATGGCTAGTAGCGCATCTGGAGGACGCTACGTGCATGTGCACCGAAACAGCCATCGGCATAAGGGTCAAACCAGCGAAGGAAACTTAGTGGCTGGACGTTGTGCTGGCTTTTAGTGGCATGGCGCTGGCATGTCTCTGTGTAATGCTTGCAGGTGGGAAGCGTCACCGCTTTGGCTGCCGGAATTTACGGAGCACGCGCCGCAGCCTCCATTGGTGGCAGATACGTTGTGCGCTACATGATTTGCGGTCTAGGGTGGATGGTCTTGATAATGTAGTGTACCGTTGCATTAGCGTTTGGCGCGAGAGTAATTGACGCCATGCTTCTTAACCAGCGTTGCTTTGATGAACCCACTCGTCGTATCATCATGCACCTGTTCATCAGCTAGTTGCTTGCTTCGCCTGCGTGTCGCGCTGTTTGACTTGTAGGAAGCCCGTATGGGCAAGCCACCCCTTGTTCGAGAAACTTCCCGCTGGACGTTTGCTGTGAGTTTCCGATGAGGGCTGCGTGGTCAAGTTTGGTGCATTGGTACATCGTGCATCTGCCGTAGAACGTAGCTTGTTGGCTCTGTAAAACGCCGTATGCGCATCTGTTGCCTTTCCCTACTAATGAGGGCTTGCGCGGCGTCTCTGCAACGCCGTGTGGGACGACCCATCCTTCTTAATACTTGCGTGCATCCAATTTTCGAACGATGATCCCCCCATGGAGAGCACCGTCCTGCTGAGCGCACGCGTCTTTCCCTTTAACTCACTGTTTGTTTGTGTGATGCTCCAGCGATCCTTCTTTTCCCCTTTACGCTTCCTGAGAGGCTCTCGCGGTCCTGGATCTGCGTCCGCGGCATTGGAGGAGCGTCTAGTGCTGGAGCCAGAACTTGCGGAGCGTCTTCAATGGACCACCAACTCGCTCCTCACTACTAAAGCCCACAAAGTGCCCTTCAGGCACCTCCTGCTGCATGGACCTCCGGGGACTGGCAAAACGCTTTTCGCACGCACGTAGGAGGCCGTTCGAAAGGAACGCGGGGCCAAGCGTTGCTTTTCAAACGCAGAGGGCAGCATGCAAGCAAGAGCGGCGGGTGGTGGTTAGACGGCGTGGTGTCTGTTGCTGGGCGTTCCGCTGTGCGTGTCCATCCTTGTGGCATTGGGACCGAGTGTATTATTGCCTTGTGCCTTTCTGCACGTGTGTGCATGGCTTGCCGCTACGCCCCTCTCATGGCTTTTGCGTTCCTCCATGTGCAGCGGCGTTCTTATTGGGGACCCTCTCGTTTTCGGTGTCTGGCTTGCCGTTCTTGTTTTCTGGCTTCAGTTTGGCTCGGTCCTCCGGTATGGACTACGCGATCATGACTGGAGGAGATGTAGGACCGTTGGGTCGGGACGGCGCTTCTGAGATCAATAAATTGTTTGCATGGGCAGAGAAAAGCCGGAAAGGATTGATTCTTTTCATTGACGAGGCAGACGCCTTCCTAAGGCAAGGACGAGCAGCAGTGGTCGGAGCAGGCTCGGAGGGGATGAGTGAAGATTCAAGAAATGCAATTTCCGCCTTCTTGCATCACACAGGCACGGAAACCGACAAATTCTGTGTTGTTCTCGCTACCAACTGCAGGGAGATCTTAGATCGGGTCAGAAAACTGCAGTAACATTACCGCAAGTGTAGACAGAATTGATATACGCAGCAGGAGTTGCAGCTATGTGTATCGATGCTCTTTTCGAATTTTTTTGAGTATAATGTAGTATAATGCAAGATCAGTTTTGAAAGTGCTGTTTGGGGTAGCAACTCGCTGTCGGTTCAAGCCGAGTGGCTTGTTACCGCCCCCTGTTACTTCATGTGTGCCCAGTAAAGCTTTGATGAAGCCTTTGTTTTCTTGCAGTATTTGTTCTTGGCAGTCGTAGAAACCGCAAACTATCACCTCTTTGGCTCTCAGCTCACTTTTCCTATTCTTTTGCCTGTCTTTGCGCTTTTCCTGCGTTTTTGCAACGAGGCTGTCTGTTGCTTTGTGAAAGCCACAAGTGTGTTATGATACATTGTGTAGAATTTGCAGTGCCCCCTGTCGCCTTGCCATGTATCGTTTGCACTCAGGCAGTGCTGGACCGCGTTGATGAGCAATTCGAATTCCCCCTTCCTGGGGCCGCCGAGCGACTGCGGATGTTACAGCAGTTTATGGACCGATACCTGCGAGGGATTGGGGCAGAGGGGAAGGACAAACAAAAGCTAAAGGGAATTGTTATTGATGAGCGGATCGATGAAGCTTTTATGCAGATGGTTGCGGAAAAAACCGAGGGATTTTCAGGCAGGCAGCTCGCCAAGGTACACTACAAAAGGATTGACGAGCTTTTCGCAGTGTTTTCTCTGTTGTACACCATTAGAGTGGCTATAGCCCTGCTGAAATTGGCATATATGGAAATGTATAGGTGTCATATGGATGGACTTCCAGCAGCTTCATCTGTCACATGACAACTGCTGCGCCATAGCCAGTGGAAGTATCTGCATCCTGAAATTCCCTAAGGTTTACTGCATTTGCCTATATGGGAGCTGTAGCCGCGTTTAACAGATCTGTGAACCGCTGAATTTTGCATTGTTCATTGAGTCTCTATGAGGGTGGCTAGATGAGAGATGTTCTTGCACAAGGAGTTGAGCCTCCGCTGCAACGGTGCTCCGAAAGTGAAGTGCAGCCGCGTGGTTCATGTTATTGTTTGGTAGGTGTTGTTCGCAAAGCGCGAGCACACCCATTCGGTGCTCCCTCGGAGCAAAATGCATCTGGGTGTATCCTAACACGTGACTGCATGTATGCTTTTCTTTGGGCGTTGTGCTGTTGCAGCTCGTACTGGCGATGCAGGCTGCCGTGTTTGGATCCGGGACAAATACGCTCACACGGGGCGTTGCTGCTGCAGTGTTGGACTGGAAGGTAAAGCACTTGGCGGAGGACGTAGAGATGTTTGATAGACAGAGGAGAGAAGTAGAACTAAAACGGATGCACATAAAGGAGTGATTGTCAATTAAATCCTCTTTCTTCACCCTAGAGCACACGCCGGCGTACAGTCTGCCTAGCCACCATACAGGAGTACACGGACTGGCAGCAGCTGTTGCATTTGCTGCCGCTGCAACTGTAGTCGCTTCCGTTGGTCAATGCCCCAGAGATGATTGCCTCCGTTTGTAGGCACCTTTCTGCATCCGCCGTTTTTCAGACCTTGAAATTCAATATGCAGTTGTAATCCCCGACGCATTTAATATGGACTCGTTGGCTCATAATCTAGCTGCCTAGCTAAGCTGCGTGCGTGTAGCCTAGTGTCCAAAGACTCTCAATCTCAGTCACGTGTGTGGAGATGAAAAGCCCTGAGCCTCTTCTTCCCACTTACTCGCAAAACCGTAAGACCTGAGGGGGTTACTCACTGCCGGTAGCAGGTATAGAAGATGGGTGCTCTACAAGGCTAAAGATCCCCTAACGTAGTCCTCCTTTCCGAAGTGAAGACTTCAACTGGGTACACGCATACACTCTGGGTGTGTGCATATAAATTATTCTGTATAAAAATCTGTACTGCATTTGCGTAGCGAAACTGTTGCTGCCTCTTCGGCTCAGCAGCAGCTACGCCTAGGGCGCTGACGCTCAATGATTTGATGATGTGAGTGCGTCTGAAAGGAGACAGCACTCGGGCTCTGCTTAGTTGGAGCAGCTGAGTACTGCTGCTCGAAAGGTGAATAACGAGACTCTGAATCAGGCGTCCAATTGTACTGAGTCTGCGAACAAGGGTTGACAGATATGTCGGATAGGGTGCAAATTAATTACGGGGCTCGCTAAGCATATGAATCAATAATGTGACCATAAGAGGTAGCGCCCACACCGAGTGTAAGGAACTTGCACTTGTATCCGCGTTGTTTGCTAGATCTAAATAGGCGCACCTTTTACCTTAACACGCCTGTACGAAAGAGCATCGTGTGTTGGATTTCCTACCTGAAAAATATAAGGCAAAGACTCCTTGATGCTAGCGTACATAGAGGCTGCTACGAGTCTGTTGATGTGTTCTGTGTCAAGGGGCTCCTGGATAACCGCGGGGGCGCCATTTGCTGAAGTAAGATGGCCTTCTGTGGCAAAGGGGGTGCAGCCCTTGTCATAAGAATATGACCAAAACACTGGGCCTGTGCTGCTGCAACTAGCAGCTCCTGAGATAACAGCATCAAAAGCACCGCACAAGGACACTTCGTGGCTGTCAATATGCAGAGCAAAGCAAGGAATGCAGCTTGGCTTCAGTGGGAGAGGCCGCCAATTTGACTAACTGAATCAAAAACCATCTAAATTGCGGAGTGTAAGCATGAGCTAGGAGACTTCGTACAACAGCGTCGGCTGCCGGTGGGGGAGTTGTTGGCGCCCTGCCATCACTTGTGTGGTTGACTGATGACGCGGGAATACGCTGGTTAGAGGGACATTAACATGAGGAATGATTCATTATATACACGGAAACGAAGGAAGGACGCAGAAACAGGGTATTCAATAGAAAAGATCATGGTGTAAAACGGCTAGTCACACAACAGTCGGCAGAGCTCACCTGAGAACTGCGGCTGCATCGTAAGAAGAGTGACAAGGGCAGAAATAAGAAGAAAGGAAGTAATGCTCTGAGGGAAAAGCGCGGATTTGTGCGCAGTGAGTCGCTTCACTTGGGGCAGTCGCAGCCGCATCAAGCTCAACAACCACAGAGGCGATGCAGCCGCCACGCCCCAGTATTCAGTGGTGCATGACCGGGGCAGAAGCCGACGGGGGGAGTCGCTGCCGCACGCTTTTTCTTCACTAACCACGTGTATAAAGAGCTGCGTTCTGATGTCTGGTGTCGCTTACCGTCTCACTTGAGGTGTTGTATAGGTGAGAATCCCAGCGGAACGAGCCAGGGCTGGCGAGGCATCGATTGACACCGAGAGAAAGCGCAGCTCTTGGTGGACCGCTGCCTCAGACCATCCCATTTGTTAGTTGCACCTGCTGGTTGCTTAGTTCATATTTATCAAGGTTCTCTCGTGCATCGGCGAGAGGTGGGTTCATCATGGCTTGTTCGTCATGGATGGACGTTTGTGTCATTCTCCCACAGCTGAGTTTCCGAATTGGCTGCGCCTCTGCACGTGTATAACTCCCCTGAATCTGCTAGTAATAGTCCATTTAGAGTCACGCGGCGCAAAATTAAAGTCTTCATCCAATGTGCTGCCCCATTGTTATTCTATACTTTACACTCTGTTTCATGCCGAGTCGTTTCTTTACTTTTCGTGCTGGTGGCTACAAATTATTTGCCAAGGCCCAAGAGCCAAAATCCCTTTCTCGTCGCTTGAACTAGATGATTGGTCCGTTGAATTCGTATTATGTTGTATGTTAAATCGCTGTTGTGCCCATGATATAACGAAAACCTCCCCGAAGACTTGGACATCAATCGTTTATTCTCTCGGCCCGCGTAGCCCAAAATCCTCATCCATGAACTTCCTGTATACAGTCCCGCAATGTTCATTTCCTAGGACTCGTCCAGAACCGTCCATCAACTTGTGGGCATAATTGATCAGCAGCTTCTTCGTCAAGCCATCGTGCACATCTGGGGTCTCCATCGGGCTATTTCTTATTTTTCACAAGTTATCTCAGTTCCTGTGTGTATTTTGTTCAAATCATCCGGTCGCTAATAAGCCATTTATGTGGATTTGGTTCCTCCGTAAGATGGCCTACTGGAAGCGTACTTGCCCCGGGGTTTGTGCGGCTATCGCTTCTACTTTTTTCTTATGTTCCTCCTCCTTCCTATTACAAGTGCTTACGTTAGCTGTTCCTAGTAGCTTAACTAAGAAAACGAGTTGACCTCCCAACACAGACCTACGTTGCCTCATGGGTGGAATCATGACAGCGAATAAGATGCCGTATGTTTTGAATGCAGTGACACCAAACAAGCAAAAGGTGCTAGCGGGTAAACCCATTGCTCTTTTGATTTAGGCAGACCACGGCTCTAAGAGTAACAACTGTCTGCCACGTTCAGGATGAACATGTGATCTGCCAGACTTCCTAGATGCGAATACTCGCGGGCTGACTGCCCTAAAATCCAGAGAGAACTGCCAGCGCATCAGAGCTGCCAGCCTGCAGCCACACTGAATTCTATAGCTACTATCTGTACGCAAGCAATGTGGCAATCTCTGGGGGCAGAAACATTTTTCCGTATACTTTAATGTAGATCCCTATGAGGATGTGTGAAGGTTTTCAAGACAACTACGTGATCACTCTTAGTGACCCTATTCCAGTCACGAGTTTGTCGGCAAAAGAACGGCAGTAGTCAATAGTTCACTCTCAGGTTGCTTAGAGGGGAGGCGAAGGTAAACGAAATTTGGCCCTCCCCGCACTCGAAGAGCCGATATGCGTTACTTCAATATGGGCTTCCTACTTGCATACATTGCTACCTTTTTCATACACACGGATGTGACAATGTCCTGAGATGTGCAGATATTTTTCTCGAGTAAATCATTTTGCTTCCTAGTGCAAAAGTCCAAATACGCGGACCCTGCCGTCAACATAGGATAATAAACTTAGGTTATCACCTTATAGCATCCCCTTAGTACACAGATGCAACTGAAAGTAACGTTGGCGGGGAATTATTATGTCACAGGAATACGACCAGAGTCGTTCGAATGCAGGCGGAAGGAGGAAAGAGGGCAGTATCTGACGGACAGGATCGCCTGCATACTTTATCGGCTGCCAAACAGGAGCGTACCGCCCTTTTGCATCACCCCGTCTGTGCTCCTTAATTCTACAGTGTGCAGTGAGCTAGCGCTTCCTCAGCCATGCGCACACCTGAGTCTCGTGTTCCCACTTGCACGAGGCAGGACTTGACAACCTCCATACTAATGCTGCAAGCGCTATCCAACCAGTTCTGCCGCCGCACCTTCAACGCAGAAGCTTAAATGAATATCCTGCGTTCACAGCCGACTTAATTATCCTCTGCGAACACACTACTTAAAATATAGAAGGGTAGAGCAAATTGCACAAGTGACTCCCCCCCGATTATTCTTTCTGCACCCCTACCCTCCGCCACTTATGGCCTGTTAGTACGCAAATTGGCCCCATCCGCTCCTAAGCTTGCAATTCCATCAGACCCCGTGTTGAAACTAAATTGCAGGAGCCCCCTTCAAAGCCACTACTTGTCTACAGCATCCAAAAGTCATGCATCTTTGGGCTTAACAGGCGCATATCAATTGATTCTCTCCTTTTTATCAGCTTCTCTGCAAATGCATCACGAAATGCTCGCCTTGCTAGGTTGTCTGCTCGTAGTTGCGCTTTTTTCAGACGTGTGAGATTCGGCCATTTTTTTGCGTATAGTGATCATTCCCAGAGTGCTGTCGCGAGTATATCCAAAGAGAATACCGGGGAAAAACCAACGCTCCGCTATTTGAACGTGAGCCTCTGTTAAAGAGCCATCCTACTAATGGGTGCATACATGCTCCGAGCAGCAGATCGGGGATCCATCGCAATCAAATACCAAAAAATGGATTGGGCCGATCTATGAGAAGGCCACAGCGGCTGTCATCTACCCCACAACTAGGGAGTAGGCTTATTTCCCTGCCCATTGTGTGTACATGCACATTATGCATGCGTGTGCAGAGACAGGTGGAGTGACGTACACACACTGATACGCATACGCATCGATATGCCTTAGGAACAAGGGCATATAAACGCGTATATACAATCCACACCCAGCCAAATGGAGATGCACCCAGGCATGTAGTACCTACGGTGATCCAGCACAGGATGCAAAGGCAGTGAACCCAGAAGCTCACTCAGAGGCCCCGCATGCCTAGGTCTTACACACCGTGCAAACGACTTAGTACGTATGTACAGATAGACTCTAGCAGCGGCTTTGAAGGCCACGTAGAGATGTGCACAAAAGCCATACTCTTGCTGCTTCTTGCCGCCTGTCCGACCTGTATGAGAAATAAAGCTCTACATGTGCCTCCACCAAAGCCAACGTATACAAACCTACTTGCTGCAGTCATATTATCAGGACCACATTCTTCAAGTGTGCTGGAAGATGCCCCATATGTGTCTACATCTCTAGCTTTTGCAGAAATGCTCACTCCTCCTGACCCAAGCATCATGGGGCTGATGTTTATCGAGTTGACATTTTGTTTCACAATCCAGGCTTTCCTTGCAGTTCGCATCCGCTGCACTACTCGCGGCGGCTGCAACTCGTGGGTACATCTTCTTCTGTTGTTTGAACTACATTGTAAATGGGGATGTCCCGACTGCGATGCACAAGCAGATACAGCAGGAAGTTCCAGGACATGCTCAAAAAGGCCATGGGTTGTGAGGATGGTCCGCACGCTACTTGCGACCGCACACCCCTCATGAAAGCATCGGATACTGCTCAGCGTGCAGCTCTCTGCCGCATCTCCAGGATTTAAAGCAGTGCCTTCAGGGTTGCAGGTACTTGGGAAGTATGCTCTTCTTAATGAAGCTGTCGGTGAGCCAATATTGCAAGCAGTTCATAAGCAGCGGGGTCGCGACCATCACCACGAACTAAAAGACATACAGTCACCACCAAAATCACACAATGCAGAAAGATAAGCACACGACTGTCCACATAAAGACGGATGCCATGGACTAACAAACATGAAGTGACTGCACATGCATGGAGGAAAGCACGAGCCTCAATACCTTGACCTGCTTTCAGCGTCGTAGCATGAGGGCTGCAGAAAGAATCTACAGTGGCGTTGATGGCTACGAAAAAACAGACTGACGTGCCTCATAAGTGTGTGTCCCGCGGAATCCCATCGGTAAAGTACTAAACCAGTGCCACCAAAAGTGAACCCCACAATGAAAGACATGGGGAGGTAAGTTTAACAGCAATGACCTCCCTGCATTGCTCACCAGTTTGGCGTTTGGATTCGCATCCAAAGAAGCCCTGCACATGCATACTCATTGAAGCACACTCTAGAAAGCATGGCTTGCATGTCTGTACAGCCTCAAGTACGCAGGCAGCACCGCACAGCAGCCTGTTTTAGGTCAATGGCAGTAGTATGATAGCAAGGGACAAGGCATGAGCTGTTGCAAGGCCTGCAGTCCGAAGTTTACAGTAGGGTGTTGCCGATGAAGACTGCAGCAATGCACAGCCACAAGACTGTCACAGAGGGACTTTCTTGCAATTCAATCAAGCCATCAAATCATTTGTTGCAATCTTCCCTGCACCACTATCTCCTCTTAGCTTGCAAAGTCTTTTGTTTCAGATTATGTCTGCTTCAAATCGCTTTCCTTTCTATAGTCCTTTCCTGCCACCCACCTACACCCCCCTCATCCCCCATGCACGTGTGGCACTTGGACTCTAGCTCGTAGCCAGCTCACCAAGAGGGCCCTGGAATGCTATCATGAAGATGGAGGCACTGAGTTTCATGAGCAAGCAAAACGCCTGCCATGAAAGCGCTTGCGTAAAACACGATGACCACCGCGGGGGGTTCCCGTACTCTCCATAGTCCTGAAACGACATAGACCCGCCAAGGACAGCCGACATTTAGTGCAGGAATGCAATCAACTTCAGAATATGCATAGAAAACGTGTAGAAAACGCCAGCGCTGTGCGATTTTCCTCAAAGCATAGTTTCTCCTAGAGATACCCCAAGGAACGCGGTGGCTTACCAAGCAGGCGGCGCCCTTCAGGAAGCGGCGGGCAGCCCGAAGGAATACGTATTGAACGTAGACGCCTGCAATCAAAGTGCGCAAACACCATGAACCCTAGATGGAAAAATTGAATGTGCATCTATGATTCCCCACAGACCCGTCTTGTGCAGTTCCCGATGCTGTTCAAGTTTTATGCATCGGGTGCAGTGTATTGAGGTTCTCGGGGATAGGCCGTTGCGAATCATCTGCTGCAACCGGAGTACGTAAGGGACAAGTTTAAGAGAAATCAGATTTACCTAGGGTGGTGTCCACTATGATGTTAATCCAGTACCAAACGCAAACATCCTGTTTAAACATTGCGGCCATCAGCCCCGCGCCACCCAAGTTTACTGTGCAAACGCACAGCACCAGAGCCTAAATCGTACAAGCGGCGGTGCACGTCTTCAGCCCACACGTTAGCGTACAAAAACGCGGGCACGAAGACCCCCGTACAGCCTTTAAAACAACCTGAAAGGCTTTAAGAACACTCACGCAAGTGGATGAAAAAACCGCCCGATGCCTGCTTCGCGCAATCGAAAATAAAAACCTTCCATGTCCTTCTGGGCCGCTCCTAAGAGACCGTAAAAAAGAGGGGTGAGGCGAAGAATTGGCGTTCACTCAGCAGAAACCAGATGGATCAGCAGAGATCAAGCCCCATGAACAGAGCTAAAATCTACGGACATGAAGACCGATGAAACTAGTCGATGGTCTGATCTTAGAACGTGGGATTTAGGAGAAACGCACTCTCCAGCGCTTAGCTAGGAGCGAACCGAAGGACAATACACCCAGAAGACCCTGCAGCCACCACCTGAAACAGAACCACACACGGTATACCCTGGAGGCTCCTCACGCAGCGCACTCATACAGCAGTGGGGTCTGTACTGAATAGAGTTACGGCGCCTTGGGGCTGAAGAACGGGCAGATCAGGGCTTGCACAAAAAATCGGTGCATGAGAGCTTCAGGTTCATAGCGAGTACTCCTCAGAAAGGGGAGTACTGCGTGCGTGGGGGTTCAGGGGGCTGCGGAGATTACCCAAAGGCGCCAAATTCGCCCAAAAGTTCGCAAGTGCCCTCGATCTGGATGAACACGGGAGGGCCAACATCATTCATTGAGGCATCTGTCATTGTCCACCCGTAGAAATAGCGTGCGAGTGTTCGAGCTTCGCTGGGAGGCGGTGGGTCAGAGGGAGTATAGTTGATCCTACACTGCTTTTTGCTTCTGTTATTCGGTAGAGGAAATCGACGGATAACATGGATGAAGCGCCGAGTAGCACGCGCTGCTCTGCTCGAATATAGTTACCATCAGACAGTCAATGGGGACGAACGACGATACTGCGTTGATGGTTTTAAAAAAAGGCGCACGGTAACCCTCCGGCTAAACAAATGAGCATTGGCTTCAGGTTTATAGCTTTAGTTTCAGAAGCCTTTCAACCGGGTGTTTCTCGGCAGCAACAGGTTCGGCAGACTGTGGCTACGGGACCTTGCAATGGTTAGGAGATAAAGGTTAGCAGTTAGCCCATCAAGGCCCAGCACTTAAGCTCTCGTATAGGATTTCACGATAAAGTTATTCGAGACTGGAAGTGTGGAAATGGGGACTTAGCGGAAAGCCCGCTGCCTCTTCTCTTGTATGCTTTCTGCGTTTGCGACATGCATGCAGCCCTAAACAACACAGGCAGAGATTAGGGACAAAACTGCTAATCTCTGTGTAGTACATCGAAAATATAACAGCATAGTCATGGCACCGTTAAAGCTGCGAAGTCTTTGTTGCCGAAAAAGGTGGTGGTGAGGATGTATGTGCAGCTCCATAGACCCTTCACACTAATTTCCCTACTAATTGTAGTGTCATATGATTTATCCATTGAAACTCTGGGTCATCTCTGCCGTTTTGTCTGCTCCTGACCAACTAGTACATTGTGCTGTGGTCACCAAACGCGCAGTCTCAAGGTCAAGTCGAGTGAAGCATTAGTTGGACCTGCCAAAAGTCCTCTAAAACGGAGCGATATCTTTGCTAGTGCAGCCCTCATGAAGGGTTCATCGTATTTTGCGGCTTAGCAGTCACTCGCCGTTCAAAATGAAAATTCGACTTTTTACTTTGCTTAGTTACACTTCGGCACTTACTCCTAGTTATATTTGTCTAAGAATCAGCGATAAATTGATTACTTAGTACGGGCAGTGCGTAGGAAAAGCATCTTTTCCCCTTGTGCCAGAATCCTGAGTGATGAGAGCCGGGAGATGCGGTATTGCGCTGAAAGGCGTTATAATCGTGAATAAGCTCTTTGAGAAGCTTATGCATAGAGGTCCTCCTGTAGATTACCTAAATGAAGGTTCACGCTAAATGCCTCTCCAGGAGCGTTCCCCCGAGCTCCTGTCCCCTTAAATTCTCAATATTGCCGTGTATGGGCCTCCTCCTTAGCTTGAGGATCTAAACAGAGCTGACACTTGATCCGGCATTGCTAACGTGAGGCGAATGAAAGGACAGAGGCATCATATTCGTCTTATTTCATCATCTGACACAGTTGCCTGAATAGAGATACTCTATTTCCGTAGTTCTTTCTTGTAGCCCCTAGAACCAACGGCTGTCCCTGCTTGCCGCCTTTAAGGTCAAAAACGAAGAAAGCACACACACCACAAACTGCCGAATAGGAAATATGGAAAGTACCCGGTGCAGATATGCTTGTTTTTTTCTTTCATCCGATAAACGCTGCTGCGAGCTCAAAAGCGGGCAGCTAGAGTTTGTGCATGATAATGAAAAACAAATACGAAGAAGCTAGAGGAAGAAACGGCAGCAGGGGCGGGGAGAAGCTATGGTCAACGCGCTACTGGTGACCAAGGAACAAAAATTTGAGTGAGGCGTAACAATTTAGGAAGGTAATCGTGGTAGCGAGAGCTTCCGAGTTAAATCCGTTGACAGTCCAGCCTACATTCATTCGCATAACGGATTCTACCTCACGCACTTTAATCGTGTGAACCTGCTGTGGCTCACTACGATGAAGCGTTTCTGGCATCCGAAATCGTTTGTCGAGGGTCCTTAGTCTAACAGAAACTCGTGGGGGACACTTCTGTGGCTCCCGTGAAGGGTGTTTCCTCCTATGGATCAGTCTTCGCATACCGATTGTAATACTTATCGCCTCGATAATCCATCCAAAAACATGGTGCATCGATGTGCTTGCTTTGATGCATGCTCCCTAAATCAAACCACTCCACTAGGAGCTCTTGAGACCCCTCAGTATTATTTATAGACTTTTCACCAGTGTTTCGAGTACTTTGCTCGCACACTTGAACACATCTGCCTTTGACCGATATGTTTTTCTCACATGGATACGGCAATATTGGTGTAAACCCTTTTGATTACGGTCTGTTCCTCGAAGTTGACTGGTCACCTCCAGTTCCTGGTTTTCGGTGGCGAGGCGCCGGGACATGCTCGTTATGTCTGAGCACTAACCTAACAAACTTTAGTAAATCAATTGGGAAAAAACATTGCCTCTTTGAGTGCTTTGGAATACACGACCGGCATGGAGTTCTTGTCCGAAAAGGCAGTGTGTACAAGTGTACTCGCGTGCACGGTCAGTCTGCCGCCTGCGCTCGTGCTTCTGGGTCGCCACTCCTCAGCATTTTTTTTTCACTTTTAGTGCCTCTTTCATTTTCATTTACACTAAGTTCTCTGCTTTTATTTTCTTTTGGCGGTCTGTCAGTGACTTCCTTTTGCTCTTAACGGCCCTTTCGCTGCGTGCCGTTTGCCACCTGTTACTGGTTTAGTGGGACGGAGTGCACGTTCGTCTTCTCTTTGCGGATCTGGCTACCTTATTTTCTCCATTTCGTATTCGAAACGTTGTTTTTAAAGCATTACCAAGGCAACACATGCAGATCCATTGAGACATTAGTTGCCAAAGACCCCCTAAACACGGAGCCTTTCCAATACCGTGCAAGGACACCTCTCTTGCTGCCACACGAAAAAGAGCGAAGCGTTCCACGAAGATGGGATGCATCAACTGTAAGAAGCAGAGGGGCGTAAATGCCGCTGTTCGTACTCCCAGCTCTCATTCCTTGCCCTTTCAATATTTGCAGCAGCAAAAAGTCCACCCTGGTGTAGGTCCAGTGGCAGACCCCCCTTCCACAACAAAAGGCTCCCCCGGCACCGGTACAGGCAGCGAGACGCACCAAGGCGCTGAAGGGTCTGTGGAGTCCCTCATTGAGTCTCCGGCTACATTTGGCAGCGCCAGTCCTCCCGCTTGCGACGAAGTGGAAGAGAAGTGCTTCCCGCAGGAGCAGCGAACTGACGACTTCATTCACAGAGCCGAAGGCAGTGGGTGCACTGAAGACCCCACTGATGGTCTTACCTTGTGCAAATGGCCTGAAGGAATAGGGGAGCACGAAGAAAGGCGAACCTCTTCCTCCACGCCGCAACCAGACTGCGCAGGTGCACCTACCACGCGAACGCAGCATCAGCGACCGAAAGTAACGGATGTTATCATACCCATGCGCAGCAACGACTACTATGGCTACCGTCACAGCAGCCGCGCCTCGCCACTCTCCCAAAGCAACCCAAAACAGAAACAGCTGCTGCAACGAGAGGGACGGAAGGACCTTTCCATAGAGACCTTAGCCTGCGTTCGCCGCGGCTTCGACGCTTGCGTCAACAGGGATACAGAGGTGGCCGAAGCTGAACTGCAGTAAGAAGCTGCCACTGTGGCTCGTTTCCTCAATACTCTTGCTGCAGGCTTTTACTCGAAAGATTTGTGCAAACGTTGTGGCAACGGTTTCACACTACAGTGCGTTTCTCGTGTTGCAGGAAGGCGGAGGGTCTACTTGCGGCTCTTCGCGTCAGCACTAACACCCCGGGTGCCATGCGTCGAGCCTCCCTTCCAGGAGGCTTTGTGTGGTCTGTCCGCAAGAGCGCCAGCAGCAGCCACTGCAGCAGCACCAAGAACAGCAACGGCCCGTGCGAGCCAATAGAGCTAGACATTGAGCGTCGCATCACCAGCCTCAGGAATAGTTTGAAAGATATTCAGACGGGATTTATCTCTGCTGATGCCCGGCGCACTCTCTACTCGCACACGCCCACTGTGCCCCTCTCTCCTGCAGCGGCAGCGGCTGCTGCAGCCGCTGCGGCTGCAGCAGCAGCCGCCGCTCAGAGACCGAACAACGCCATTCCTGTGCCACATGCAAGCGCCAATAGGCAGTTGACTGCCTGAGAGATACACCAGCAGCTGTCCTTGTGAGTAGCAAGTTAGATTCATGGACCTTTTTGGCCTTTTTGTGCTTTGTTTTAGGTATTCTGGCTGTTCTAGGTGCAGTTTTACCACTTCACCAAAGCACCGAAGCACAGCAGTGACAGCAGCACCCGTAATTGCTAAAGTAGCTTTCCTTGGCTGTGGCTGCGGACGCGGCTGCAGCAGCGGACCTTATTTGCAAATGTCAATGCCACCTGACGAGGGTTTAGCATTTAAAGCTGCTATAGTTTTCACCAGCTGCATTTACATCATTCTCATACCAGCATCTCAAATCCTGAACCCGCATGGAGGTGCTCCTGGGCCCTTCAGCCGCAGAAGCACGGCGAACTGGGTAGTTGGCTGCCTATTTTGTGATAGCTAGCTGGTTAGCACTTTTCCGAAGATCCGAGTGCGGGTGTACGTACAGTTACATGGCTGTCTACTTAGGCTTTGCCGAGCACATCTATCATATGGTTAAGCTGGCTAGATGGGCAGAAGAAAAGAAATACAGTATATGACTCCCTGTGGGCGTCTGCAGAGTTAGGGCGCCACTACGCGCACCTTGGGCAGCTTGTCATGCCCAGGCAGACGCACAGCTGGCTAACTATGCAATGCAGTAACTAGAACCACAGTCGTTAGCCAGCAGTACATGTATCCAAGTAATCAGCTGCGCACCAATGCACAATGGCAACATCAATAAAGACACCCCAGCATCTGCTGCTGTGGCGCCAGGCCGATGAAATTCATTGCCACCAACAGCCCTACTCTTCGTCCTCGTCTTCATCTTTAAGAGACTGAAGCATCAACTTGCTCTGATGAAATTCGTTATAATGCTGCTTCCTCCTCTCCCTAAAATCCTTTTCCTGGTGCACCTGTTTTTGCTGCTCGGTGTTGCTGTCCTCAAGCTGCACCAGTCGGGCAGCCAATTCAGATGGATCCACAGCCTGCGGCTGCTGCAAGCATCATGAGGCAGGCAGCTTACGTGAGCTTGTCACGATTCCAAGAAGTAGAAATTGCGGTATGAGCAGCGTCACCACTTCCCGAAGGTTAAACAGCGGCAGATTTTGGCTGCGAAGCTGTAGCGACTCCACGGTACATCAGTAGCAGCAACAGCAATAAAGGCAGCAAATACCATACCAGCAGCAGTGGCTGAACTTACCTCTTCAGGCTCTTCATCGTCCACCTGCAGCAGCAGATGCACAGGACACGCGATGCAGCAACAGTACTGCAGAATCAAGCCCACACTAACTAGCCCAGGAAGACTCGCAATATCAGCGTTAAGGGTGCAGTTCCAGCATCTGCTAGTGGTGCATCAACCAGGGGCATAATAATGGATGCAGCAGATTTCTTGGCATACCCTTTCCCTGTTATAAGGCGTCTTGGGCTCCGTAATGGGGATCCGAGTTCCTCGCAACAAATCGTGTTCAGCAATCATCTCCTCATCCCAGCGAATGCCAAGCGGACTGAAGCAGAAGCGCCGACGATAACAGCAAGGCCAGATGCAGCAAAAATGCAACACCGACGTGTGCATGCAGCAGACACACCGGCAGGAGCTATGGTGAACTAGCTAGCACAGAGAGGTAACAACACCATCCGGCTATCCCTACTGCTTGGAAGGCGTTTGTGCTTTCACGAGGATCCCGGGAGGGCCCGATTGGGACAAGGAGGAACTCCTTGTCGTTGCCTCCCTGCTCATTGATGCTGCCGATCCTTCCGCTGCTGCTGCCGTCGTAAACGCCCCTGATTAGTGTGTACGCACACGCGGCATGTATTACGCGAAGTGTGCCTTTTTGCACGGGGTCGAAGGCAGCTTCCTTGAAGCGACAGACAGATGCCCCCAAAGCGCAAGGGGGTAATCCCTACGTCCTGCAGCGAGCTATGCGCTTCAAATAGCGACCGTGTCCTCAATGGCCTACAGTATTTAGATTCAGAACGTACATTGAATTTCTACGTTTGGCAGTGCCTCGATTCGCAATGTGCGGTGCGTCGGTGCGGTGCGCAGGAGCCGGGCCCCAGGGGGCCCCTTGTTGCGAGAGGTCGAGTAACCGAGGTAAAAGTAATCAAATAGAAAAAGAGGAAAGCAAAGACAAAAAATAGGCAAGAAAGATTAGCAGTCAAAAGCAACGCGAAGGAGGATGCAACTCGGGTTGCTGCAAGTGCGGATGGCACGGGGGGCCCTTAGGCCCCCGGTGCCATCGTTGCTTCTCCAGTTAAGAAGAGTAGTACGAACACTTTTTCTTGTGTTCAGCGCTTAATGAGCATACGCTTAAAGTCAGACCCTCTAACCCACAGCTCGCTCTACAAATCCTCCCGACGTCCGAGTTGCAGAACTGCTGCACATTTTCCCGTGTCATTCCGGTACCCCTTGCCTTCTACTTCCTTTATCGTCGCTTCTATGACCGTCTGGGATGCGCAGGCGGACTCTTCTATGGATCGAGGGAGTCCACAACTCTCTCGAGACATGCAACTACCCGAGGGGTTCCACTCCGTCGAATGCAAGCGCGACAGCGAGACAACGCAAGAGATCAAACAGGGCATGCCTACGGCCCTCCAACCGCTTCCCATGACTGCTTCAGCAGCAGAAAGGTCTGCCGCCACCCTCGCCAATGCCCAAGGGCCTGGAGAGTCTCCCCTCGTACACTCTGCAGAGGATTCCTCAACACCTGCCCTCCAAAGCGCGAGCGGCGACTCCTCCTGCCACGCACAGCAGGATTCTTCCCTCTCATGGGAGGCTCCAGACACCGATATCTCCCCGAGCGACCCCGACAACCCTTGCAGGCGCATTGGGGAGGCCCCCTACGGCCCCCTAGGCCGCTGCCGGAAGAGACAAAGAGAACGTGTACTAGGGGAAAAGTTCGCAGATCCGTTTCCAGCAGCGCCATCCGCAGCGCACTCGACAGGAGGGGAAGCGTTCGGTGTTCGAGGGGAAAAGCGGTTCAGGGCAGGTCCTTCGCGTCAGACACACAGCAGCCTGATGCACCCGCGTTCCCGGTTTTCTGGGGGCCCCCTGAATTTTGTTGCGCTATCAGAGAAAGTACCGGCTCTGAGAAACTTTTTTCTCATCTCGCCGTCAGGCCGCGTGTCTTTCGATTTTCGGACCCGGGAGGCGCAACTACAGCTCTGTGTGGCCCTCTTCAAGTGCATTTACAACCTGACCTTCTCCCTCCCACTAGAAGACAACTTTTTGATTCCTACTCTCCCTAACAGAAGCAACTATATCCACTTCTTGGCCGACCTCCTTTCTGCAACGGAGGGACTTGGAACCCCACAAGGGCACCCCATCCCGGGGGGGGAAGCGTACATTCTCCGGGAGGCCCTTGAAGAGGATTCTTCTGGCCCCTTGAAGGCTCCAACGGCCAACGAGCCATCTCAGGATGCGACCCTCGGGGAGGAATTCACTGGTGCCTCAAAACAAACTAAGCACCCTCCGAGAGGGCCCCAGGTGTGGATATTGGATGTAGGCGTGGGTGCAAACTGCGTCTATCCACTCCTAGGTGTTGCAGATTATGGCTGGTCCTTCGTTGGTTCCGATATATCCGAGGCCTCGCTCTCGGTTGCGACAGCGAACGTTGTGGCGAATGGCTATGAAGGGCGCATCAAACTGCAGCTGCAGAAGGAGCGCAACTGCATTTTTCAGGGGCTGTTAAACGGTGGCGACCCTTTGTTTGCTGCCTCTGTATGTAACCCGCCATTCTACATCAGCGAAGAAGCCATTGGTATCAACCCTAAACGCCAGAAGGCTGGAAATGCTCACGAGCTGGTCTGTGAGGGCGGAGAGACTGCCTTCCTCTCTGCCATGTACACGGAAAGCAAGCGGTTTGCTTCGCATTTCATCTGGTTCACGACACTTGTTGCCAGGGCATCCACTAGGGACTCGATGAAGCGGGTGTTGCACGAGGGCATGAGGAAAACGTGCAAGCGGCAACAGGAGCTTATGCAGGCCCAAGCCGAGGAATGGCTATCAGCCAACAGCGAGCATGGAGACTCTTACAGCGCAAACCCTAGCAACAGCAGCAACAATGCTGACAAGAACGTGGAGGATGTGGAGATGCATCCACGAGAGCTGAGGATCTTTGAGTTGTCTCAGGGGAAGCAAACGCGTTGGGTGGTCTGCTGGACGTATTGGACCAGGGAACAACGAGCTTTGCTGCGTCCAATTTTATATCCCAAGCCAAGTACCTAAGCTAAGTGCCAGTTGGCGTTGCCTGGGATGCTTCCAGGGCATATAAGAGGCTTATACAACACGCACGGGTACAACTGCTTTGCTCTGCACTGGTGGCATGTACTTCTTGCATTCTTCAGCATCACCACTAAAGAGTTTTGCTTTACTGAGGGAGTCCCAGCCGGTTTTTAAGTACTAACTTACTTGTACCTAAAAGATCAAAAAATTAAAATAGCCACTCAGACGTTTACGGTGCAAACCTGAGGTGGAGCTGCTGCGCATTATCCCATCTGGGAAGAATTAAAATAGCACGCGTAGTTGACGGCACTACGGCTTTTTTAAAAAAAAACTCCCGAACCGCTTTCATAATGTGCATATTTTGCTAGTCACACAGAAGTGTGACGAAATTACAGAAATCCAGCGGGTAATTGCCTAGAACCAAGTTGTACTTCCTCATTCTTCATGTGTACGTGCACCTGCACCAGTGGTCATGCACACTCTTTGATGGGAACTGCATATAGACGAGCATTTACATTAGCCTATATAGAATGTGCATATATTTTCAGTATATCCGGGCGTTCTCACTCCATCTGCTCTTCTCCTGCAAAGTGTTTCACCTTTGGCGCTGAAGACGCAATGCGGGAAGCCTGTTGCTTAGTTCAGGTGGCCCTCTCCATAGTCGTCTATCGGTTCAGCTGCTTTGTTAATGGTGAAACACTACCGACAGCCATGCCGGCAATCCCGGCAGACTTGATTTACGACAAGGAAAGGCACAAATTCAAGTTGATGCCAAGTCCAGAGGATATGGCAGAGCGATTGACGGACGGCTCTCAGAGGCAGAAAGATGTGTTTTTCCAGTTGTATAACTCGGCATTGAAGGATTTTGATGTCAAGGGATACGACTGGCTCATGAACACAGGTTAGAAACAACCGGCTGTTCTGCATACAAAACATAATGCCAAGACCACAATGTTTCACGTCTGTAGTTATGGACCAGAAGACGTCCTCTCGTTTCGTCCAAACATTGTCGAAAGTGGACAACGAAAATCCTCACGTAAGGAGAAAAGTGTCCAGCGCATAGTGTGACAGCTAGATTTCGATTCCCTTTTCAGTGCAATCCGGGGGAGACAGGCGGCCCTCCAGCAGAGGAGCCAAAGACGCCCTTCCCAGGAGGCCCATTCCGCAGTTTGTTCGGCTTCGATCTGACAAAATGGTAAGGTGCATGCAGGATTGCTAAGTCATATCATGTAGGTCGGTGTAGCGCCGACGGTGCTTACATGCACATCTCGTCGTTTCAACTCATGAAGATATAAGGCATGCAAAGAATAGAACATGGAAGAATGTACCTCACTAGAATGCACCTAAGCAGGCTGATTAGATGCAAAACGAGGCTGTAAACCGTGTAGTACATTTTCTGAGATTTGCAGTACAGCGAATGTCAATGCTCTCGTGTCGTGCAGCAACGTATGCTGTAGTATCTGGGGAATACGGGATCAGTTGTTCAGACTGGCTTTACTGACGTTTTCACCCTTCCTCCTCTTCAGGCTAACCGAATTGGTGTCGAAGATCCAGTCCGAAGCAGGAAGCCAATGTAAGACCACGCATTCTCGTATGACTGCAGCATGCCTACGTTGCCCCTGCGTCTCTCTTTCCTCTCCTGTCACTCTACCGTTCTTTCAAGGCTTTGCTTGTTTCTTTGCTGCGTGCCTCAATCGCTTTCCATTCCATTCTTTTTCCACGAGCCTTCCAATTTATTTTATTGTTTCTCTGGTTTCAGCTCCCGGCCTTGCAACGGTGTCCATGATATCCCTCATGATGGTCAAGGGCCTCGTGCAGTCAGTCGCAGCCACCGTGATGGACATTGTACCACCGCTCATTCCTCCGCCAGTGTGGATTAACCAGTAAGCGCAGCATTCTACGTCCAGTAAGCTCTAGGTTATTGCACTAAGCGACCGTTCATCAGGCCGCTGCCTTGTCTCCCCATGCTCACAGGTACATCGGGGCCAAAGTGCCCTGCTGTCGCATGTACCGAGGGGGTAGCTTACACGAAAGTTCAATGCACGTACATGCCTTAGTATATCAGCGCAAGTAGTCATCTGCATGCGGGCCTTCCAAAACGCTTTGCGATCCTATGCAGGTGTATGATCATGTGAGAACGTCTAGGCTTGAGGCTAAATGTAAAATTGTGCACACAGTAGACTCTCTCGTAGTCATCAACAGTTCCAAATAACGCAAATTGAGATATATGTATGGCTTCAGGGCGCAACTGCTTCGGTTCGGTGCTCTATCCGATAACGATACCGGACTTTATAACTGCAGACGTCACGGACTCTGTCATGGAAGGTGTGATCGGCAGGTTAGCCTCAGCCCGCAAATCCATGAGCACATTAGGTCATAGCATTGGAATATCTTCCTGCCATTGGCTGCACCTGCTTGTATGTGTTGCATGCACACTGAAATTCCTGAAGAGAGATACGCATGAATGTATGAGGGATAGCTGCATTTACTTTCGCACCATGTGACTGTGCGTTTACTGATTGGATACATTCCGGCCAGCCACTTTGTATTCTCCCTGTGACTAAACAACACCAAAGTGCTTGTTATCTTCTTCGCATTCTCATTTGCATTCCTCGCAGCTTTCCCTCGAAATACCAAAACAAAGTTGGAAAAACAAGCGAAACGCAATATCGTATTTGGTGAGTCCATCCCTCCTTCCCGAGCCTGGACTCACGATCTTGCATATAACACCTGCAATGCATTATTCTTGTCATTCCTTCAGTGCCACGGCGTATCTTGGAATGTACTGGTGAGGCGTAACACGAGATCATAAGCAAGGCATACCTCAGATCTCAACCTTAATTCATCAGTGCCAGTATCTTTCCACACTGCTGGATGCCGCAGGGTAGGCCTCTTCTTTGACCAAACCTCCCAACGACCTCAGCTATTACACACAACTAGGCATGAAAGAGGCAATGGCACAACCCCTGTGCTTCCCCCACTGCATCGCCACGCTTGTTGCGTGCCCAGGATTTTGGTTAGACGGTGAGCATGCATCTGATCAGGGCTTACGTACACCTTCAGCTCTTCATTGCATACCTACTGCTTCCTTTTCATCTTTCAGATATTATGGGGCCCTGTAGTGACATATCGGTGAGCTCTGCTCCCGCCGTGCAAGCCGTCTGCGGCCGAATCGATAGATCTGTTGCCCGATGGTTTCCATGCACTTCCGCCTAGCCTGACGCGCATACTCTTGTGCACGTGCACATTTCTTCGAACGACACACATCAAGAGTCGCTCTACATTAATAGAATTATACATGAGCCGTTTTCACCTAATTGGCTTCACAAGCTGCGAACGACATAGCTCAATTTCGCAGATCCCGCCGTTCTGCTCCTTTTCGTTATTTCTGAATCACAAGAGAGTGCCTCCCCTGGTAAATCCATATGCCAGTCCATCAATTATATACTTGCCTTTGACCTTTACCTCTTGAATGAACGCTGCGGCTCCTTATTGCAGTACACCACCCTTGCTCAAGACCATCCGTTCCCCCGGGAATGTCCAAAGTTCGGTAAGCAAGCCCCACGAAGCCTACCCCTTGATCCTACAGCATGCCCTTAGCCTCCCACTCAAGACGTCCAGCATGCTTATTCCTTTAGTCTACTGACAAAAGCATAAAGCGTGTGAATCCACAAATAGTGAACTGTACACTCATTCACTTAAAATGTAGTAATTTTGAGTTACACTCGTAAAATATGGTGCTTTCCTGCAGATCCGTTGTACGACATTCCCGATGATTTGTTTGTTCCCCGCGCTCCTCTTCCCTCCCCATTTGTGGAAGAAGAGCCCCCGCAAATCCCATGTAAGTGTGCTCTAAAGTACAAGGCTTGTGACTCCTTACTAATCACGTATTTACAGACACACCAAAAGAGAAGAAAATTCCCGAGTACAAGCCCCCAGTACACGTCGAGCCATGCAACTGCGAAGACCGGGAGCACCTGCGAAACGTGTGTCTGTACCACGCGGCTCTCCCTGTGGTGGTAGGCAGCCAAGCATCTTCTCCGTTCTTCAAAGCGTATTCCGAAACACCGGACCGTGAACCCTAAACAGGTTGCAGGAAACAGCACAGTCGCGCCAACGCACTTCCAGATCCCCTCGACAAAGGGTCCAAACGACTGCTGCGTACGCTGCAAGTTTTATGCCGCAGGTGAGGCACACTGCAGGTACTGCACCAAGATCCCTTAACCCTGCTTATACTTTTCCACTTGCACAGGCCCCATTCCGCAGCTGCCAGTCGAGCCGCCTCTACGAGTGGTGCTTCCGGCCGAACAGGAGCAGCAGCAGAAGGAGCAGACTCCACAAAAGGTAAAGTTAACGGTCGGCAATCAAAATGAGAGAGCACTGTTTCCCACACTTCAAACCCCAGCTAGGGCATGTTATACCTGTCGAACACTACGGCAGTCATGCCAGGCATCCCGCTGCGTTCCTCTAACGCAGCTAAAAAGTAAACCCTATGCTGTAAGCCCTAAACCATGGGGTCCCTTAAAGCAGAAACGCGTCGGATGGTTCCGCCGGACATGCGCGAGGAGCAGCGGCGGACGAAAACGTTCTCAGCAAGCCCGTGCGGGTACACAGGAGAGATTCTCCCAGCTAATCAGTGTGCCTCGCAAGGATTGTTTCAGCTTGAACAGAAGATCGAAATGAATATTGGCATAGATTACAACATATCTCGGTAGCGAATCACCTTAGCGCCCAGCATTTCGATGCGGTACAAACTCGCAACTAGCGTAGCGCATCCACGGAGGTGGCCACAATGAGCGGGGTTCGGAAAGATAGCGACGCTGAAGTAATAGCCACAGCAGCATACGGGTACGATACTCGTAGAGAAAGCGTGAAGGGGAATACAGGGACTCTCAAAGGATAGTTAAAAATGCATTAATTGCAAATGCACTTAGTTTCGTCATCAAATAGGACTTCATTGCCCTATATAGGGTTGCCCGCTTTGCCGGCAAGGGTTTCGAAGGCAGCTACCACCTTCCGACCCCCTTGCCGGAGCACTTGAGTAGAGCTGTCAGTCAAACTGATTCACGCTGGCCGCTTTATTTTGTAGCGTTCGCGTGGTTGCGTGTCGTACGAGATGCACAGTATACACCTTGTACATGCCTCCATATATTCCCCTTTTGCAAACGTATGTTCGTAGGGCGTACGTGCAACTGCGTGCCGGATACCCATGAATTGATATACATGCAAAGAAGCACACACACCAATACGTTTCTCGCATTCGTGTATGCGGTGCTTGAATAGATGGGCCTACCGGCGATTTGAGTGTGAGAAGCACCGAAACAGCGATAATCCAGAACCAAAGATAATTACCGATGCATCCACATACTGTTGGCACGAAAGAATGCTGAACGGTGTACATAAAATGCACATTCCCTGCAGTACTCTCTGCATGGCCAAAACAAAGGCCACAGACAAGCCGCGCTCATGCAGCCACGCTGTGCCAACAGCACACAAACCCGTGAATGCATGATAGGAATTGCTGCAGACATAAACATGGGGAGCGTATTTCGAGCCTTTACAGATGTACCCTAAATGCGAGCATATCCACATACACACATATGTACATAATTGCTTGTTCCCGTATATCTAGGAATATAACTGCATGTGATTAGGTGAATACGCAACACACATATGATTGCACACATGTGCGAAGATGTATGCATAAGATATGCACATCCTTGGTGGCATGTGATTTTGTATACACCCTGATGTTCTTATGTATACTCCAAGACGTAGGGCAGGGACGTCCCCGGGAAAAGCCTAAGAGAGGGCTATTCGACTTGGATCCAGCTCTGTAACTGCTCCCTGCTTTACTCCCCATAAATACCAATATAACAAAATGCCAAGCTGCAAAACAAGCACAATCACAGTACACAATACCTTCGGGTGTGGCTAGAAGACGCACACGTCAAGGACGCCGCCTCGCGTCCAATCTGATTAACCCCAAACCGAAACCCCATCCTCACCGGCTGCCCGGTGAAACAGAAGACGAGCCAAAAGAAGCAATTCCCGACTGTGGGGTAGTTTTGAAACTGCAGTCACAAATCACAGACGCCACGAACATTGACAGCTCGAAACACGAATGTCAATTCCCCAAGGCACGGGGATGTTGCTGTACAAGGGACCAGGGACTGTTGGTTAGGGGGTTACTCACAAATTGGATGTTCGTTATATACATAAGGGGAATTTGGCCTGAGGCGCAGCATAAGAAGCCTCAACTCCATACCCGACTACATCCAGAGAGACCGACCCCAAGACAAGAGCTTAAGATGCAAACAGCGGGTTCAACAATTCCTGTACGATGCGTAAGATGAGCCAATGATGTCTGCTCACGAGAGCAGCAGTGGCAGCAAGAAGATAGGCAGCACGGACTAAAATTTACGGACCAATAAAGGCGAAAAAGATGAATCCCGTCCACCCCAGCTGCAGCGGCACCACTACGAGGTACTCGTGCATTAAGGCCGAGATGAAAAACACCACGCAGGCCGCAAAAAACTTAGGAACGCCTGAGCCACAAAGCAGATATCGCTGTTCACCAGCCTTGAACCATTGGTCAACTCTAAAGCACAAATGCATCGGTGCAGAGGCCGCTGACACAGCGAGGCTGCATCATTCAAGATGCTTGCACAGGGGCACATTTTTCGGGGAGGTCGCCCAACAGGATTACCGTTTCTCAGGAGCGGCTTGTTCACGTGCCGGTGCAAAAAGAAGTGAATCGGGAGGTTCCACTTGCGCCAGTATTCCCCAAAAGACGAAGCATTCCACCAGTCCTAAACACAGATGCTTGACCTAAACCCTCAACTAGATGTGCATGCACGTCTAGTTGAGGCTCCCTGCCCCTGCAGCACGTGTGAGTGCTGCCCGGCCCCCTCCACGCGAAAACGCGAATTTGAACATACGCCTTATCCCCGCAGACTGCCAAATCCTGAAAATCCCTCCACGACCCCAAGACTCACAAGATAGAATTCTCGATCGCCAAATCTCGTGATTTCTGCTAGGATGTTACACCAGTGGTGGAAGAGCCCGATAAACATAAGGAGCCAAACATACAAATTGGGGATCGAGAGGCGAATCATCTGCGTTCAAATGCAAGAACAAGGATGCGTGTAAGGCGTTTCTGAAGCACGTTGCTCCGTGTTCAAGTGCCCTGGATAGTCTGCAGCAAGCTAGGCCCGTAGACTAGCGAACACAGCCGTCCGGGCTTAATCACCATACTTCTGTGGAGAAGTTTCATCATGAATAACGAGCTCAGCTGCACCATGCGACGGTGGCGCTTGTGCTTACTTGTCTGAAGAAGTGGGAAACGAGAACGGAAAGCGGAATGGTCTGGAGCTGAGTTATGGAGAACGAGTCGCGCACCACTATCCAGATATACTGGTCAATTACGATCCTGTGGAGAGGCATAGAGACAGCACGCAAAATGGTGGCTCGCTTCATTCATTAAGATCATCATCACGGCATGGAAGGTTCCCCGGCGATTCCGTCTTTCACCGCGCGAACTCGCCGAGAAGGCCAGAGACTCTCGTGTGGACGATGGAGAGATGCACACGGCAGAAAGCATGCATGCCCAATCCCTGCAGCTTCCACGCACTCGGGCGAAACTATCGCAAGACACTGGCTTCCTTACTGCCATATTTTTTCCCCCTCATGCGGCTCTTAAGAGTGCAGAAAAGAAGGCGCGAAACTGCATCTCTGGCTCCCCGTGAAGCTCTACGGAAAGCGCGATTCCCAGTCCACCCAACGCTCCCCAATGTCTCACTTCATCATGGCGAGGCAGACAGCAGACTCAGCGACGTGACGCAGTACAGAAAACCATCGAATGCATGGCGTAAACGGGTATTGAAACTGCGATCAACAAAGGCACCCAGGTCTATTCAGTGGCTCATATTGCACATTTTTTCGAGGTACACACAGTTCTACCGGATATGCAAGACACTAGCGGCTAATTTTTCCAACTTTCATGTATCAACGCAGAGCCAAAAAGAGCCACCCCAGACAGCTGAAAGTCCTCCTTCTTCAAGGAAAAGTACTTTTCCCCACGCATCTTACTTGGAAACACATAGTTGGGAGAACGATGAATCTATAAACGTGTCTTAGCGTTATGCTGTACGGATAGAGCGCTGCAACCCGCGCCTCCTGCGACCAACACACATGTCCACCGTAAGAGGGAAACCAGCCCCTACAGAGAACCGTGCATCCCCTCCAAGCTTCCCTCAAGTGTAGTGTACAGGCATTGGAGAACCGTTTATCCTTCAGCCTCTGTCTTACTTCCTCACGGTCGTTGCAGACAGCCACCAAGTTTTCCCCTCGCCTGGTTGCAAACACAACAGTACCACCCCAAGCAGCCCCGACCTCAAGACGTGGGTGTGTGTAGATAGAGCCTTCTGTATGGAGGATGGACAGGTTGCTGCGTTCAGCTCTTGGACCCCTGCGTATTGCTATCCCGGGTATGTCTTAGTAAGTAAGCTCCCACCCATGCTACTGCGCTACTGCTCTGGTGGTTGTTGCTTGATCAGCTGCCGCTTACAGGATGGCTCTTCGGGTGTCCAGGCACGTGTGGTGGAGGGAGAAAAACTTGAAGCACCAAACGATCGAAAACGCGAGCAGCAGGGAAGCAGCAACTGCAGCACAAGGAGGGCCGACCAGACGCCACACTCGCCATAAAAGTCTTGGTTGCTGCTCTTTGCGCTGCTCCATAGGCTGCGTGGCGAGACAAGAATCAAAGCCACCGGCAGTAAACACGCCACCAATGCAGCAACAACAGTAGGAGGCAGCAGCACGTACCAGGCTCGGGCTGGTAACTGACGACTGTGAGGAATGGCATCAAGAAACACATCGAGAGGTTCAGCAGAATCAGGAGTGCAACGAATCCATCCAACACTCGCAGAGAGGCCGCAGCCACAAAGCGTTCGATGACGTAGGCACCCACAATGCAAAGATGCATCTGAAGAAAGGAAGCAGCACACATCAAGAATTCGAGATGAAGACGCCAGTAAGGACGGTTCTGTATTGAAACCCCCCTTTTTTGTACGTCGGCAGACGTGCAGAAACTGCTACACATGTGCTGCCAGCGCCAATGTTCCCCCTTGCGAGTGTGGCTGTCAGTTCAGGTGCCAACAGGCACCAGCCAACCCCAACCTCCACGCCTCCCCCCACTCCGAGCCTGGGGAGATTTCCCGACGTACGAGAATGAAGCAGCATAACACTGGCCAATTCTTGCTCAAGTCCTCTATACTCCGTGGAAACTGCAACAAACAGCCTGCAGCAGCAGCGGCGAGAAAAGAACCAGCACCCTGTGTCGAGACACCCCATTGAAGCATCGCAGATGAACGCACGGACAACGGACAGCACATATTTATATTATGTATACATCTTATTCCATATACTACTGTTACATGTACATACACTCCCCCACACGAATCTTAAGAGGAAAACAGCGAACTGTCAAAAATGCTCTGCAGCGGCCGAACCATAAGTCAGAATGTTCTCCGTAACGAGGCTCGCATTTACAACGACGAGGACGATGAAAAAAAGGTTGAAAAATCCCCGAAGGTTGAGCATCTTGGAGTGGTGGGAGAGCATCGAGCTTTTGTAGTAGGCATGCTCCACATCGTGCAGCGGCCTAGAACGAAAGGCAGCAACCCAGAGCACACACAGCCAGCAGCGGCTATACATGCGAAAAGCAGCAGTATGTGCTTCCTCACGCCATGCCGGAGCAGCAAAAAACGGCAGCACGACCGCCAAGAAGAGCTGCCTTCCTTTTAGCCACACAGCAACAGAGGGGTAAAAGGCATACCGTCCCCGATAGTCTATGGCTCCTGTGGAGGCTTTGGAATCTTTTGCAGGCGGCTCGTCGTTCCGTCGCTGCCGTCCGTGCTGTTGCTGCTGCTGCTGGTGCTGGTTTTGTTGTTGTTGGTGCTGCTGCTGCTTGTGCTGCACCCGATGGTTGTGTGCTTTGGCGTCTTTTGACTGCTTCTCCTCCCTCTGCTGCATCCGCTTCTTGCGGTTGACGGCTGTTTCCTCCTTCAGCATTTGCAGCTGTTCAAGCCGCAGCTCGCTGCTACAGTGCTGCAACCACACATCCCTGGCTGCAGCTGCTTCCTCCGAAGCTGCCGTTGCCTCCTCCTCCGCTGCAGCAGCTGCTGAAAGCCTCACGCTTTTGCGAGCCACCGCAGCTGTTGCAGGTGCAACTAAGCCGCCAGTGGGTGTGGCAGCACCAGATGCGCGTGAGAGGCCGCTGGAAGAGGAGGGAGACAGCACGGAGGGGGGAATCTGCCCTGGATAGGAGGCTGCCGAGGATGATGATGCTGAGGCTGCTGTTGATGATATTTCCGCCGTTCTCGCTCTCGTTTCAACCGGCTCAGCCTGCATTTCGGCTACAACTTTTGCTGTCGCGGCTGCAGCAGCAGCTGCTGCTGCTGCTGGCGTGCACCGCTTCCTCTGACGCAGTTGGCACTCCTCCGTAGCCGTCGGCTCTGCTGCTGGCCACGTCATCGTTACTGAGGTTACAGCTGCCGAAGAAGCTGCTGCTGAGAGGTGGCGAGGCGGCTGTGTTGTCGCTATGAGCGTGTGCGGGGAGGGGGGAAGGAAGGCTCAGGAAACACGGTGCTTGCGTCGAAAAAATCCTGCTGCCGATGTCAATACATGCCGCTTCCTCGCGTCACAAACCCCAGTTGCTAGCGCCGCCGCTGTTGCTGTTACCGCTGTAGCTGCAACACATGTTCGGCCTTCTTCTGCTAAGGGATGGAACTAAGACTGAAGCTTCGGAAATGTAAAGCCCAATGAAAAAACGGATTGATCTGTGGGGTGATGAGAGCGAATCTTGCGGTGTTTTCCCTGCTAGGCTGCCGTCGCAGGATGCTGCCTCTGCAGGCTACACACACACATTCAAATAGCGAAGACGCTCAGATCGCGCTCAACGAGCACAGGTCCTGCCGGTTCTGAGGAGTTTTATGAGCAGCCAGGAAACGAAGAGCAGCTCAAGGGGATAATAGGCAGTTGCAGCAGCACAGCAGCAGCTGTTTTGCTTTTGCTGCTGCAGTGAAGCTCCAGCCCCAGAGACAGGGGCAGCAGCAGCAGCCATTCTGCTGCTGCTGCTGCTACATATGGGATCTTTAGCTGCACAGTGTGCAGCTAAGGATCCATTGCTGGAAGGCTGCCCATGCACCCCGAATTGTACAGCATATATCATGCATTGCGGGTGCCGAAAAAAAAGGAGTAGGAAGAAGAATCGTTATTGCAGTGCAACGCCTCAACGGGTCAGCCGCACATAGCGCAGCACAGCAGTAGTTGCAGTAGTTGCAGTAGTAGCAGCAACTGCTGCTGCTGCTGCTGCTGCTGCGCACCTCGTGGGCGGCTACTCCTGATCCTCCTCCTCCTCCTGCGACATGCTAGGAATTGATGCAGATTTCTTAGGTGTTTATCCAGTTTCCTACCTTCGCATAAGAGACGGCCGACACAGCGGCTGTCACTCCACCAGTTTGCTGCGGCTGCTGCTGAGTTGCTGCTCCGCATTGCAGGGGCTGCCGCAACCACTATTTTTGCTGCGCGTCAGATATACGCGAACAAGGGGCCATTGGCGGAACCGCAGATATACCTCAGGTGTGTTGCTGTGGCTGGTGCTGATGCTGGAATGAACGTTGCTGCAACTGACTGGCTTGAGGGGCTTTGCATGCTCCGGTGCCACTGAGGAAAGCTCTTTCTTTCTATGGCACCTCCGGGACCAGGGAAACAGCGCGAGCATTCTCCCCCTTTTCAGAGGAGCAACAAGCCGTGCAGCTTACTGGCAGCGAGTTGCAAGGGGGCTCCTCCGGCAGCTTCTGTACCAGAATCATCATCCACCAGCAGCATACACGATTTTATGCTGGCTCCCTCATGTACATCTTCAGCAGCGCTCTGACTGCAGATTGCGCTGTTCATCGTGGAGCCGCTTCTGTGCGGTCTTGCTGCTCCTTTGCCGTTTTGAGGGAAGCAAGCGCTGCCGCAGTGCTGATACAACAACAAGCGGCGACAGCTCGGCTGCGACTGTGTGCTTGCTTGCTGCAGGATAAGCTCTTCTTTGCTTGAACTTCCTGGCTGCTAGAGTGCAGCAGCGGCAGCGGCAGCATCCTGTTAAGCCGCAGCAGCAGCTGCCGCTGCTGCAGTGTCTGCAGACAGGATGGCACTCCACACAGAAGCAGCAGCAGCAGCAGCAGAGCTGCCACGGACGCTGCACCAACCCATGCCCCCTACGAACTACGGCCCCTTTGAGATTTCCGTCGAAACAAACATTGGTATGGCTGTTGTTGCCGCGAAAAGGCGGAGCTCTGCACAGCCATGCAACACATCTGCAGCATTCGCAGCGGATCTATCGTAATCCAGTGCAGCCCGTGCGGTGTATTCTGAAGTGCCATGCAGGACCCCAATTTTCTTTAGCGGCATATTTACCAGCTTTCGCATGCATTTTGTGCCGCTATCGGTGCTCCTCCTGCAGCCTGTCGAGAGAGTCTCTCGAGCTAGCTCCTGTGCTGACACTGGCGTTGCTGGCTGCTGCGCGTCTTGGATGTGTGGGCTTGTGCCTCTCTCCGCTGCGGCTTTAGGGGGGCGGAAGCACCAGGAGGATCGTTTTACCGTGTGCCCTGCACTCCTTGCCGGCAGGAATGACGTGGCGTTCTTTGGAGTATTTGACGGCACTGTTGGTAGGCTGCTGCTGCCGCTATGCGCTGAAGAAGCCTCCCTGCTCCGCATGTGTGACTCGGAAATCTGCAGCCTGCACGGGTTGCTCTTGTAGTTGCTGCCTCCGCTGCTACTCTCGCCAAGCGTCCTACTGTTTCCGCCGAACAGGGGCGTCTTGTCGGCAGCTTCTTTTTTGCTTCCACTTGTATGTGTCGAGGCAAATGCAGCTGTCTGAAAAGGACTGTGGCGTGCTGCGCGAATCGGGCAGTCTGTTCTCAAGGATTGCTTCCTCTGGGTGGCTTGGCGTTGCGGAGGTTCCCCGCTCGTGTGCAGCGTTTGCAGCTCCTCTATGTGCATGTGGCTCGCTGCAGAGAGCATGCATTGTAAACGCCGAGTGCTGGCGCTTTTCGCCATGTGCCCGCTTGCATGCGTGTCTGTGACTTGTGTGCCTTGCGTTGTTCAGGAGACTTTGCATCGGACTCTGTGAAGGATTTGGTAGTGCCTCATTTAGTGTCGAGTGGGGGGTGGCAGCGAGCGGCAGCCTTTCTCTCAGAGAGTTGTGGGGAGGCTGCAGCGGCTGCTGCTGCTGGCTTGCCAGAGGCGCTAGCGGCAGCAGTGCGTTCCATGTATACGGGGGCAGATGCGGAGCTCATCGAATTATGCCGTCAGCGAGCGAATGACTACGCATCCAGCACGTCTGTGACTGCCATCCTTGCGGGTGGCTTCCTCGCCATTGGGCATCTGGTGAGGACGCATTTTATGAGGAGGACGTCGGTAGCAGGGGGAGAGGGAAGAAGAGAGAAACGGAGGAGGGGAGAGGGAAGAAGAGAGAAACGGAGGAGGGGAGAGGGAAGAAGAGAGAAACGGAGGAGGGGAGAGGGAAGAAGAGAGACACGGAGGAGACAGTTTGAAGGACGGCCGTTGGTGTAATGGCTGGGGTGCTGTGGGAGCAGCGATCTCGGGGGGTGATGATGATGAAAAATTTCTCTGTTTTTCCTAAAAGTTTCGGGAGTGCGTATGCGGCTGCTGCGGGTATGGCGTGGGGGATTTCTTTCGCAGGGTGATAGCAGAATAGCGATCGGCGTGGAACGGGAGGAGGGGAACGTAGAGGGCGAATTCGCCACTGTGGATCACAAGCCCAACATGCCCCTCGAGCAAGAGCGCATTATTGTGAGCCTCGTAGCTCTGCATTTCTTTGGGGGGAGGGGAGAAAAGTGTCGTCGCTCTCTTTGATGCCTTCTCATCACATGCCTTGACTCGTCCGCTGCTGCAGTTGTCTCTGTTTCGGCCATGCGCTGCTGCACGCGCTGTTGCAAACTCTCGCCTTCTTTCTATCGCCGTGGGTGGCTCTCTCTCGCTTTCTCCAGCATCGCTGTCGGTCCATCTGCTTCCTGGATGTCGCTTGCTCCCCCGTTGCTCAGCCAGTAGTAGTGCTGACTGCCCGTGCGATAGAGGCGGTCATGGATACATATGTATATATAACTGTGTTTATAGCCGTGTGTGTATTACATGTGTAAATCTTCATCGCGAGGCGAATTAGGGTGCAAACGGATGGCCATGGCGTGACGACTTATGATGAGGTGTATGTACGTGTTGAGCTGTGTTGCCGTCAGAGCAGCGGTGGCAGCGTCGAGTACCTCCACAATCACAACAACAAGCCTTTCATTAGAGGAGGCGATTTCGGGCTTCGCAAGTCCAAAGGGGAACAGCCGATGCAGCTGCAGTACTCGAGGGCGTTCGGGGTAAGGGATGCATTGGCGTGTTGGCGCATCGCGCATGCACGTATATCGATACCAGGTCCATCCATAGGTTCGCGCAAAATCCTGTCTTGTCTCTCCGCAGTACATGCCACCCGTTGTTGCTGCTGCTGTCACGGGATCGCCGAGGCGCTGCTGCAGCCAGCCACATCTCCGGCTGGCTGCAGCAGCGGTGGTTGCGGATCGCGTGTTCTCTGGATCGCCAACGACCTTTGTTGAATGCACTTCTTGGTGCCTCTGTTTCCATCACGCCCACAAAACGTGTCTCGCAGTCAGGGCTGCCTATGCAATGCGGTGTTCAGGGGAAGGACCTGAAGGGATATGGGCTGAGTTGTGAGCCAGACGTGCGGGTAGTGCGCCTTTCTGACCGACACAAGTTGATGATTCTCGCAACTGACGGCCTCTGGGATGTCTTCTCAGCAACGCAGGCTGTCCAGATCGCATGGGCGGCGCATCAGCAAGGAAAGCCTGCCTCACGTTGCTATTGCTGCCGTTTGATTTGTGCTTTTTTCAACGTAATCTACCACGCCCGTGGTTGCCTCTTTGTGCTCGTGGGTGTCCGGTTCGTACGTTTCTTCCCGACTTTATGCGTGCTGCATCTCCTTCTGTAGTTCGGCTCTCTTCTTCCTTTGCTTGTGTCACCCTGCCAAACGCCGCGTGCCGCTTGGCACGCGCCGCCGGCACAGTTCCGGAGACTGCAGTAGAGGGTATGGCGTGCGTGCAGGGTTCCTACAGACTGCCCTTGGCTGCTGCCTGCTACATACGGCTGCTCGCTTCCTTGTCGTTTTTTCTGGTTCTGCAGGAGAAAATCCCTCCGACTCGTTGGTGCAACACGCACTGGCAGACCAACAGGAGAGGGGGCACTGCGCCGACAACATCACTGCAATGGTTGTTTTCTTCACGCCTTGAAAGGCTTTTACGCATCAATCTCTCTGCCCTCTCCCGTTAACCCTTTCGTCCACCTCTGCCGCACCCCTCTCGCTGTTTCTCCTTGGCGCACCACAAGGGGTGTAGCATCGCTTCAACCGCAGAGGGTGAATACAGGCAAATCTATCGTTCTGGGTCGAGTCGCGACAGACACACAACCCGCCCACCCTCCCATCAGATGCAGCAGCAGTTGCTGCTGCTGATACTCCTACCGCTGTTGGTGCCGGTAACAGCAACTATCTGCGGCCTCACGTGTTCGGGCGGCATAAGTAGCAGCTTCCTCTCGCACGCGGGTGGGGGTGGTGCGGCAGCAACAGCAGCATTGGCAGCGATTGCTACCTCTGGTGCTGCTGCTGCTCCATATGCGTCTTTCTTTGCCATTTCCTACTGTTTCTTTTTCTGTTTTGGTGGTTCTTTTGTATTCTCACGCTGTAGCTGCAGCACTAGCACCGCTAGGCTTCCCGCTGGCGCGGCGGGAATGACCGTCGCCACCGGCTGACTGCTGCAGTGTACATGCACCCGAACACAGCCAGAGAAAGGGTACTAAAGGAAAGAGCAACAGAAGCACGGGGGATTGGAGCACTGAACGGTATAGAATACTGCCAGGTGGCACGGCAGCCATTTAGCTGAAACCGAGGTAGATGCAGCGGGTTGTAGGCATTGTGGAAGTCCATTCTAAACGAACTGTTGCAGCCGACTTTGCGGGCTGAATGACGGAAAAGGGCGTGCGCTGCATACAGAAAGGGATGATGTATCTTGCGCAATTCAACAGCTGTGATGCTGAGCAAGGGAGGTCGGCAGGCAGACGGAAGTATCCAAATTATGTGGCCCCTGGGTTTGTGCGCGTTCAGCCTTCAACAGACAGAGCCGTGAAGCGTTCGACTGTAATTAAAGCTTGTGATTGCATTTAAATATTTATGCATAGTAGGTACAGCCAAGTGGCTCTAGGGGAAGAAGCCAATAGCAGCGAGGATGTGAAAAGTGGTGACAACGCAACTAATGAAGCACGGGAAGGCCAGGTATAGTTGAAGGGGTCATGGGTGATACGGCATATTTTAGTGTCGAATGTGTTTGAGCCTGACCAGCAGTGGATTCGTAATGGTTTTCTCCCCAGCGACGTGCTAGCCACTGCTTTTACTGCGTATTCGCTTGAGCGTTTGGCTATCTAGGTGTTTGAAGGTGTGCTGTACGTCGTTCTGCCTTCTATCTAGGCTAGAGCACCAGCAGACTAGATAACCCCTCAGGTGCTCCCACAAAGAGTCTCCATGCACAAGCTTTGCATTCACGTGTTAACTATGGTTCCCCGGTTAACTGAGGAAGCTTACCAGTCTAGTGACTGAACAACATTTTAACCTGGTTGTTACTTCATTGCCCTTTCAAAAGGCATGTACTGCTCCGGAAGCTATCCTATCTTCTAGGAAGTGTGGGCACTTTTAATACCGTTTGCTGCGTTGGCACGTTCCCATTGGAATCTGGAGCCTGTGGAAATCGGATACACCTAAATGAGGCTTGGATCTCTAATGACCAGCGTTCCAAAGCAAAGAAAATCTATTATGTGAGAAGTTGTTTACTGGCATTTCCGTCCCCTAAGGGAATGCTTGGGGGCATGCTTTAGAGCAAAAATTTTGAAGCTTTTGATTTGCGCTGCTTCCTACTTGCATTTTCCACTGCCTGCACCTCCCAGAGTTTCCAAAGGAGCGGACAAGGACGGACGATGCTTGTCGCCGTATCCTTGCAGCACACGGAGCGCAAAGCATGCAGCGCACCCGCACACTGGCAAGAACATAAGTACGATCATTTAAGTAAAGATGGGGAGCATCAGGAGAGGAAATGTTGTCCGGGAATGCGGTAAATATTATATGGAGAGAAGCTAGGGGGAATCCTGGGATAGCTAGAAGTAAGCTAAGTTATGTATGCATGCAACGACTACAGCAAGCTAGCAGCTTCTCCGTGACTCTTAAGTGATCCAAGACCAATACTTCATTTCCAAGCATCAAGCGTGCAAAACGCTCCTCCAATATACGGTCCGCTACACTGGTAGGACTTAAACTCAGAGTACCGGCTTTCAGTCTCGGCCACTCCATCATCTAATCTACTGGCTCTTTCGCCGCGCGAAACTGTGCGTTCCATAGCATTCAATGTTCTCATGGGATACTTCCCCCTGAAATTGCACAACACAGGTACTCTGATACCTCCATCAAAATGTACTCTTTTTATCGCACTGGGTAGGAATGTCGGAAACTGCACAGCTGTTTTCGTTTCAAGGACGATTCAGGGTGCCAAAGCATTTACCATACCTGGCTTTAATCGAACATAGATTCAAGGGAGTACAATCTTCTTTTTATTGTGCTAAAATAAGGATGATTTCGAGCGGCATCGGTGTGCATTCGATTTGGTCAGGGTCAACCGTTGTGCACGGAAATGCAGTCGTCGGCAGGGTACGATCGTCATCGATGAGCAAGGATGCGCACGAGGGCGTCCAACATTAATTACCCTAAATATTGAGCAGAAACTTCATTGCATCTTGGTGCATTTATGCTGCAGGAGGTGTCTAACCAGTTTCGCGATGTCAGAGAACAATGTTCTGTAGTGAGGTACAATGGTCTCTGGGCCCCTGCATAGTATGCTGCGGATGGCAAAACCTTCGCAGTCCGTAGTAAATTATGGCACGCTAAGACATAATTTCTTCATGTCTAAGCTCATGCTTAGTCATTGGCGAGAGGTTGCCACCAGTTGGCGTGAGGGCTCGATCCACTTGATCTGATTGTGACTCGCTGCGCAGTGCGCCTTTACCCTCAACACCCTCATCGCAACTTTGAGTTTTTTGTGGCGTTCCAATCTTCTCACATGTCATTAAAAGTCCTCATTCATTTATCACGTAATACCTTCAAAGCGTTGAATGTTTACGGCAACTAACCTGTTGCTTGGCGGCTGCAATCCAAGCAGGAAGAAAATTCCCGCCCCCCCCCCTCATTACCCACTTACCTTTCATTTATTTTATACAGTGTACGGTGCGCAACAGCTTACTCCCCTGATTGTCTTCAAGGAGCCAGCTACTTCCTTGCTCCCGTAAAGTCCCCGAGTAGCCATCTGTCGAGCAGACGGCCAAGATTTTGTTGCTTACACCAGGCTCCTGTCCTTCCACACAATGCATCTCTGAATTCTAAGCTGCCCCGCCGTGGGACTGGCAATTGTCTGTACTCACACAGTAAACCAAGCCGTTCTTATCAGTCTACAAAATGTTACAAACACTTGTTTGGTCGCCAGTAGTACGGTCACCTCCGAACTCCTTTTTAAAGACCCCATGCAGGAGGGGCTCGCTGTGGATGGCATTACCCTGGATCAGCACGATAACAGTGCTTTCCTGCAAATGAACGAGGAAGAGTTTGGGAGGATTGATAGGAGGATGAAGCCATGTTTCCAGTCAAAGGACGGACAAGCCTGCAGCGGAAGAGTATCAGAAGCAGACTACCCAGGGGGGCTGCACTGCCCTGCTGGATTTTGTTGTAGTAAAACGACGATGCAGAATCAGTCTTCTGGCAACTGGTGCTCTAGCAGCTGGGCCTCCTGCTGGACTTTTTTGCTTACACCTCGAGGTATTCTTATGGTACTTGCACATGCCAGAACTACGCGAACAGGTGCCCGACGAACTCAGCATGTGTTAATCCATCCTATGGGCCTTACTGCAAATGTTTGGGTGGCAAGGAAGAAGTTGAGGGTGCTTGTCGTGACCCCACAGCTACTACAACTACCACAACTACCATCACTACCACAACGACAACCACGTTTTTTGAAGAGGCCACAGAGAGCGTTGAATGCCGAGCTGACGACTAAAGGCCAGGTTTCTGCAGCTTTGTGGAGAACAAAGTTGTGTGCACGTGTGTTGGTGGCTATACTTCACGCAGAATTAGTCCTATTCGGGAGGAGTGCGTCTTCAACGATTAATTATGTAGCGTAAACATCAGCAGGGAACCTGTACACGTGCACGAGAATAGCTTTTTTCAGAAGAGCCGCCAATTGTATTACTGAGGTCATCCCGTATGCCAATGCTTCCCGCTTTTTATCTGTATTTCCTAGTTGCTCCACTTTTGAATCAGAGTGTTTGAACATACGTGATGGAGGATGTACTTCTCCACTGGTTTCGCCTGCGAGCTCGCCGTTCAACCCCGGTTATGCTGTGATGCACCCGAGAAGCTTCTGTCAGCATATACTGGTGAGAACCACTCAAGCTAGGTGAGTAATATTAGTTCAGGCCTCAAATGTAAATATATATACACCAAAAGCACGCACGAACTTAGCAGGCGTCTTGCAAATGAGTGCGTCGTTCTCAAATGGTTTTCAAGAAACAGCGCCAATGGCATTGGCAGGTTTGGAGGTGACAGATATGCACGAAAGGTGGTTCAATTTTTCTCATGCCCTGGCAAGCAAGTTTATTGTGAACAACCCCCATAATTTACAGTTGTGCTAAACTTTCTCAGTACTCGTGCTGTCTAGCGTAAAGCTATAGAGCAAATGCCTTCCATACAATGGGAAATTCGGCTCTTATTGCTGTCTCACTGAATGGACAAATGGTTGGCCACAATTAAAGTGTCCTTCTAAGAGTATTCTTTCCTAGCTGTTAAACGTTATACATGCTAGTATGACTCTAGACATCAGATGCAGTAGCGTTGGAGCGCAGGGCGGCGCAGACGCATTATTCAACAGCAGCCGCTAGTGAACCGGCTTGTATATCCATGTTCGACCATCCAAAGTCCTTCAGAGTAAGTAGTGTAACAGATAGGGCCATGTGAAGCACATTTCCATTCAGTGGTAAGCGGGTTCCGCTAAATAGCATCCCGGCCATTCAACGGATTAGCTGAGCCTCAACGAGCCTCCTAATATGTGGGGACACGATGATCCAAATTGTAGTGGGTGTCTGAAACTTCATATCATTGCTTGGTCATCATAAGCTGGCACGAACCAACACACAATTTGAAAGCTAC